AACAAATGTTTCACTAGAACTTTAATTAGGATAAATGGTATTTGAATAATTTTCTAATTAAATTGAATGCAATATCTCTGGTGGGGTGGTGAGCTTTTTCATCAAATAGTTTAGGATGCTGTGCCTGGAACTTTGATGGAGAATATACATTTTCCAGTCGTGGAATGTTGGATGAAAAAGAAGCTCCATCGCGTCTCGTGGAAATTCACCTAAACCAGCAAAAACGTGCCTACGACACTCGCTATTTCATCTCATGTGCTCATAGGATAAGCCGCACTATATTGAATAAATGATGTTGCACAAATTGAATTTTAGCACTTTAATTGGAACGCAGCGGGAATTGCCATGTCATGTGGTGTAATATGGGAGGAGTATTGAAATTCCATAATTATTGTAACCGCTTTGTCGAAGTTTTTCTCGCCGTATATTTTCTTCCGCCGGGCGGCAAATATCAGACAAAGTTGTGTGCGATCGCAGCAAAAAGACTTTCACACATATAGAGTTATAAATGCATAATGGGGTGGAAGTGAAACTACCTCGGCGAGAGCTTTTCTCCATTTTCTCTCCCGCATTTTCTCATCTTCCCCCGTTTGAGCTGAAGAATTTTCCGACCTCATGGAGGCGTTTAAACACCCTATGAACGTATTAATCAGAAACACATGACATTTATTACAATTTCGCATGGTTTGCATATTCAGATAATAATTTGTCTTGGCTGTGTATGTAGTTTAATTCCGTTTCCTGCAGTCCCAACCCCGACTCCCGCACTCATATATTAAGGGGTGTTGCTGGAGTGTGGGCGATAAAGTGTAAAAAATTCAATGGTTAATCTACGAAAATTTCATCGTGCACATACATTTGTGATGCGGTACAATTTTCCTCCATTTGCACATCTCGTCAGCCCAATATGAGTGTTAATATTAATGTATCATCCTATACTTCTGTTCCAACATAAAACACCGAGGGATGGGGCGAAGGAAGCCTCACACAACTTCATTCAATCATCTCCAATATGGGCTTTAAGTGGATTATGGGGCACTTTTATACATTGTAGTTTAGTAACAATCATCATAAAGAATACAATAAAATTATTAAAATTTTATTATCCTCCATTCGGTTCTTCTTCACATTGGTTACACTGGCTGACTGTATTGTCATGAATCACACATATACTGATGCCCATATGTGTGTATAAATTAATTCGCATCCCTTTATGGATGAAGGGCTTTTTGATGGGGGAGAAAATTGCTCCGGGCAGAATTGCCTTTTTGTTAAATTATATTCAATTTAAATGGATTATATGGTTATTCAATGATGTTCACCAATTACATTTGGTATAAATTAGTAGACTGGTAAGTTTCATCTTTAATCTCATTTAGTAAAGCGACGAGAGAAACTTTAAGATGTCTTCTAAAAGAAATCAGTTGCAGAACATCAGAAAGTTTTTTTTTGTCGAACACCAATCCTTTGTGGTGAGTCTGAATATCGCAAATGGAGTTTTATGACACATAATTTCCTCGATCTTCCTCCTGAAAATTCTTCAGAAAGCTCCCGATTCTCTGTGACATTGTTGTCTCCCATTTTTCCCTCTCCACTTCCCATTGCGAAGTTTCAGTACTTTTTCGGACGGAAATAAGTGCAATGAAAAGAGCTGCATGTCACACCAAGAATTTGTAACTTTTGATGTCGTGAAAAGTGAATTTAATGCCTAAAACGATTTTAACAAGAGACAGCTCAGATAGGACACCTCTCGGAAACTTTTTGAGTTCCTCCCAGAAATATTGATTGCATTTCACAGCAAATTTCGAAAGAGCACCCTAACGAAAATATCTTGTCTTCAGTCGTCAAAAGTGTCACACGTTATTCTCCTTCGAGGTAACTTTTAACTACTTTTTGACTTACATCAACTAGTCGCCACTTTCGCGTTCGATGAGAGTAGCGAATTTGGGGCTTCACGGAAAACTGACATGTGTCCCTAGTCTGGTACACATTCCGCACAGAAAAGGACTGTTGACTACTGTGAAATTATTTTACACGCTGACTACGTAAAGTATCTTTGAGTGCAGAAATATTTAGTCGATTTGAAGCTCAACTCCAGTTTGACGATTCTCTGATGCCTCGACAATATTTAACATGACATGGCAGCACATCCAATTTACACCGTTTTACACCAGTCACACATGTCCGATTAAATCAATAAGAAGGACACGTAATCGCAAACTTCTGTATTCTATTTCCGTCATCGTCACCTTTTCCACGGGCATTTTCAAGTTCATGCTCGCCTAATCATCCAAATGACTTATGACAGGCTGTTAAGTTGTTAACTTATGTTAAGTGGACTCCGGGAAATTTGCACAAAGTTGCCTGTGGTTGAGGTGTCTCTGGAATAAACAGTGATGAAGCACGGTATGTGGGACTCCCCACGTCACTCTCTTTCGTATTTGCGGGCGAGCATAATTATTTAAGCATTCACTCCTTGACAGAGAGAAACTGAGGATAGAAAATCCTCAAGAGACTTCCTGTCAACTTTAGCAAGGAGACCTGAAAAATATTCTGAAATACTGCAATGATCGAAGATAGTCCCAGTTCGATTTGGAATGTGCCAGTATTGCAATTTCCATAAATATTTGAGGCTAAATTTACAACGATTGTAGGTGTGATGGGTGTGATAGTTCTGGTGTGGCGAATTACGGAGGGGAAAAGGTGGTTTTATGATTAGGTGTGGAAATTTTTGAGTGATTTGCAGAAATTCAAGCGATGGCGAAAACGGCGAAAATTGAAAATCGAACCACAAAAACTTCCGATACCGTGTAAACTGGCATGGTGTTGACTATTAAACATGCGAGATAGACAGTTTGATGGTAAAGTATGCTCCCTATCTCTGTCTGCTAAAGTGCAGAGGGGCTGCGATCTCTGGGTGGATTTAGCCAGTACAGGGCTGACGAGGAAGGGTGGCACATATTTCGACGACATGTCTATTCGCACGAAAATAATTTAAATTGAATTGAAAGTCAAACGAGAAGCCTGGCGAGGAGCAATGGTATGGGCAGATGGCGACATCGGATGGGCTGTCGGGATTTGGGGTGTACGTGGAAAATCCAATTGCGCTTCCTTAGAATTTTTAAGTTGCTCCTGGCGTGCATAAAATCACTTTAGAAGAGAGGATAAATGCTGCAAAATCCGAAAGATGTATTTACCCATGAGCGTCTGAACTTGAAAGCTCTTTACAATGTGTTTTTGATACCCAAATAATCGTGACTACTTTAAGAGTTGTGGACGTTTCTGTAGGTGAATGACACTAGGAGAAAAATTGGGAATGCTCTTTTAGTATATTTACGTAGGGGAAAATTAGACTAAAATTTAAATGAATGAATTTTCTAAAAAAAAGCCATAATTATGGAAAAATTTATATTGCGGTTCTAAACCAGAACTTTTTCTTTGAACTTTTTTTTACAAAACCATTCCTATCTCCCTTTTTTAGTGAACATAAATCGAGAATGTTTCAGATTAATATCTGCAGCGAATGTGGATAGATACAACTACGCGATAAAAGGATGTCGGAAAATGAGAGAAATTGTAGAAGGTCCTTTGCATCGTTTGCGGAACTTTTTCCTGTTCGTCGTAATATCCGTTAATATGGCTGCCCATATAATATTGCACTCAAGTTCCAATTTTTGCCCATTTTGCCTGAGCATGGGCAATGCGAAATGATCTCCCGGTTCTCGTCACATTCATTTTTGGTGTCTCACTTCATTCATCCGAAAATGCGGTGCAGAAAGGCAGAGGAATCCACCACAAAACAGTGCTATGTGCAACCTACTGCCCATTCGACCACACAGAGAAGCTGCAGAACAATAAATTGTGTACACATTCTCTGTTGTATGTACATGGAATGGTCTCTTTCTCTCTAGCCTGCCCCCAGAGGCCTCTGTTGTGTCATTCAGGGCGGAAATGCGGATGAATGAACTATTGGAAATAGGTTTTTATGCTGTGGCCCATGCTGGTGAAGTGAGGAAGGCTCCTCTGTGAAGTGCAAGGGAAGTGTGAGCGAATGGCATGTGAAGGCAACAAAGCAAGCGAGCATAGTCAAATAATTAACGCTTCTCGGTGGTGAAGCAACCACCAATATACCTACATAGCACACTTGGTACAAATAACCTTCTGCACAATAAATAAATTTACTCTTCAGTCCGCCACGTCGCTCTCCGACGCCTTGATGGAATTGTATGTATTACAGAGGACATTGAAATGTTCCTCAATTTCACACAGACTGCAGTTGAAAGAATGAACGAAACTTGTGGGTGATTGCCAACTGAGTGGCTATATTCAAATGAAATGCGAATGAGAATGACGATATTTGCTTCTTAGACAACCACAACACGCATGGCAAGAACATTTTAACAAATCTTAGACAAATTTGAGGTAGGTTTTGCGGGATGTTTCAGGGTTAAAACCCAAAAATATCTCTTGTAATGGTTAATATTCCAGAGCACAGCATAATTTTAATCACCACAGATGACTTCCCCTAAAACATGTACTGTCACAAAATCACAAGAGGTCATTTGCATCGTCGCGTCGTCTTCACATGGCGTAAAATTGAAATTCAGTGCACACCATTGTAATATATAATTAATAATATTTCAGCATATAACAAATTGATCTCTGGGATTTTGAGGGTACTGAACTGGAGCACAAATGAGTTGTTGCATCCCTTGCAGTGTTGCTGTGTGAGCGGAAGCGAGAACGAGCATGTTTGTATTTTATACCAATTATAAATCAATTCAATTTTCAACCATTACTCCCACCCTCGACCATCATTTGTGAAATCCCAAAATTTGCCCTATAATTTATCTCTCATTTCGCAATCATCATTTGATGCCACAGGGGTTTGTTATTTAATTTCATGTTCCAGTTGATCTTGGGACAGTTTTTTTTCTATCTTCCACTCACAAATATCAATATCACCATCAGTATTACATTTCCAATATATACCAACTCACCGAGAATTTTTCACGAAATCTTGTGTTGCAACAATTGCCAGCAGATGATGATTGTCGTGTTGCTTGCGTAACTTTTTTGTCACTTCGGCCGCCGTTAGATGAACATTTTTGGGATACTTCCAGCGTCTGTTCCTTGCACGTTCCGTCTTCAATACAATATTGAGGCTTTCGGCGCTTCCATCGCCATATGGTGCATTGTAGCTCTATCTTCAATCTTTTTTCACCCGGACCACCTCCTCAGTCAGTCCAATAAATTGGCGGAAATTCACACTCTGCCAAGAAACACATTCGATCGTGAAGTTCAGCGAGGAAGCTTTTTGCCTTGCGCCTTCCTCACAGAAATTCAATCTCTTTGGGTTTATTTAGACTGTGTTTCACTTCATTGGATGATAGTTGGAATTACCGAGAGATTTTTTCTTGATATCTCAGAAAGGAGAGTGAAAAGGGAAAAAGCACAATTACAATCAAATGGTTGAGTGTTGTTCTTATCTCGTACAATCAGTGGTGGAACATTAATACTCACTCCTTGGCAATTTTCCCACACACGACTTTCCCCATCTCTTATCTTGCCAAATGATAATTATTAATTGTTCGCCACTTGATTGCTATTTGCTATTTTGACCATGAAATGATTACTTTTGTGTCGTGATTACATGCTTTTAGGGTGTTCTGATAGAAGCCAATAGTGTATTGGGGTGGAAATATTTCCCTCATCTCACAATTAATAAAAAAAAAGATCTTTTGCCTCAATTATTATTTTTTAAAAAAGAAATTGAATATTTAAGCCACGGATCACCTATGGGAATTATACCGTCGAATTGTGTTTTTTTTTCAGATCGGGTATTAGAATCGAGCACTTCGCTAAGCCCGATAGCCGTGTATTCGGCATTTTTATTGCTGTATCACGATTATTATTTGTTCTTCCTGAAAAACATATGAAATAGACAGTGGAAAGGATTATAAATGATCGGCCGGAAATCATGTACGGCAAACAAGATGATGAGTATTTCAATAGAGGCGTCGGCAATAGTGCTTTTGGCGGTGAAAGAATGATGCGGCAGAGGAGAGAGGTCAGAATAAAAGCGATGAAATTGTTGTGCAATTTTCCCCTGAGCCCTCTCATTTTTCCGGGCACAACGGACAGAAAATTTGAAGCCACAATTCTCACGTTAGCGACCTCCACTTTTAGTGGGTGGATAAACAATTCAAATAATTTTCAGTGTAAGAGCAATGAAATTCTGTTATCGCACAAAACCTCCTATTGTTTCCAATTTTCAACTCTATTGTCTGCCTTGTAGGAAAATGTGCCAAAACACAGTTCCCGAGGGTGGCAAAGAGAAAACACCCAATTTTGTGGCACCGAAGAAGAAGACACGCCGAGTTGTGAATGAGGATTTGAAGTTTGTAGGGTGAAATTTAATAAACTTATAAGCCACTTTATCCTCATTCCTTTTTTCCAACCGCACAAACAACTATTAGAGAGTCTAAAAGACTTTAGGTACAAATGAATCAACCCCCAGAGTAAATCCAACGCCACTTTTGCCACTATCTATTCGGCTGTTATGTACTCTATCACAATGAACGCATTGTTCTCACAGTCATAGAGATTATTTTCCTCGCTATGTCAGATAGTTTCATCGTTGAAATTGGATAAGCCAAAAGCAAACCAGAATATTATTATTTTTTGCGCATCAGACCAGAGATGGTAGGATTTAGATTAAAAACCATGGCAGTGTAGATTTATAACTGCAATATATATAATATTATAGTTTGTCTTCATAACTATTTCAATATTTACTCACAAATTATATAATGAATTGTTATTCATTATAGAGTTTAAACTTCCTAACCCTTATCTCAATGTACAATTATTATTATATGTACGTAACACAACAGGTCAACAATTTGATAAACTGTGCATGAGATAATTTCTTTTGAGGTTTTCAAAACTCAAATATTTGCATTGAATTTGCAAATTTTCATTGCAAAAGCATTGAAATGTGATCACATAATCACAGTGCTATTAAATTTTGTTAATTAATTAACCACCTCCAATGCATTTTATTATGAATCTATGAGCCAACCATTTCACTCGACACCCACTATTTGTGCGCCTCTTTGGCGTTTGTGCTCTGCCTGCACGCAGGAAGTCAAATGAGGCTCTCAATGCAATCTCCTCTAACATGTGATTACTAAATTTGTAAATTAATCACTTTTAATGTTATTTTAGAGTCAATTTTGGGAAATGTGTACATTGGTGAAATAAATTGTGTCTACTTAAAGCTTAACTATTGAAATGCTTGATTGTGTTAGGAATGCAATAATTATAAAGTCATTTAGAGCAATTCAAATTGCCATTGTATTTCTCTTTGTGCTTATACTTTTTATATAAAATCTCTGACTGCATGTGAATTAAATTGTGAATAAATAATTGTTTTGAAACCTGTGAAAATAAGAACATGGAAGAGAATGATAGGCCATTATTTCCTAAACCATGTAATTAAAGAACGTCTTTCTATCTATTTTCATTTCGGTCAAATATTACTAGAATATCTAAGATGCAAGAAATAAATATTTTTGCACGAAACTTCCCTTTGCAATCGTTTTTTTCCCCTTTAGTGGAAAAATTTATACACTTGTCAAAGTATCTCGAATTTCTTCGGAAAATTTATATTTTTTGTATATTCACAGACAGTCGCTTATGAGCATACATACATATATGTATGTATGTACATAGTGTATGCATAGGTTTATTTTTCTGCTACAATCTTCGTGTTATGTGTAAAATATATTCCTCATCCATTTTCTTTCGTGGCGTATGTGGACACCAAGAGAAAAACTACAATGTGGAGAGATAGAGTGAAGGAAAAACATAAGAAAATTTATGATGGAACCGAGACTTGTGTACTGTTATTTGTAACTCTTGGCAGAATATGCAGAACAGTCTGAGGGTAGTTTTGTGGTGCTTCAGAGAAGGTACAAAAGCACAACCATCAAGTAAGGTTGGAGAAGCTTGTTTTCCATTGATACCCATGGAAACGGGTGTTATAAATAAATTCATTTAGTGCGTGCCCGTTTACAATTTATTAGAAATTCATTTGATATTCATTTTTACGTGTACAAAGGATACATAAGACAGAAAAGAGTCACTCTCTCCCTCCTCCTCTTCTTTGACTTATGACGTTTTGTACATATTTGCAGATTTTTACTCACTTTGCGGCATTCTATGTGATTTATCAAGTCAATGTTGGGTTTTCATAGATTATGTGGCTAGATTTTCACCGAAATCTGATTGTTTTCTCACTGAAATTGTCAATTATCTGAAATTCATACACATGCGGGTTTGCAATTTGATTTGTAACCGTATTAAATTATTTTCATAATTGTCAGGCAAAGTGAAAATTTTAAAATTTATGCTAAATATAGTATTATTGATGAAACATATAAACTATCATTTAAAATCTGTCAACAAAGTTATTAATATTTTTTGTAATTCTCAAATGCATTAAATTTTCAATGACACTATCAGAACATGAATGTACAATTTCACTTCTACATAAAAAATGCATCATAACTTTATATGTACACATTTATATTTAATTCGCTTAGTCTTTTTCTATATAAAAATGTGCTTAATTTCACTGGTATCTCAAGATACACTGATAACTTTCTAACAGATTTTCACATTTAGACTTTTGATGATGAAAAAATTGTATTATCATTGTTGTTATTCTTTCTTCTACATTTAATTTTCTGAAGTTTGCTAAGCAGACAACAACTCTCTTCTGCATTTATGTAGCCAAAGCTGTGGAATGTCTTAAACTTCTTAAGCACATTTCCGTACAACTCCTGAAATGCAATTCAATGTGCTGCAAGGCAAATTGAACAACATAGAAAATGGGGAAATTTTCGAATTTTCACTCCGCGCCTTCCTCAACTCATTCACAACGGAAGCAATTACACTTAAATTACAGAAAAACGTTGGGAGGGCGGATGGTAAATTGAAAAATTATTGTGGTTTGGCAATTTATATCAATTTCACGTTCGTATATGTACATTAATTCGCTGCACATGGCCCAACAAGTATTTTCAATATTTCACATTACCATGCAAGATTTGAGGAATGGCAAAAAAATATCAGCCAAAAGGGTTATTTTACTAATGGATTCTAATTATTCCATCGCGCATTTTACGTAGCAATTTCTGCTAATAGATTTATATAAATGTCTGCTAAATGACATATGTAAATCCAATATATTTGGGTTATGGATAAAAATATTCGCACATTATTAATTGATAGGTTAATATGATTTTATGATAAATATTTCAATTGACGAATAAAAGTCAAATTAAAAGCCAATAATTCAATTATTCTGAAACACTTTCATCACTTAGGCTCAAATTGAGCTCTGATGTTAACATGGTGTAACCTAATGTTTTTAATCTAATCTAATTTTGAATTTACACGAGACTTTAAAAAAGTGCCTAACTTCAATATTGAGATAATCCTAATTCAGAAGAACAAATATAGAGATCCCAATAGATCCTCAAGAGTTATCATTTATCATATATTTCTAGGGAGTTTTTCTTCTTCACTTTTTTTGGGAAATCGCCGGGGGAATGACAAACACGAAAAATGGAGGGTGAGAACATTTGGAGCCAGTATATTTGGTCGATATATTCTCTCAATTGCCACCCATTTGTAATAGTGACAATGTGAGTAATTAATTAAAATTAATCTCTCGGCATTTCCATTGAGTGACAGTTTTTCACTGATGTATAAACTTGGTTATTTTGAGTGTTGAGTGACATGTTTATAAAAGTCATACTAACTGAATCAGCTAATACACTTCTGCTATTAACCACACTAGATATTTCCGTATTAATTTCAATAGTGAGCTTTTAATGCATCGTGCGAACTTTCGTGAATTATTCAATATGGTACAGTGATTATTGGCAAGTGAACATCCACGGAACCGGGCGCAGTGTTTCCACTCGGCGAGCTGGTTTGCAACTGACTCGGTGAATTGTGCAAGAGTGCCGCTGAAGCTTTTCCACATGCTTTCGCAAAAAGCGGCAGAAGCTTGGAGACATCAACGGCGCACAATCGCATCAACCATCCTAAGAAGTGAGAGTGAGAGTGAGTGAGACGGACGAGGCTCATTGTGGCGGTTGAAGGAGAAATTGCAGGCGGTCCTTGAAGATATTTGTGGTGAGTTTGGCAACAGAATGAGGAGGGTCCTATTTCCTGTTCTCACGCTTTTCCTGACTTCTTCCCTTGCAATCGCTCAATGTACACATTTGTGCATATTTTCTCACATATTTTACCATTTCATTTACATCAATATAACCATTTTCACGTGACTTTGTTCACCAAATTATACGCCTGACCTCCAATTTGCTTATGTAGTTTGCAAGTTCATAAAAAAAACACATCATCTAATGGGGAAATCTGTGAACTCGTACTTTTTTCGTCTGTTGGAACAATAAGGTTCGTCTGCAGAAGAATTTTTCAGTTGAACAGGTGTTAAGAAAACGTGCTCAGACGTCGCGTGGTTACTTTCTTAAACTTCAAGTCACGCTTTCAATTAAATAAAAGGCATCTGTATAATTATTTTAGAAAACTTACCCTCGTCGTCGTGACCGAAGATTTTATTTTGAAATATTGCAATTGAAACTCATGTCTGCAAAGTGATTCAAAAGCACAAATAAAATACTTCACATTTTGAAGACATATTTTGTGATTTTCTTTTCATACCAAATAATTTCAAATTTTACAGAATTTCATATTAATAATATTCTGAAAATATTATATCAATTGTTTTAGTTGAACTGGCAGTTAAAGATTTCTTAGAATTGCAGTATTGCATTTCATACAACTATTTCAGAATGAAAATTGTTCTCAACAGTTTTGAAACATGTGAGCGAGGTTCGAAATTGTGGGCAATGAAAATATGCTAAATGACTCAACATGAAAATGGGCGAGCACAGAGTCCATAGTCTTCTCATCACCTCAGATCTAATAATTTTCAGCGAGTTTGCACAAAAGCCTCATCATTGGAGAAATACCGTCATTACAATGGAAGTGAAACTATTCGCACCATCAAAATTTGTTCACGCTGGTGATTCCGAGAATGAAGAATATATAGAGTATTACGGCAAATCCCCTAATTTATGAATTCCATTCATTTTAAACTTTAGCAACAGTGAGAATTTCCGCAAATTACCAGTTTCCTTCTGCGTGGGAAAAGCTCAAATTCAATTTTTGCTTATGCCCCACGAATTCCCGTCTCCCCCTTATTTGCCTAAGTGTGTGTGAAGGCTTCCCCACTTCAGTCTGCACAGTGCTGAATGGGGATGTTTGGGGGTTGACTTGGCTTGTGCGCCAGTCACGCTTTGATCCAATGGGCGACGATGTTCTCAGCAACAACCACGTGCTTTCATCCTCAATTCCAAACGCAATTTTCCTGTATATTAAATAAATATTTTGTCATTTTATCTTCATATTTTTTGCTACCAACTTTCTTCCCAAGCATCGAGTGAAGAAGGAACAGAAATAAATATCAACTATTTATTCCAATCACTTCTTTCAATAATGGCTTCTCTCGTCAACCAGAAAGTACGATTGAACGATTTTTTCTTCTTCTGAAATTGATGTAAAACCTCCAGTTAATAAGATTTAGGGATTAAGTTAAGGATTGCATAATAATATTTTGAGTTATAAATAAAATCACCAAATTAAAAGTAATTTGGAGAAACTTCGTATTTACGAATCGCATCTTTGATTTATGCAAAACTACTATATAAAAATCAATATTTACCGAATATTATCGTTCGAAAATATAATTTTGTACTCCATATGAACTCTAATACCCAAGCTAATACGGATAATTTTGTTAAATTTTGTCATCGCTGTCTGAAAAAGGATTTGAGCAAAAAGTCATTTTCCGCCTAGAACATCAATAGTTCCCCTCGCGGAACGTTTTATCCATCCGCAAGTCAGGCTGCGTGAAGCGGAAAAAATTCAAATTGAGCCAATAAAACTATTTTTGATATGGCAAATACAGAGGGAGAAACAAATAAAATAATATTGTAAGTCGATATAAAATCAAAAAGGAGAGAAGGCAGAAAAAAGTTTTCGTCAATTGCTGCTGGTAATTTATAGACGAACGCGCCCAAATCGATTTGACTCGTATATCACTTTGACTTTTATTACTTTCCGTTTCCAATTGTCTCTTGTGTTTTTTCTACTTCTTCCTGCTCTTCAGATTCCTTTCATTTCCCGCCAATTTAGCCTGCCTTTATTATGCTGCGAAGGAGAAGAGTATCTGAAAAGTAGGTGGAAAGGGTGCCTCGAGAGAACTGAAGAGGTTGAATCAATTTGAATAACCTAATGATTGCTGCGACGTACTATTTGCTTCCTAATTAGAATATATCGAACCAACTAATAAAGAGTGCGGCCGCAAAGACTAATAATCCGCATTGATGGATTCGAAGTGGGTGCAAGAGTGGGAGGACGCGGAAGGCGACAAGATGAGTTGTGACATGTCGCCCGAGGCGAAGAAGCTTGCCTCTTGGCACTTTTCTCATGGCAAACGGAGAAAAATGGTTCCTCAGGGATGGTAAGATTGTAATTAAATTTTTCCATCGTCCTCGTGTCACTCTCTTGCAGAATAATAAACGATCGCGGAAGTTAATTATGAAAGACGCGGGAAATTTATGATTTGCTTTCACTTTCCAGCTCCACGCGCGGCAAACGTAGAAAAAATTATTGTCTATTTGTCTCAATTTGTTGCTGGAAGCGCGCTCCCGACACGACAATGCCCTGTGGTGTCCCCTTAATATTGTACTGGGTGGAAATGAAATTCTGTTTGACCGTGTGTTTGGGCTCTGCGGCTGTGAATTTGTCATCATTATTTGGACCACAGGATCATTTCGAGGCTGCTCCCCCGATGTTAATTACAAAAACCGCCCCCTCGTGTTTTCACCCGTAATTGATGCAAAATTAATTTTAAACACCACCTTCTATTCACCTCATTTCTTCCTCCCGCAACTTCTTGCATTTACGGCCCCCTAGAGTTGGCGGTTCATATGAAGATTTCCCGTTTTTCACGTCTTTATGGTGGCTAACATCCTAAAAAAGTTTTCGTAGTATTTTTTATTATACAATTTGTAATGAAAAAGGTCAAATGTTGCTGGTTAAAACTTTCTTTGGTCATTACTTTTGTATAATACGCGTATTTTACCATAAAAATCTCTAAAAATAAAGTTAACCACCTCTAGTCTAAGAGACTAAAATGCCTATTAAATAGTTTAATAGTTTACTCATGGAAATATAAGTTAAATCGCCACACCAAAATAACAAAAACAAGTGGGATTGCGCAATATGTTCAGTATTTGGCACACTTGAAACCCTTTTAAAGAAGACACTGCCAAGATAGAATGGACACAGTTTAATTAGTGGCTTTATCATGAATTATTCTGAACATGGCCACAGAGGTTGGATGATAGAATTTCTTCATTTGATTATGTTGATCTTGTACCCATTGCACAGTCCCTTTGACGAGAGGCAAAGTCAATTAAAGTATGCATAGCCTTACTGGAGAAGCGCTAAAGAGTCTGTGAAAGTGCATTTCAATTTGCTTAATCCACACCCTCGGCACTTGATCTCAAAATCACTCCAAATGGAGCGCCTTGGAAGGGGACATAAATTGTCATCCCCTCATTTGATTGCCTTCCACAGAAGTCGTGAAGGAATAAAAATGGGTGATAGTCAAGGGTGAGCATCGAGCCCCTCGGCCACTTTTATTTTGAGTTGGGGGACATCATAAATAACTGGCTTGTTTTCACTATAGAGTATGGTGTGAGAAGGGGCGCTTCTAGACATGGGTTCCGTGCTGCCTCCACGCTCTTTGGGCAATTCCCGCTGGATGAGTGTGCGTCCCAAGAGGGCAAACGAGCTGCCTCAAGAAGCAAAGGGAAGCGGAGAATTCTTATACAAACAGCAATCGTTTGATTTGGCATGGAATCGGATTGGAAAATGTGGTGTGAAGATGGAGATGGCGAGGCCAAAAGTGATACAATTTCAATGATTTTCTCTTTTTGCATTGGTATCATAAACGGAACGGAAGAGAGCGAGAGGAGGGAGTCATTGAGGAGACACGCAAAAGGGATTTTCTGGGCGATGGATGATGGTGTTTTCCTCTCGATTTGCAGAGTCACCCCTCAACTATCTTTTGCATGTTTTCTCTTACGACTTTTCGCCTTTGCGAATCATCACCATCTCAATGGGTCACTTTGCCGTCAAGGAGGAAGGAAAAGGCACGAAAAAATGTTATTGCTCCGCATCATCCCTCTCTTCCTTTGCCCTTTCCTGGGTCCTTTCTTCTGTTATTTATTGGATGATTCCATCTTCCCTCTCTATTACTCACGCAAGGAAATCCCTCAATGGGTTGTTGAATGGGCCCAAGTGGAAGGGTGAGACAGAAGCAGTGAAAAATAAATTGAATAAACTGTGAATCACGCTCATAAATTCCCACACTCTCGCCATTTATGTATTTTTGGAAAGAATTGAGATCCGGCGTTAAGGAGATACTGTAAAATTTCCTCATAGCATCACCCACATGGCCAACAAAAGGCGTCCACAGCAATCATTTCAATTGAATGCTAGGAGCAACCTCTCACATGAAAAGGTCACGATCTCGGAAAATATCTCCTCCTCTGAATTTCAAATATCTCTCCACCCTTTTATCCATACACACAATAACTATCGGGATGAGACGTATCACGTTTCGTTTTTACGGAAGTTTTGCCGGAAAAGTTTTGAAAATTTTCAATTTTAAAGTTTACATTGTCACCAAGAAAGGGTTCCGTCTTAGTTATTACGACAATAATTAACTCTATTAATTTAAATATAGTCAATTTATTTCATATACGTATGTCCAAATACAATATAATTTGGGGTTTGACAGCACGAATAATACCAACAGTGTCGAGGTGAGAAATTGAGCATACGAGTGTTGGAAATGTTCAATTTATTCCCTCAGTTGTTGCACTTCGCTCCAACTTGAACTAAATCTGACTTCTGCAAAACTTTCTTCAGAGACTGTCTAATTGAGGATGTAAAGTGGAGGAATCCCATTCGAGTGCCACCAATATATTGGACAATTTGCCGTGACATGTACGAGCCAGCCAGAGTTGGAGCTCAACACAAAAGAACACCACCTATGCACAGTGAGTATTTCTCATGGAAGTGAACGCAATTGAGTGATTTTGTACAGGGAATAAATTTACCATTTCCAAGTGGTCTTGTTGAGGTGAGACCCAGTCTCTCCTACTCCTTGTTCGGCAGTATCGATCAGAGCTTTGTCGGTTGGCAAGATAGCTCTTCTCGGGGGAAGTTTATTGTGGATTAGACAAATGGAATTTTACACTGTGAGAAACTTTCTCACGAGGTCGGGCGAGGGAAAGCATCATTATTCAAAATGACAAGATTGATTTGCAATTTGAAGAGCAACAACGGAAAAATGTTATACATTTGCCTTGGGTGTCACGCAGGAATACAGAGTCTGGGAGTAAATCTATGGCCGAGATGGAAGGATATGGGTTTTCCTGATAATAAGGAAAAGGACGCAAAGTTCACTTTTTCGGGGCACAAAAGTTTCATGGCATGTAAAAGTTGGTCCTTTGCCTTTCCGCCAAATGGCATCTATCTTTTCACTGTCTCTCCTTCCTTAAGGTGTATTGTCAGAAAATTGAATGGGACAAGTTCAAATCGTTCCCGGGCGCTATATTGGCGGGGTAATTTAATTAAATTACACCAAGGGATTTCCATGGAGCTTCTTGCTCCCAAGAACACGCCGCATTTTTGCCTATGCGGCGCTCCAATGCTCCATGTCCAGAGGAGCAAATGAGGCGGCACAGCTTCCCAACTCCTCTCCCGCCAACACACACATGTACATAGCAAATGATTTATGATTCTGTATGTGCGCTTTCATTAGTGGGCCACCCATCAGCGAATTGTGGCTGAATTTGTAATTCTAACTCTCTGCATATTGTAACTGAGCTGTGTTCTTTTGAGGGTGGCGAAATGGTCCATGGCGCCTGGCAGGACAACAAACACCAAAGGGGCGGCAGTCATCAGGGGGTTTGTTCAATAATACAACAACTATACTCTCTATTCCATCGTCCTCGCCTTGTACTGTCTTCCCCCGCCGCCCGTCAGCGCCGCACACCCTCTAATGCTCCACTTGTGGAAAATCAACTGAAAATTTTACTCCCAATGAATTTTCCCATTGCTCCCCCGCCGCTACCCTCTGCGAAAGCATAGCGGAGAAATTTCCAATTTCTTCCAATTAGTTTTGCAACTCCACTGACAAATATATTTCACTTTGAGAACCCCTCGAGTGTGTGTGTGTGTGTGTGTGCGTTGGATCGGTGTGGGAAGCCCTTTTATGAATTTCCATGGGTTCTTGGGTGAAATATCCTTAGTTGTCTAATGAAAAGTCTCTTCTTGAAGGAATCCTCACTCTCATCGCTAAATGATTGTTCATTTACAAGAGGCTTTCGGGCACCCCTTCGCACGCACAAAATTCCCACCCACAAAATGACTGTTGAAGAGGGTGCCAAGAGTAAAGTGTATTAACATTCTCTGATCCGAGCGATTAACCCACTTTACACTGTGTCTTTGCTCACACCCTCAACCCGAACTCAATTGAATGTTTATTTCCATATAATTCCCCGAGATACACTGCCAAAATTTGATCGCATCCCACCTTAATCTTTAACACATTACACTCATTTATTATCATTCAGACATATTCTCGTTCTGCAAAAATGATTTGTTTGTTTCTTCTCTTCCAGATGAAAGTTCTGCATTATTGAAGGAATGCAAAATTAAAGGAAATAAAGGGAAAGAGAAAATACTCATTCTTGTATGTACATACTAAAAAAGCTTAAATTAACTAAACATGCTCAATCACTGCCAGATTTTAATCGTGCAGAAAAGTTACAACTTTAAGTAGCGAGCTACAGAGAAACTGAAGGCTAAATCTTATTTCCTCTCTCCAGTGTCATCTTAACGAACACCCTCCCAATCACACCTCGCAGGAGGTGAGATACCAAGAGTCCCACACCCGTTCAACATCCTGTATTGATTACGTGCTTGGGTCAGCAAAATGCCCGCACAAAACATTAATACCGTCAAAACTCTCCTGCGACAATTTCTGTCTGTCTAGGCGTTTCGGATGGGTGAAGGGAAATTGATATAAGTTTGCCAGCTTCCGAGACACAACAATTAAGCATCACCGCAGTGGATTAGTGATACTCACAATTATAGGCTCATTTGTCTTCTGTGCCGTGCACGGGGCGGAGGCGACGAGGGGTTGGGAATCTTGATCACACGTGGACTTGCGTGGAAAGTTCCCCCTTAAAGTCGTCTCCTCAGCTGGAGATTGCCCCAAAAGAGATTTCCATGAGAAGGTGATGTGGTTGAGGAGGGTGAAATTGTCACAACAAAATAACTCCCCCATTGAGTCGCCCACCCACTCCAGCCCCACATTCGCACGCAATTGAAATGAAGGGCCCATCGGGACTCGAGTGAGGCGGCATCTCCCCCGTTGAGCACGTTTCTCTTGGGCGACACAAGATGAATTCTAATCCAAGATTAGACACATAATACGTGATAAGTAGTGCAAATATTGATTCGCATTTATCTACTCTCTCGCTCTTGCAACTTTTTGTCTCCCAAATGCCACTCATTTCGGCGTTTCGGGACTCTGCTTCCCCGGGGAGATTATATGGCCGAAATCGGTACACCGCTTCCAGCACTTCGACACTGTGTCAGAAAAATCCGCGACTACAGTTCCCACATTGTTCTACATTACATTATTCATTTATCATAGATCTAGAGTATTTTAGTCTTAGAGAACTTTTGTTATTCACTCTAAATTGATTTTCAAAACTGCAGAAATGCTCTAGAGTAGTAAAACCAAGTGAAGACATTTTTTAAGGGAGAATTTAAGAAAATTCTGGCGAACTGTACACCACTTCCGACCTAATGTCACCCCCTTGATCCACGCCCTTCGCTTACTTTCCGATCACACACAAACCAGCTCAGATCTGCCGCCATTCAGAATGATGAATGCTGAAGACAAGAAGTTCTTATCCATATTTAAATAAGTGGAAAAGTATTTTCCTAAGAATCATTAATTTTAATTTTCTTTTTGTGATACGAAGAAAAAACGGAAATACATTTACTCACTTTTCTAGGTCAACTTTAAATCACTTACGTTGGCTCTGCGCATCGCCATTACTTGATTCAATATACTCCACGTGTAAAAACAATGATTACTGAGTGTTGATCAACTAATAGTTGAGTTGAATGGACCACTTTCGTGACAAAACAACCCCAGGCTTCCGGATGATGACACTCTGGTCATGTTTGTTGACCTCAAGTGTCACAGTCTGAGGCTCTCCACTCACACTTAACGTTGCTGATTTCGGCACGTGCTCCAGTCCGACAATCACAACGCGCTCCACCCATGATTTGGTATCATAATTGGCCTTCTCGTCATTTTTCCTGAGGGAAAAGAGACAAGAGAGAGTGCAGTCAGCTCATCAAATCCACTGCCAATTCAGCATTTCACAAATTCTGTTACTCACCTAGAAGTCAGGACGTTGTCTTTGAACTCCAGACTGACGTAGATGTACTTTCCACTGCGATAATCATAAGTCTTCTCATCGTCCACATACAGTGTTCCTTTGGCCGAGTGATTATTATCCAAAGCCACGACGAGAGTGACTGGATCGTTAATCATGAGTGTTGCTGCTCTCCTGACGCGCTCTTTCTTCGGCAAGATTGTTCCTCCGCGCTGATACACAGGGATTTTGTAATTGTTCACGGGCACCGTCTCAAATCCAGCCGTTGTGATCTTCCTGTAGTCGTCCACATCGTACCAAATATCACCCTCCTTCTTCCCATCGACTGAAGGGAAGTACACGTCCACCTTGGACACTCCTTGCTGCAGAACAGGACGCACGAGCAACACATCACCCAGAAGATACTCGTAGTCAATGGTGAAAGTCTCCTTGTCGAGCGGGTAGTGAGTGAGGAGAGGTCGCATCACTGGATATCCTGTCTTTTCGTGCTCGTAGAAGAGTGTATACCAGAAGGGAAGGTAGCTGTAGCGCCGGCGAATTGCATCGCGTATAACAAGCATTGTGGCTTCTGGCATGAGCCACGGCTCCCGGCGACGCGTGTCGATGTGGGAGTGCGCCCTGAAGAATGGTAAGAACGCTCCGGCCTGGTACCATCGCTCGAAGAGTTCAGCATCGGGATTCCCGAAGAACCCACCAACGTCAGCGCCACAGAAAGACATGCCAGCCACAGATTCCGACAAGCACATCTTCACCGAGGCTTGCAGATGGCCCCACTCGGCAGCATTGTCGCCCGTCCAGATAGCCGCGTATCGCTGCGTGCCGGCAAAGTGGGATCGCGAGAGAATGAAGGGTCGCTGAACGCCATTACTGCGACGCATGAGGCCTTCGAAGGTCGCCAGCACGTGCATGTGACCGTAGATATTGTGCACGTCGCGATGCTCCCAATCTCCAAAGTGAATGTTGTCCTTCAGCATGGTAACTTCTGGTCCATTGAACACTGACGGCTCGTTCATGTCATTCCACAGCATCACATCTGCCGTTGTTGTCTGGAAATTGTCCAGCTGATACTGATCTGCGTAATATTTCCTCACTTCGGGATTGAAGAAGTCCGGATAGCTGGCGGCTCCTGGCCAGCACCATCCTTCGTAATCACGTCCGTCCTTGTTCTTCACATAGTATCCGCGATCAGTGCAGTCGTTGTGGAAGAAATATCCACCATCACGCTTAATGTGAGGATCAATGATTATAACCAGGTGACGACCGCGCTCCGTGAGATTCTTGATCATCTCCAAAGGATGCTGGAACTTGTGATCGTCCCACGTGAAGTACTTCTTGGCATCCGTGTACTCAATATCCAGCCACATGGTGTCCATTGGAATGTCATGCTCATCAAACTTATCGTTCACACTCGCCACATCCATCTCATCGTTGTAATTCCATCGGGACTGATGGTATCCCAGGCTGAAAACTTGCGGCAAAGCAGTCACGCCAGTGAGATCCGTGTACTGCGTGAAGGCGTCCATAGGCGTGGGGCCCAAGAGAACAAAAAAGTCCACAATACCACTCTCAGACATGAAATGGCCCGCTGGAGGATCAGTTTGGCGATTCCTGGACACGAAATTCACAATCGACGACATCACATTCTTCTTCGCATTAGCATTGTAGATGTCCACCCAAGTTTCTGCTGCATTTTGCCAATAAACTCCAGCTGTGTTACCTTCTCCGTGACCATAAAGGACCGGAACAGCCCCATAAAGGGCCATCGGACTGTCCAATTCGTACTCAAACACATCCAAATTGTACAGCCGATACGGTTCCGATCCCAGCGTGGGCTTCAAAGCAAAGGAATCCGCATGCTCAGGAATGCCAAACAGCACCTCAGCTTGAGGAAAGGTGAAATCCATTGCGATCGCCTCTGGACCGTTCGGTTTGCTGTCGTGGTGCGACTTGAAGTTTTCATCCCACGCTCCAGGATCCGCTTCCTCTTCAGTCTTGGGCTGTACCACATTGTTCTCCTCGCTCGGCACTTCCTCAGCCGTCTCTTCGCCTTCCAGAGGAGCAGGTTCTGGTTTCTTTCTGAGGTGTTCGAATTTCATGAGTCCCTTCGCATTTGTGGACACCACCAAAACTTCCCCATTGTAGAAATCAATCCGGAAAGGTGATGCCACAATAACAGCGCGATTTCCTCCGCATTCCACACTTATCGATCCATCTTCTTTCTTCACGGCCACGTTATCAGTTGCCGGGGGGCCTTTTAGAGCGTCCACGACACGATACCGGGGCTTCAAGGGAGTCTTTTCGTCAATCTCCACGTGGAATTTGTTCCCCTTCAAGCCAACCAGTTTCAGGAGGAACACATGATCGTTTTCCTTATTCACCACATCCACTGTAAGGTGATCCGGAAAGGTCTTCGCCGTGGCCAGTTGAACCTCGTAAGGAGAATTTCCGGGTTCAATCTTCCGGCAGCGTCTGACAAGGAAAGGAAGAAAAGCGTCTGGTTAATCCCCAATAACCTTCATCTCCATCTGCATTCATTCTAACCTGCAGAAACTGCTCTGGTCACAATTCTTGAAATTATTCTTATCCACGCCTCCGGCGAAGGCGAAGAGGAGCCCCAAAAGCCCCACAATTATCAATCTCATTGTAACTCTGTGAAACACAAGAAAATTTTCCATGAATCAAAACACACCTTAATTCAAGTACACTTCACTCCTCCCTACCTTATCAGTAACTTCACAATAAGTAGATGCTCTTTTGCACAACACTAACCTGATATAATTAATATTTTCCACGTATTAGCCTCCCAAAAAATGCTCCGTTTTGCTCGAAAGCTCGTGAACCCGGTGACAAGAAGCGAAATCGTCATCGCTGAGCTTTCTCCCCAAACCGATTCAAACGCCATCTGGCGACTGAATTCAAAGGAGAATTTTATTGGAGGGAAAAGTATTTATCTAACCGAAAATCAAATCAGCGTCGGGAGCACCTTTCTGATGTTTGAATTTTTGGGGTTTCGCTGCCTTCTGCTGCCGATTCTGCGTGAGACAACGCTGGGATTGCAACAGGGATTCTTGGTAGTCCTCCTCCTCAATTCTTTCAGTGATATTGAGCGTCAACCTATGGGAAACAATTAAATCTTTCAGACACATTTCTTGCCATCAAGCTATTAGGGAAAACATACCTCTTAACTTTCTCATTCTCTTCGCGAATCTTCTGCTCCTGAAGCTTCAGATTCTTCGCCAAGTGACTGTCAGCAGGAGCAGCAAATGTCCTGAATTGCTGCTTACCCACCTTGTTGCCGCGCATCATCAGCACGAAAGACACCGTATCGTCACTGGGCGGCGGTTCTTGCATACTCAGTTGCTCGTACGTCTTCTTCCCGGTGCGCGTCATCATGGGCACTGGGATGTCCTTCGTGCTGGGCTTTGCCGGGTCCCTCAGTCGTTCTTGGTAGCTCTCCATGGCCATCCGTTCGAAAGCCTGCTCGAACTCCAAATCTTCCTGCGTCTTTTCCGGTGTCTTTCTTCTCTCCTCTTGCATCTCCACTTCTTCGGGGCCATTCGCCTCCAGGTCGACATCCAGCTCTTCTGCTTCCTCACGACTGCGGCGCTCCGTTTCGTCATCGGAGTCCACCACAGCCTCTGATGTCTCTTCAGCAGTGTTGTCATTGTCACTGTCCACCTCATTGATGGCCTCCAACTCGCTCTCGGCACTCTCTCCCAAGTCGCTGCTGTTCAGAGTGGGATACAACTCTTGCTTCAGCTTCTCAACAGCCTCTTTGGATTGCTCCAGGGACGTGAAGGGTTTCAACTTGGGACGCACGCTCGCCAGGCAGTCTCTGTACATGTGCTCCACGAGAATGGGAAACAGGTCACCGCTGGCCTCCGTTTCAAACACAGGATCGCTCTTCTTGTACCAGAAGTACTGCTGAAAGAACAGCAGAAAGTAGTCCAGACCCTTGCGACTGGAGCTCGTGAAGTACTGGCCACACGTGTCGAGCAGCACGCAGGCCAACTTTAGCCGGAACAGACTGCCCGGCGGATCCACGACGGACACCACGGCATGATCCATCGGAACGCCAAACGAGATGATCGAGTACAGCGTGTTGAGGACGTTGTGGCTCTCGATTAGACGATAATTGTACAATTCACCGATATACTTGGCCATGGCAATTCGACGCTGAGCCAATTTGGGTGAGTGAATCTCCAGACCAGCACGAATATCCTCGAAAACACAGTCAATCACTTTCGCCATCGCCTTGTCCTGATATGAACTCAAGCCGGAGACCAAATCTGCCAAGCAGCGAATGAGGTGGTAGCGAATGTTGTAGGCCTTCGAGAGACACCTGCAAATACAAAAAGATCAGTGTACTATTGGACATCAATATTCTGCCCATTTCAATTGGTATTCACCTGATGGCATACTCGCTGATTTCCTTGTCATCCCAGTTCAGTCTCCTCATCATCTTGATGATTTTATCCACATTTGACTTGTTGAGCGCCTCGAAAACTAAATATCGCACGTACATCTGCATCGGCGGCCGCTGCTTCCTAGTGATGCCCGTTCCTTCGGGTGGTTTTACTAAGTAATAGACACTCTCAATCTGAGCCGCGTGTCTCGAATCCAAGGCTGTGACCACCTTTAGACGCATCATCTGCTCCAAGTAAACGTTAGTCCGCAGACGACTCTCGGCGCAGTTGTACAGATAAGTTCCGCAGACTTCCAGGAAGGCGCACGCCATCTCAATGTTGTGATGCTGGAAGTCGTGGAGGAGGAACTTGAGGCAGTACAGTGCCTCGATCTTGGAGTACATCCCGAACTTTGTGAGCTCCCCGATGAAGCGCACCACCTTGATCTTGCTCTCAATGTTAATCTGATCCTTCTTCAGCACGTGATAGCGGAAATCGTTCTTCAGCAGCAGTGCCAGATCAGTGGCCACGTCCGGCGAGACGATATTGATTGTGGCCACGAAACGCGCAAACATCGGCAAGAGATCGAGTCTCGTGCGTTGCACGCCGAAGAGGACTTTGGCCAGTTTCTTGCGATTGCTTTTGGTGTTGAGATGGAGCAGAAATTCAATGGCCGCCGAGTCGATTAGTTCCTTGTTGACGCAGTTCATAAGGTTGTGGGAGAAAGTCTCGAATTGGTGCTTCGTGTTCTGCATTGGCTGGGGCGCTGCCACTTTCGGGGCGACTTCCTCAGGCGGTGGTTCGGGTGTGGACGACGCCGGAATGTCTGGATCCGGCGGAGGCTCTTCCACGGCCAATTGCTCAGGCTCAATCTCCATGTCGAGCACCTCTTCAGTCATCTGGGGCTCCTCGGGTGTCACTGAGGGCTGTTTAGGGGCGAAATTGGGAAGGAAGAGACGCAAATCCGGAAGATCGACGTAGAAACTCTTGGTCTCTTCATCTCCCCACGGATCCAGCTGTCCATCGAACGTTAGATCTGTGGACTCAAAGATGATCCCGCCAGAGCTCTCCTCTGTCTGCTTGGGAAGCTCGGGCAGAGGTTCGTTTAGCAAATCGGAGAGAGTTTGCGTGGAGGAGAGGAGCTTCTCGAAGGAAGATTGCATGAACTCCAGCTTTTCGCGACGAGCTGAAGAGACTTCTCCCTTGGAGGACAACGCATTCTGACACGATCTCTCCATGGCCATCAGCTCCTTGTGTCTCTCCTTCAAGTATTCCATCAGGCCCTTGTAGTAGTCTCTCAGCAGATTCCTCAGAGCCTGCTGCTTGTCAGGCAAAAGAAGCGTTGACGTCGGGAGCGTCATTTTGTGCTTCTCAGCTAAATCCACAATCTTCTTCGACACCAATCCAGCATATTCCTCGCCACAATTCTTGCAGAAGGACATTATAATCGAGAGATTGGCAAATTCCTCTTTGTCCTGTTGAATCAACGAAACAAGGACATTCCCGAGAAGAGCCAAGCCACTCTTGTTGGAGAAAATGCCCACACTAACGAGTTCCGCAAACAGTCGCAAATCCACTCTCATCTTGCTGGGATTCACCAACTTCTCCGATCCTTTGATGTTCAGGATCTTCTGCCAGTGCTCGAAGAACAGCGGCGAAAACTCTCCATACAGCTGATGCAGCCGACTGCACAGAGTCACCATCGCTGTGACGTCTGTCGTCTTCAGCTTCGCCTCCACGATGGCGGCGCAAATCTCCGAGATGTACTTGGTCAGGTTCAATCCGGACATGTCCTTCAGCAGGGAATCCAGCTGAGCAGTTGTAAACTGCTTCAGCTTCTTCACGAAGGCCGTGTTCTTCTTCACATTGGAATCCAACTTGAAGAAGTACTCTTCCGTGGGCCTCGCACTCGACGTGTTTTCTCCCCGTAGAACACTTTTGGCGGAAATCCTCGACTGCACATCACTAATATAGCCTTTCACATCCTCAATCTCCTGCTCTTCCTCTTTCGCGGAGGAATCTTTTGTCTCACAATTCTCCTCAACTTCTTCCTGCACCATGTTTACATTTTTCGATCGAGCACACTTTTGCACAACTGCAGCTGTCAAATGAAAAAGCTCTCATGGTGACCCGCTAAGAAGGCCTGGCGAAGTGTCCAGCGAAATTCTTGGGAAGATCAAGTGCTGTTTACTTTCGCCACGCAATGGCAAACGGAGCAGTGAAATTCGGCAATTTCATCAATTACTACCAGTTTAACACACCTGAGGAGAGACTTGCTGTCTTTCCAACACACCTGTGGAACAACTGGAGAAGCCCAGATGATAAACTACTCGTCCTGGACGTAGGATGCAACGCGGGAAATTTCACGCAACTCTTCTATAAATTCCTCACTGAACATTCCGGAAGGGAAGTCTTCATCCTGGGCATTGACATTGATCCCATTTTGATTGAACGCTCTCAGGAGTCAAATGCATATCCCAGTAATATTCGTTACTCCACTCTCGACTTCATGAAGGACAGCAACGAGTGCATCAAGGAGTTTCTGTCCTTCCACGTGCGTGAGAAATTTGACGTCACCCTGTGTCTCTCCATAACGATGTGGATTCATCTCAACCACGGAGACGATGGCCTCTGGACGTTCCTCAGACGAGTATCCAGCCTCTCGGAAGTCCTGGTTGTTGAGCCGCAACCATGGAAGTGCTATCAGACTGCCACACGACGAATGACAAGGGCAAACGAGGAGGAATTTCCACTCTATCGACTGCTCAAAAATCGCACAGGAGTGGACATTACCATAAGCAAGTTCCTTGTGAGTGACTGTGGCAAGATTCTGATCTATGAGTCGCCAGAGACAAAGTGGAAGAGGAGAGTGTACGTATATAGGGAACAATAAAGCGTCTACACTAGACAAAAAGACATTTTAGAAGAGATACTCGTTATTTTCATTTCATCCTGCCACTTCTTCATGACCAGATTCAAACTCGAGCTTCACGTGTGTCGCCAGCTCCTCCACATCCACCTCGGTTTCCTGTGTGTTCAGCCTGTTGAGCGTCATCATGACTTCGGCAGACTTGCCCATGAGTCCCGGCTGCTCCTCAGCCTTAACAATCACCTGCTGCGCAGGCATTTGCTGTGCAGGCTGCTGCTGCACCGGAATCACGGGGATTCCGGCCTCTTCGAACGCCTTCTTCTTCAGCGTCTGACGAATTTGCGACCTGAATCAAACAGAACATTTGTCATCATTGCCTCTCATTGCACACAAATGGAAATTGTAGAAAAAGCAGAGAGATGAAGAACTTACACCGTGCGATTTTTAATGCGTAGACTAATCTTATTTAAGTCCTCACTAAAGTGCGTTATAGCCGATCTGAGCATTTCTATTTCTTCATCTGTCCATTTGCTTCTACCAGAGTGTGAAAAAACAATGAGTTATATACAATTTCTTTACAAAATTAAGCATTTTCACTCTACTCACCCCGCCGGACAATCTGCAGTGGGAAGTTGCATCGTCAGTTCGCCCAGTCGGTTGAACGCCGAACCTGCAGCCGTGAAAATCTCACCGACCTGTGTAAATTGCAACATCACTTCAGTATTGAGACGTAGCCAGACTATCTTTCTACGTACCTTTGTCGCAGAATTCATTGTTGGACGCCTATTTCCGAGTGAAAACCAAAATTTTCCGCAATGTTTGTTTACTAAAATCAATATGACAGTCACATAACCTGGCGGCTTTGTTTGGGGTTGCCACACTAAACTTCTAAGCCCAATCTCGAAATGTCCAGCGGAAGTCTTGCGAGTCGTCCAACAGACATATCCCATTTTTTCCAGAAACAAGAATTATTTTTTTTTAGTAATATATTATATGAAAATAAGTAGTATTCATCATATCAATAATAAAGGCAATACATATAACAATTGGGAGAAATATTCTCAAATTTTGGAATATAATTTTACGAGTTAATTCCCTTTTAAAGAATAGTATAATTTAAAGGTGAGTTTTCTGCTGGTTTTTCTCATTGTAAATTGTTTAATTTATAATAGATTAATTTTTGGGAGAAATGAAACACTTATTATCCACTGCCAATTTGCAGAACTTCGAAACAAACTGCACACACCCGCACTGGCTTATTGATTCCGAACTTGAGGATCGGGACGTCATTATTTGAACAACGACTGCACAAATTCCGTCCACAGTGTCGACTGTAAGAAAAATTAGAATCTAGATTAATAAGAGTTTCAAGATATTGGAATAAATTCTCTAATCTCAAATTATGGAGGAAAAGGCAAAGAGATGATAGGAATTAGTGGGTCTTACCAATGATGTTTTCTCGTGGTGAAGGAGAACTTCTCTCCGCACTCCTGACACACATCCGATGCTGCCCACGGCGATTCCTGCGGCAGCTGATCCAGTAATTTATGGAGCAATTGATTAGTAGCCAGTTGAAAATTGAAGATAGTCACGCCTTCCTTATTTTCCGCGCCCATGCACGCGCCATTCTTCACCAATACTTTACACAACGACGCCTGGCCGCGCATAAATGCAAGCAGGAGCGGCGTATTGCCTTGGATATCCACCTGGTTTATAGGATACTTCGGCATACACTCCAGGAATAGTTCACAAATTGTCGCCGCCGTGGTGTCCTTCCCACTGCGACAGAGTTCGTGCATGGGATTGTTTCCTTTGTAGTTCATCGCCTCCGCGTTAATTCCACTCTCCGTCAGGAGTTCCCGAACAACAGCCAAGTGTCCCTCCCGCACGGAAATATGCAGAGCATTGTTGCCATCCCCGTCAATGGCATCAAAGTCCGCACCGTTCTGGAGCAGTGCAGAGACATTGGCCACTCGTCCGCGCTCAGATGCCACATGAAGAGCAGTCTTGGATGTGGCATCGCGCTCATTTATCCTCGCGCCAGCCAAAATCAAATTTCGCACGAGCATCTCGTTCTCCGAGCTCGCAGCCAAGTGCAGAGGTGGCGTCTGGTTCACATCATGCACGCGGGAATTCACGTCCACCCTGATCGCCAAGAGGAAGAGGACGGACTCCAAGTCATCCTTCATGATGGCCACATGGAGGAAATTTCTGCCCCTCTGATCGATTTGTTCAGCTGCATTTGGGAGACGCTGAAGGATGTTTTGAGCCGCCTTGTGATTTCTCCCCGTCAGTGCAGCGGCGAATGCCGTATTCCCAGACTTGTCTCTCAGCCGCAGATCAATACTCGGGTGACACAGGAGAATCCCAATCATCTCATCCTGTTGATTCTCTATTGCCACGTGGAGGGAGGTCTTATTGTTGCAGTCCACGGCATTCACATTCGCCCCATGATCGATTAGCGTCTGGAGTACATTCACCAATCCCCACTGGCAGCACAGATGCAGAGGTGAGGCCTTATCGTGTGCTTCCTCGCCTCCTTGGCCATCTGGTCCCGGTTGTCGCGGTGAATCTACATCACACCGGCTTTTTATCAGGAAAATCGCCGCCACTTCTTTGTTCTCGTCAATGGCGCGATGCAGAAGCGTCTGCAAGCATCCATCAGGACCTGAACTCCAGCAGTCTGTGTCCACTCCATGACGAATCAACACCTCAGCTATATCCAGTTTCTCACTCTCCAGCGCTGTCCACAGTGGAGACTCGCACTTGCTGTCTGACGCACCCAAGGAAACCCCACGTGTGCACAAAGCATCCACAACAGCTGGCAAATTGCAGTGAATGGCCAGTTGCAGAGGCGATTCCTGCTCTCCAGTCAATGCGTTCATGTCTGCTCCCTGACCGAGGAGGAATATCGCCGTCTTAGCATCCTCTTTGAGAATCGCCTGATGCAACAGAGTCAAATCCTGACCATTCCTGTCATTCACATCTGCCCCACCTTGAATGAGCGACGGCACAAGTTCATTGTGCGCCAACGATAATGCAAGACTGAGTGGCGAATCGCCATTTGAGTCCTTTATATTGAAGTCTGGCTTCTCTTTTTCACCACTCTTCCAATGCTCGACAAAGGCCTCAATTATAGGCAAATTATTAGATTGCACTGCATAGTGAAGTGTCGTCCTCAAATCTCCCATTGTCGTTTGAATATTGGGATCTGCACCTCTTTGCAGCAGTGCCTTCACCAAGTCCACCATTCTCTTTTCACACGCCAAATGAAGGGCAGTTTGGCCACTGTTATTCACATAATTCAGATTGGCAAATTCTGTGAGGAAAATCGATGCTTTCTCCATGCCATTCAATATGAGTATCTGCAAAAGATTGCTGCCATTCTCTGAATACCTCACATTAGCATCAGCACCCTTATCTATCAGGCTTCTGGCGATATCGAAGGACAATTCACCAGATTGCAGGGCGAATTGCAAGGCACTTTTCTCGTCGTTAGTCCTCAAATTAAGATCTAAACCATCCAGTGTCAGTAGCGCACCAATCATTTCCTCGTGCCCAGACACAATGGCCATATGAAGTGGTGTGTAGCCACGCTTGTTCTGTATGTTCGGATCTGGTTCACACTCCAGAATCTTCCTTCCGACGTCCAGCATCTCTTGATATGTGTCTTCATCAGTGGACTTTGTCGAGTAAGTCACAACAATGTGCAGAGCTGCATCTCCAGTCGTTCTAAGAGAAGAGAACAACACCAGTTTATCAACCACTGATCAACATAAGCGGTGTGCATTGTGTATTCCTCACCTGCTGGTTAAATTGACGTTAGAGTTCTTGTCGAGAAGAAAAAGCGAAGAGAATCCATCACCTCGCTGAACAGCATCAATTAGCAATGTGCAACCGTCGGAATTGAACGCGTTCACATCCGCTTTCCCATTCTGGATGAGGGTCTGAGCAATTGCCGTGCTTCTACCCATCAGTGCCAGCCCAAGAGGAAGTTGTCCCTGTGGCGAAAGACTATTCACCACTTCGGAAAGCTTCAAGAGAAATGGAAGATTGCAAAATTAGAACATCGTTGAGTCATAATGTTGGGGAAATTCTGGACAATCTTGTAAATCGGGAAGAAGTCAAACGATGACTCATTTCTGGTGTTTATTTAAAGGATTTCGTGACTCACTCTCTGAACAATCATGCATAGAACGACAGTTAGAAAGTTACCACAAATTTATCAACATTCAATTTGAGTAATAAAAACAATAAAACTAATTAAAAATTATATCATTCGACTATCAGTCCCCAAATATTCATCATTCTAGTCTGTACGGCGTTCCATACACATTTTTACAGTCATCTCAACTTTATCAAAAAAACCCGAGAGTCTGTGTTATATTGCCAAAAATTCAATCACACATTCAAGCGCGATCCTCGTTTCCCATTCTCTCATTTATGCTCTTTTTCCACTCTGTCACACTCACATCTGAAGAGTACAGAGTGAGAGAATCATAAGCAGACGAGGAAAGTGGGGTAACACAGTGATGACGACTGAATGTGGCTCCAACAACGTGCCAATGAATCGCTTTCTAGTGCACGTCTGACCGCTTAAGATAGTAGTTCGTGTTTCCACGGGTGTACGAAAAATTCACTATAATACTCTCCAGAGGATTTATCTATTCAACTGAGAAGATAAATCACGCGCGCATTCAATTCGTGATCTTTTTACCTTCATTTATCATTATCACAAAATGATATGTTACCGCAAATAGCAACAGTATAGTAGAAAATGCATAGAACAATTTTTAATAAACTTCACCTTATCAGTTCACTGCATTTGTGCTCGCTGTTATTGTGTTAAAACATCTTACATAGTGACTGTGGTGTGCAAGAAAAGAGAAAACACCCTGAATTCGGAATATTAAATTTAACTGTGCTTCTCTGTGAATCATATAACTGAGAACCTCTCATGTTAAAAAAAAAACTTTACAAAGTGGTCTCAAGCTTTAATTGCACTAATTCGTCTTTCTCTCTGTTCACCGTGGACTTTTTATTCTGAATAAATTATAATGGATCGTGTATTCGGGACTGTATTATTGGCTGTATTGCTCCAATTATGCTTCATAGGTAATTTCATGTTTCTCAAAATAGCAATCAGAAATACAACTATATCGCTGCAAAGCTTCAGAATAGATTACAGAGTGGTTTCTCACTCGTGACTAAAAGTGGCCAACTTTCTCGGTCCTTGACCTAGTCCCTCAAGATCTGTGTTTGTTTCTTTTTTTGTATACTCAATCTCAAAATACTGCATCAGATGTTTATTTTTGCTAAAGGAAGCATCCGCACACATTAACCCTGTTTGTTCATCTTAAGTAGCTATGTCTATACAACGTGAACCAGACGACTTATCCAATATACATTTAACATAATCATTATGACACAAATGGACACAAAAAATTGTGAAAAAATGTGACATTGAACTGAACATGACAAAGTGTTTATTTTAAATTCTCCACGCACTTGTTAGTTATTCACGTACATACATAAATATAGCGGAAATGCGAAAAAAAACACAAGTGGTTAAGGAGAAGCAAAAAAAATCTATGCCACGAAATTCTTAACTGACTTCTTCTCGTGTTTAAGAGAGATTTCTAGCGGAAGTTAATGACCATTTGACGATATAATCACGAAAACTTTGTCATACCAGTTGAATTGAGAAAACAACTGTAAGTTTTGAGGCAATTTCCGTGGGCACCTTTCGAGAAGGTGTATAAAGTAAACAATTTTTTTCAACTTTATTTAGCACCTAATAAGCGTGATCGATTTTTCAGACAAGTGGCTTTTGATAAATCCGCAAAAAGTTCAAATTAAAGATCTCACAATTAGTTGTTGGGAGAGAACGAGTTAGATTTAGCCACCAAATTTCTTTGTCCACAGAACATATTAAATATTTACTGCTCAAATGTTTCATATTAATATCTTCCTCTGTTGCTTAATCGTCATATTGTAAAAATCCCAAAGAGACATGTATGAGGAAATGCTTCTATTATTTCATGCCCACAGAAAGACCTAAGAAGGTGTGCTTCATTATCACTAGTCACGTAATGTGATTTGATATAAAGAGAATATCGCGTCCCAAATGCTATGAATTTAGCTGCAAAGCTCGGTTTTACTATAAATGTTTGCTCTGTAGTAAAACCTTCGCGGGACAATCACTTTGCGTACATCCACCCTTGGGCTGTAAGCACACACAGGACGGAAATTGATAAATTCACATCCACACATTTTATATCGTATTCATATTTTTTCATTTCGCTCATGTTATAATTATACTATGAGACATGAATGCTGAATGGTGATTTTAATGCAGACTCCGTGAATAAACTCCCATGAAAGTAATTATCACTTCTCTTTTCCAGATCACGCCGCCGGAGTGAAATGCTACAGATGCACAGTGGCACCGAGCGCGCGACTGAATCACACAATGCTGTGCGCCAAATTCGACGAGAGCCACGATTATGCTGTCGATTGTCCGTACTCAACAATGTGCATGAAGAAGATTTTTAGACTGAGATTGATGAATGGTCAGGAAGTTGAGACAGTAACGCGAGATTGCGCCCAACAGAAGCGAACGGACGAAGTAAGAACATTAGCACTTCATAGCATAATTCCTCTGTTCTATTATTTCAATTATTCATTGAAGGTATTTCGAAATGGTCGATGGGAGAAGGAGAGCACGATAGAGGAGGCATACGAAGAGGGATGTGAAACAATTGAGGAGAACACAAACACACAATCCATGACTGTTTTCTGCCATTGTCGCGGTGCGCTGTGTAATTCAGCGACCAAGGAAAAATTGGGCAGTTATCATGTCGATGCCATGGCGGTCATTCTAGTATTCAACGCTATGAAATATTTTCGGAGCATAGATTGATACAATCAATTCATTTAGCGCATGATTTAACTTATTCTTGATGCATTATTATCAAAACTAGAAGCTATTCAAAATACTGCCTTAAGATCTTTACAAGAGCATCATAATATGAAGATATTTAACGATATTAGAAAATCACTGAAAATATCGTAGAACTGTCTAAACAGATAAGATTTGAGCTGGATTTATAGGCATTTTTACATAACAGTACTGAGAATTGCAGATAAAAACCGCACTTAAATTTATTTTTAATGTCTGACCATCGAATTGCTTCTTTATCTACTATATACAGAAAAAGTGATGTGATAGCGAATTAAATTATACTTATTGAATGATTTGGGCATTTTCTCACTCACCATTCCGTCGTTCTCCACGAGGCACAGGAAAACAACATCCTCTCGAAGCAATCGGACGGCGGCGTGGAGTGGATGTTTCGTCTTGTTCTTCAGCATCTTGTACAGCAAAGGACTGGACATGTGGTCAAAGTCTTGCGGCGTCAAATCGTCCCAGTGCGTCGATATGAGTCCTGAGCAGTATTCGAGGAGTGTCGCTGCCCCAACTTCTTCGGCCACGCAGTAGAAGCGCACACAAGATCGCACTCCCACTGAGGAGACTAGAGCTCTCTCGCACAGTCCCAAGAGTCCGGGCAGTTTGAACTTGTGAGCAGCTCTCAGAAGAGACAGAGCCAGAGCGTCGCTCTGCAGATCAACGATGTCTGTGTAGATCCAGCGAAGAAGGGCATATGCGACCTCACCATCGAGATCTGACCAGTCTGAAAGGAAAACATAAATCAGCCTTTCATCGAGTCAGCAGTCAATCGGTCTGCTAGAGTCACTCACCAAGTTCGGTGGTCGATTCGAGAATCTCCTCGCGCCACTCCTCCGATCGCGCACTGAGAACAAATCGGTGGGCCGGAAAGGATTTATCCCCGAACTTCACAGTAATGTCGGAATAGGTTTTCCGACTGTAAAGTCCCGCCACGGTCATCGTGAGCCTGGAGATGAAACCACTGAATTCCCCGACATCAGTGTCTCCACTGCTCGCCACCGCCCGGCTGTACTTCCTCTCCATCTCGGCATAGTTCTTCTGCAACTTCGTGTACTCCTCCTTCAGCAATTTCAGATGCTTCTCCAGCTTCTGTACAGTCTCTTCGGATGCTGGAAGTGATTCAATTGGATAAATGAGCAGAAAAGCTGCAAATCTTCATGCTACGCCCCTCAATATTTTTCACTCGAATTACAAGGCAATACAATCGAGAGCACTCTATCTTGATTTACAAATGAACTAAAGCACTTACCCATATTTGTTAATGCTAAATGTTTTGGAAAATATCCTTTATTGCAGGAGATCCATTAACTTTTCTAACTTTGCGATTCCTTCCACGGCAAATGGGACACACAACACTGCAAAAGTTTTTATGAAATGTGAAGTTTACGCAACAATTTCAAAATTACCGTTTGGACACTCTTTTCACATCGAGTGAAATATTTCTTTTTATATTTGATGAAGATCTCTTAAGATTCATCCATGTCAACCGCGGAATTTACAATATTCAAAGAAATTGTGATAACAAGAATCATTTCTGGAATCAAGAACATGCATTTTCCTTTTTTCCTCTATAAATTCTATGAAAGTTCTATTTTTTACAGTACACCATCGTTGACATCCTTATCATAACCTCAAACTTTGTTTGGTGCTGCCATATGAAACCACGTTATTTTCTTTCTTGATTCCGTGTTTTTCTAAGTTATTTTTTGTGAAAATGGGAGATTTCTCATCATTTGATATTGAGATGTTGCAAAAGAATGCACCATACAGTGCTCCGTTCGTTCAGCCACAAAACAGGCAATTTCCCCCGCATTTTATCCCTCAGCAGCCGTCAATGTACGGGGCTCGAGGATCCACAATTCCGCCGAGATTTCTTCCCCAATATCAGCCTCAATTTTCCCGGAGGGGTCGCTTCAATCCCTACAACCAGCCTAGGAATGAGATTTGGTGCGAATCCTGCGACAGGAGTTTCTTCAGCCCAGCTAAATTCGCTCAGCATCAGGCAGAACACAAGAGAGGAAAAATTAATGAAGTCAACGAATTACATGCTGAAGTGAAGAATCTGGACTCTGCGGAGGATATTGCGAAGTGGAGAGAAGAGCGCCGCAAAAACTACCCAACTGCCAAGAATATTGAATTGCGGAGAAAAGCACAGGAGGAGCAAATGAAGAGAGGGGAGCGGATAACAGAGCGTAAATCTCGTTTTGGTCAGCGGAATCAGGTGAAAAATTCCAGAAACTTTGGTAGAAAAAGGAATCACAGGGAGAAAAGAGAAAGGAGACAGGAAGAACCATTGCCGGTGAAGGATGAGGAATTTAACAATCAAGGCGTGAGCATGTTCAAGGGAACAGCTGAATTGGATGACTATGCTGAAGCTAAAGACAATCCTCTGACCAAACTTCTCGGCATGTATGAAAGTTCGTCTGATAGCGAACCAGATGAAGGTTCTGAACAATCTACTGATAAAGAACCATCTTCAACGCTTTGTGCACTGCCGACAGAACCTGAACATCTTCCAGAGCCCTCGGAATCATCGACAGGAATTGTTGATAAACCTAAAGTTGAGAAATCCAAACCGCCTAGAAAGAACGCGCGAAAAAACTTTCCCTCCCAGCCAAAGGAGACAAGAGTTTATGAGGGATTGAACTACGAATTCCTCAATCGCAGACAGCCACCAACGATGCTTTCTCGTCTCCTCGAGAAGGATATTCGACATGAGAGAAATGTCCTTCTTCAGTGCGTTCGATTTGTGGTTGAAAATGACTTTCTCGATACTGAAAAATGAGTACTATAAATAAATTGATTTATTAAATATTTGAACCTCCCTGTTGAGCATTTCCACCGTTCGGATAATTCGGCTGCTGCCTATTGGCTATCTGCAAGTACTTCGACTTGGACTCTTCCAGCTCCCGGACGCGAGACCGAGCGTGGTGGATTCTGTGCCACGCCATCTGAAGCACCTTGGCAGCCGCATAGCCGGACCCTTCGTGAGGCTGCCCCGTAGACACTTGAGTGAGGTAGTTGATCTGCTCCAGAAGCTTGGACTCCACGGCGTTCAGGGATTTCAGGAATTGTTGTGTGTGATTCTCGGCATTCTTCTGGCTCGACTTCTCCTTGCTGAGCTCCAGCAGCGCCTGACCAGCACTCTGTAGGCACAAGACAATCTCCTTCTCTATCTGATCCAGCACCTGGATCTTCTCCAGCGGACCAGAGGTCATTCTGCAAGATATTCAGGTCCTTTTCAGCACGGATTCACACAAATATTTACAAACAGATTTTTTTTGTTGACAATCACACGTCCCAAACTCAGTGTTGCCCGTGTGGAAGCCGACGTGGGACACGATTGCTTTGGTTGCGCGCAATCAATCCGCAACTAAGTAACATTTGAAAATCGCGGTGGCGCGAGATGTATCTTAACGTTTTCAATCATTTTAATGCACTGATTTTATTAATCAGCCGTTGTTCAGTGGTTGTTCTGAGAAGAAATTACCCAGAAAGTCCAAATAACAGAATTACACTAACAGTTTTAAAGTCTCATTATGCGCAAATAGTTTTATTGGCTGCATATTGCAACCAAAACGCTATAAACAGACAAATATGCACACATTATCTGTAAATATTTGTATATTTGTTGTAACTTCAATAAAAATGTTCATTCATCGACTCCTACTCACTTAAAAGTTTGTATATTTCGAACGTACAAAAGAGGAGTATAAAATAAATAGTCATCTCTGGAAGAGAATAAACCCTCATCAAAAATGTATAATATATTTGGAATTTGTATGGAATTTTTTCTAATTAGCAATCTATGATTTTCTTGTCTAGGGAATTGCATTGGCGTATCCGTAGGAATTCCACTTCTCGATGTGATCAACATGATCCATGATGCACGGGAACCACTCCTTTCCTCCATAGTTGGTTGCTGGCAAGTTACCGCCGTAATTGGCTGGTAGGAAATCTGGATCCATGAACTTATGCAGTGATTTCATGTCGCTTCCGTGGAAATGCATTCTCTTTCCCAATTTCTCTTGAATGAACGGCTTGAAGAAGGCCCATACCATTTTAAAGAGGTACGGCTGCTTGATGATGTGCACCTCCTTGAGTCGGAGCGGCATGGCTTCCTGGATAAAGGTGAGGAGTCTCTTTGAGAATGCCGGCGACAGAGCTTTTATCTGCTTCATGGAGAGTCCATCGAAGTCCATGATAACCACCACGCCTCGGATTTGCGTGGCCACCTCCAGCTGAGCTGCCAAATGCACCAGATAAAATATTCTGAAGAGCTGATCCGAGTTCACGATCTTCGGATCCCACGGTCCTGAAGAAGATGAGTAGCAGTTTATATGTAGACAAAGCATGGATCGAAATGTTTTTTACCTCCGCAATTGACTATGAGTACACGTCGTCCCTTGTGGTCCAGATTCGTGAGGACGTTAACAATATTGTGATCCGTAAAAGCAGATTTCTCGTCCTGCGGCATCACGTGTTTCAAGAGAGACGAGTAATTCTTCTTGAACTCAGCAATCCGACGCATCTTCAGAGAAAGAACAAATCAAAAGCGAAAATAATTAATTAATAGGGAGCGAAGAGGATCAGTTCTATTGAATCATTGAATAGACACATTTGGGATACATTTGTTTAGAGAAGTAGGAAGGAATCACAAGCACACAGGCCAATGATCTGAATGCGCATGGCAAATGTTAATGCGAACAATATTTCTCAGTGCCATAATATTTGTCAATAAAAGCCTCTCTGGGGAGGAATAAGATCAGAGGTCTTCTTTACTATAGGAAAACATTCAGCGTCATTTTGATATAATGTGTACGATTGAAGTAGAATAAAGTGGCAAATCGGGTGATAATGTCCGAAAGAAAATTGTCAAACGGAGTGAGGCCAAGCTGCTGTTGTAATAGCTTCTTTGTTGGAGAGCCTCAGCTGATTAGGAGTACGAAATATTCTTATCGGGAATCACTCTGGCCTATGGGAAACTCATTCATTGGCTTTATTATGTTAACTAATAATGGGGCATTAGGGGTTTCCGTACACACAAATTCAGGTCGATGCTTCAATGAAATTATGTCATAAGTACGCCGATTGAGATAGGCCAGAAACGATCACCATCTAAAGTTCAATTGATGTTTTTGAAGTTTCCTTGTGGGAATTTGTGTTTACTCATTTTCCCATCAATTTTTTGGCATTTTTTGGCATTGTAGTCTGCCACAGCAACAAAAAACACGACAATCCTCCAATGTACTTTGTTCACGAAAATTTTATTGATATGATAAGATATGGGTGACGTTGATTGTTTCTTAAGACTCGAGAGCTTTCTTCCCTTCTCACTGAAACACTGAGGCGTGCGTGTTCAATTGAGCATGGGAAGTTTGTGATATAATAGCAAATGCCCGCATATTAATATATCGATGTGTAATCTGATGTCCTTTAGCAACAGCGAATTTTTCTTATCTTTTATCGCGTGCAAGAAATTCCAGAGGAAGCAGTAAAGCTCGCGCTCAAATAGTTTTATAGTGATTGATTCCTCTTGAGAACTCACCATCTTAATCGCACTCTCGGGATAGAAGTGGCAGGGCCTCAGGAAGATCAAGAGGAAGTCATCGTCATCCCTGTAGTGCAGATCCGTGGCCTCGTGCAGGAGCTGGCGCAGCTCCCTGATTGACTTCTCACGGATCTCTGGTGTCTCTCGTAGCTCCACTCGCGACTGTTCCAGCAGACTGTCGGTCAGTGGCGCAAGATCCAGCGTGAATGGGGGCACAGCCATAGTTCCTGCGAAGAAAGTGTTTGCCACAGTCATTTATGAACTTTCCATCCCACCCGCACTCGCGAAGCGAGCAAGACTGAAAGTGCCAATCAACTTACTCTGTTTTGTACTTTCTTGCGACAAAGCTCAAAACAATAGTGATAAATAATTTATTAGTAATAAAAGCACTATTACTTAATCGAACGCCACCGAATTTTATTGCACTGCGATGACTAAATATCGTGCGTTCAATATTGCCGACGACTGAGTATTTATTGTCTCTCGTTGAAGAGATGGTTGAAAGAAGAGCTCCAGTAACTTTCCAGGAAAATCTTCTCACTGAAAATTTTAATTCGACTTTTCACCGAGACGGTCTTAAAACGACTGACGATTACTTTAAAATTGACATTCGCTATACAACTAGGCGATGGGCTTTATTTTCGTTTGTTGATTAGCATTATCAAGTTTTTGTATATAACAACACTCTTATATTTCACGATACGAAACTTGTGTATTCCCTCAAACTGATAATATGTTCAATAAATGGAATCACGTAGGAAAATCGACAACAGAAACGATTACACTTTATTGTCGACGAAATCGTGACTAAGTGCAAAGTGCATTGCCGTGATTCTTAATACCAACAAACTTTGAACAAAGTAAAGGCATTGTCACCACCAAATTACTCATCAAGGGGTGATATTTTTAAGAAAATGGACATTTCATGAAATCAAGAGATAGGTGATAAGACATCATATGCCATAATTTATCTTATAATTCAGATACTTCTTATAAAGGGTTTCATGCGAAAAATCACAAAGACGTCGCAATAAAATGAGTTTCGTGGTTTCTTCACTATCTCTCTTCAGCACATTCCTTATCGAAACACTCTCACAAGAAAAGAAACTGAACAAAAGCTTTATCTGGCTAAATGCACTCAATACAAACAATCGAAAGTGATCAATGTATTTGACAAATATTCTCTTATCATGAGTGTAATTAAATATTTGCCAGTAATCATGATGCAAGTACGAGATTTATTCAAAATCACCCTTAAAATCATGTGAAATATTTCGCGCCGAGTGAGAAAAATGTTTTTATAATTAATTATTCAACGCGAAAGTGAATGTTGGAGCATTAGAATCTCGTGTTCACGTGAAACATGGCAAAGGTTATCGAATGTCGAAAGTTACACTTCATGCGCTTCTTCATTAATAATCTCATTATGTTGTGAAATTGATTTTTGAGCTTATCTCTAGGTGGAGTCATTGAGCATTGTTAAAATAATCTTAGTCAAGGGGTGAATTACTTCGCTAAATACTACCAACTAACTTTTTATGAAATACAAGAATGTACGATTAGGAAAACGCGTTCCATTTTAACAAATGGGGCTTCTGACGAAAAAAAGAAGGAAAAGAGAACTTACTTGTTATCTTAGCCCGTTGTGGCCTTTCTTAACTCATAAGCATTATCAAATAGGTTTTTAAATTGCTCGATTGGGGAGAAAAAGTGAGATGAATTCCTCTCGATCCAATTATGAATAGAAATTTCTTCATTTAGTTTACTGATAATGAAATATTTATGTAAAAATTATCTGTAAATACATTTTATTGGCGTAGAATGAGCAAATACAACACTTCAATCATTACAAAATACACATGAATATAAACTACTGCTGTTAATGTAGTGATTATTACAATACTTCTCTTGGTTATTGCTGAAAGTCAAGGTTCACTCTGTATACTACTGATCATCTGCCATCTGAAAATTGATTCAAGCGAAAAAATGTACAGCCAATACAATAAAATAATGATTTAATTGCCAACTGCATTCGATATCTCAACATGGAATATTTTCTTCTTTTACCTATTTTTTTTATCGTGTGACAAAGAACCATTATAGTGATTGCAATTTGTGTACATCACAATTGCGATAAATCGTCTGTATTGCTATGCTGCACTAAAGAATCACCAATTCTGACTGCATAATGCGAAGGAAGTAAAAAACTACTCTCAGTTAATATGTTTACTTGTTGCAAGTAAAAATCTACATAAATAGCAAAATTGTACAATCTTTCAATTACACATTTTTCCCTTTCTATTTATAAAATTCGCACACCACTCTGCTGAGGCCGTCACTTCTGGTATCATAAAATGAGGATGGGAGATGACGATGGATTTCGTTGAATTATACGTCTGGAAACATTTCGTCAAATGTGGAATCCTTAAGAATGTTGTTGGCGATATCAAGGAATGTCTTGGACAGACTCTTCTCCAGGCCGGGAATGATTTCATTCAAGAAGAGCTTCGAGTTGTCGTTGATCACTTGATTTCCCACTTGTCCCAATACAGGATCACCATTGAAGAGGTTGTCCAAGAAGATCTTCTGATCCTCAATCTTGATCTTGGCCTGAAGTCGATTGAATCGCACCCTCTCGACACCATCCTCCATCACCTTGTTTCCTCGCAACTTCACTGAAGCTCTCGTTCGTGCTGGAAAGTATAGCAAAATAAATTATTAGAAAATTTCGACAGTTACAGATCAGTTTATTCATACAAAGAGTTCCTCGAACATTTCCTTTGCCTCCGATGTCAAGCAAGAGAATGCGGATTTTCAAGGCATATTTCCCAGTGAAATTCAATTGAGGCAGAAAAATATTGAAGTCAAAGGCCAGATTATTAATATCGGCTCTGAAAAGAAGAAATCAGTCCATCAGAAATATGATTAACAATTATCATGATTAAAACTATTTCTTACTTGAGCTTCTCAACGACAAATTGACTGGGACCGCTGACCAGGAGATTGGTAAACGTAGCCCTAAACTCCTGTCCACGATGCATTTCGATGTTCTCAATCATCATGGGCTCCAATGGTGGAGTCTTGAAGTTCTCCCCAAGATCCCCAACAGACAAATCGGGTCGCAGTCTTTCCACAGCATCAATTATGCATTCCTCCGGTCGTGGAAGATTCCTTGAGCATGTTTTTATAGTAGAGGCTGTGGGAAATAATTAAACATTGAAGATGATCATCACGATTGTCACCGAGATATAATATAATCAGTGCAAGTGTTTCTTATGCGCGGAAATGACACTTTCTTAGTGTTCTGTGTTGATTTTTTGCACGATAACTATGTCACGCAAGGGGGAGATGTTGTGTCGGAAGTGATGTACAGTAGTATTGCATGAAAGCATTAAAAATCTCTAGCTGAGACAAGAGAATCTAGATCAGATAGATGAGGAGGAAGTATTGGTATTTTTTCTAAAACTCTATTAAAGTGATGAAAGTGTTAGATTTCCTGCACACAATTGTGAAAATGCCAGAAAATGATACGCAGATATTTATTGCCACATTATTTCCCCCTTGACACCGTAGGAGCTTTCCTATCTCGGACACGGTATTTCCTTTGCATCTTGTGCACTCCCGTTGATCATACTTAATCAAGATCAAGTGCACCGGACCCATTTGTCTATGAATATCGTGACGCGCTCTCTAATGCCGTCTCGCACACACGAAGGTTGATGCTGAATTTGATGATTGTTGTGAATTATTCAATATTCCACATCTTGCGTATCATGCTCAGATCTACAGATGTTTTTGATTCTCTCGCGTCAGATTTATTCATACTTATAATTCATTCCTAACCTGTCTCAAATGGAACAAGAAAAGCTTCGAACAAAAAGAAGATTATAGTCAGATTGATCTCACTTGATTGCCTTTAACAAAACAAATAAGCTTCCTAGCTATTAATAAGATCGAAACAGATTAACTGATAGGGGAGTGTGGACCTCTGTGAGAATCTAAGATTGCGAGTCAGAGTTTAATTATAGCGTCTACATTGTGCGACATATACGCATACTAGAGATTTGCTACTATTTTAGTACACTTGCAATCTAGTAATAAGTGTAATTACTCTGTGGTCTGATTCCCCACCCCTTTTCAACCAAGTTGAATAACCTTTGACCAACGAAGCCCCACTCTTCCCTAGTTCTTTGGGATTTTCTTTTCTCTTAGTCATAGCTAAGTGATTTTAATTCGCTCTTTTTTCTAATATTCCCACAGATAATTTGCATGGGTATTATATAATTGTACAATATGTAACTTGTATTTTTATACGAACTTAAACAAATTGTAATACACTTCTACTCAAGTGATAAAGGTAAAATCAATATGGAAAGCAAAGGAGAACCGCGGAGAGTGTGATTGAGAGGCAAAAAGTCCACTTGAATATGGCATATAATAAATTTTTTGAGCGCATATTGATATGTCTGTGTCGAATAAGGTATATTATTTTGTAATAATACGCGGCGCTTTCTCGAAAACTCACATCAGCAGAAAGAGTGAATTACTTAATGGACTATGTCACGATAGAAAGGATGTGACTTCATATCATGCGGCTAGAATTTAAATGCGAATTTGCGTACATTAAATTGATTTCCGCAAATTACACTCTGACGATGTCTATGACACAATTCTTGCAAAGGCCACGAGATTCCATTCTGTTAAGAAATCCCATCACAGTGCATCAATTCCTATAGGGGTCTTTTGAACTTTGCCGTTGGTTGAGTTTACAAATTGTAATCAAAGATTGCAGACTCTGAAAAATTTATGGCCATGTCGAATTTCATGTTGTGGCTTTTCAGCTTTTAAGTGGATGTCAACCGGAGATCTTAAAGCGTCAGGTGAGAAAAAATCTCTAACCCAAATTTCGGTTACATTTCTTAACTCGTAAAATATATGATTAGTCAGCCAATACGCGATGTGAAAAAAGTATTGCATGCAATAACTCGCGAAGCTTTCAGTTTCGATGTGATATTTTCTAAAATGGCACTTTGGGATGTTGAACTCGAAGCATTTACAATTGTAAACGCGAATTAAGTTTTTCTTCTCATTCTTCCCTGACGACATTTGTTGTGTCTACACACGAAGCCAAAGAGATAATTATTTCATCCGCAGACTGTGTACCTTGTCCAAATGCGCCTATTACAGGTTTTCGCGCCGAGAAACTCGATCACTTCCACTTTTAGCTCTTTTATACCTTGTCGCTATTTCTTGTCCCAGCGGAAGTACAATTTATGTTGAAACATTCAAATATGCACATAATGTGCAGGCCGGAGATTTGCCAAAGGAAAAATTCTTACTAAAGTGCATCATATATTAATATTTATATCGCAATGCCACTCAAGGTTATTGCGGCATTTTTATCCCATCATTTAATGAAATCTTATATATGTTGTGCAATTTCTGGCAAAAACAGCAAGCTCAATTCAAGCAGACAAATAAATAGCAAACGATTTACTACTCATTTGTATGTTGAATTCAAATTCTCTTATTTTTCACTCCATAAAGCAACCAGAAGCTGGCGAAATGCGTCAAGTGTCTTTTTTATCACTTAATATTCTACTCATGTTCACTCCATCAGAGTAATAACCATGAGGATATTATTATTCAAATTTTTAGTATGTGCACATCATGTTTGTCAAATTCTAGCCAATATTGTTTGAACTAAAGTGTTTTCGCTCTACACATTTCCTCAATGAAGCCAGAAGCAGAAATTGATGTGAGATTATTTGCTGTTAGAAAATGCACGATGAAAAGCGAAACTCTTGTATAAATCTTGAAGTTAACATTCAAACAGTAATTTTCGCGGAAGTTATTCTATCTATAGAACAGTATACAATCTTTCTAGGTAACAGTGAAACTTGATTCACAATCACCAATTTAGTCCTTTGACGTGTGATATCTAACAATTATAACTTTAGGACAATTATATTTAAATGATCTGCTTATTAGCTGTGATTTAACTTTACACATCAATTATAATTTCTATTTATACCCTTGAACGCAGCATAAGCTCGAATCGCTCAAATAAAGAAGAAAAAGGAATCGTGAAATCTCTCAGGTGTTTCACAATTCCTCTTTTGTGTTTTTTTTCTTCTCATCGAAAATCAAATATTAAATAATCTACAGTGCTGACTTTTTTGTCATCTTATAGTCACACAAAAATCCCAAGAAACTAGCTTTTGAATTGTATTTCTAACCTTGTAAAGCACATCAGGAAAAAATTCCATTGTATATTAATAAAAAAAAGCCCTGTTTTCCTGCTTCACTTACGCAAATTTCCAAGTGATCCATTAATAAGTCCAAGGAGTAAAATGCCCACGAGTGCGATAAATTTCTCTTTTCTCGTAAAATCTTCCATGGTTTCGGCACTTGCACACTTTGGGAGAGACCTGATAAATTTGCACAAACGCTTATACGCACGACGGTGACTCGAGATGTACTTGTTGAAAGTCCGACATCCACAACTCAAACTGATATCTTTCTGGACAAACTTCTCTTTATATACAAGACAGTACGACTGGTGCCCACCATTCAACAGATCCGCACTTTTTCTCCAGTCTGCATTTTCTAGGGGGAAACTCACGCTGGGGAATTTTTCTGGTTTTCCATCGTCTCGTTCTTCATTCCACTGAATCATACAATTTATCCAATTCATTGTGGATTTTTCGCAGTCTCTCCCACTAAGCTAATCCATCTCTGTTCCCACCGAACGATATTTATCTTAGGTATTATTGCAATTTGACAAAAAAGACATCACGCGTCGAAAAAGCCTTTTTTTCTCACCGCAATTTCCATGTAGATATCATACAAAGTACTACAGTGATGAGAGTTAATTCAATAGACTGTTTGCATATCTCAAATTGAAATGAGTAATTAATAATGCTTTTTCTTCATCAATGAAGTGCCAGCAATATTAGCTAGACAGGCATTCGTTCATTTGCAAAGTAAAAAAAATTAAAAAAAAAACAAGTTACACGCAGTGGAAATGCAGACCTTCAAAAAATAGTGAGATTAATGGATGTTTAAGTACCATTTAAATTTTTTCTTGGTAATCTATTTGTCCATTATTTATATAGAGATCGTTTGCAACATCCATTTTTATCCTTCACACAATTTTCGAACAACTTTGCTCATCAAGAAAGTTTTATTGTTGGAAAAGAAATCATAAGTTACACTTGCTCTTGAACGTGAACTTTTCATTGTTGGTCATTTCTTCGCATTGAGATTACATCATTGTTGAGATTGAAGAAAATTTCAGTCATAAAAACAAAACTAGTTCTTAAGTGTGTTGGGAAAGCACAAATTGATTGTGGGAAGCTGTGGTCACAAGTGGATTAAAAATTCTCGTGTTTTCCGAAATGCAATGCAAGTGTATTGAATTAAGAGTAATTGATCATAGAGATAATCCTTTGTATGTATAAAAAATTAATAGATAGATATAAGAATTTTTTATATTTCGGATTCTTCGCTAAAACAACCTACAAATAAAAACTATATTATTATACTAGAAATGTTCTCCTAATACATGTGTTTCATATACATTGGATAGTTATTTTTTTCATTTTGTATTAAATCATATTGAATGATTAAGTTAGCAAAGAAATGCAAAAACCGTTTTTTTATTGCATAGATTTCAAACGATTACTTTGAATGCCAACTCAACAGGGTTGACCAAATAATTTTCGTTCAGTTACGTATGTGTTTCCCCAATTTAGAATCACGGGATTTTTCGTAGGAAATCCGATTGAGAAAATCTATTGATCTGTACCTTATCTGAAAAGTTTTAAAACTCTGCGATTTTACCAAACCTTTCACAGAATAACAGAAGATGTTTCAAAACAGAAAATACTTTAAATAATTTTTAATTTAAATTTTAATATGTAAATTAGATTATATACAATTATATGAGGTTTCAGTTAAATTTCCATAATTTTGCTGATTTCAATTATATGAATTTTGGTGATAAAACACAACGAACCGTGAGCGATTCACGATTATATGCAATTTTTGATGTTATATATGCTTATATATTTATAAGGCATATGAGACAATCGCAGACAAATCATTAGACTCTTCCCTCTCTCATCTACAGTGCGGACAGAATTGCTATGAGGCAAGCTTGTCACTTTGTTGAGATTCTCTGGGTTTGAGCTTGGTGTGTGCGTCGCGAAAACCTCATTTATCAATAATAGCTCGTGCAGTTTAGTATTAAAAGTATAAAATGGCATCAGACAACTGCATATTCGGTGATGGAAGCACTAAATGTAGCCAGAACGTGTAGTATTTGTGTGGATTTCGTGGTGAAAAAGTGTTACATTTTTCATTTTACGCTCTTTTGTTTACCTTTGTGGGTTGTAAGAAAGTTTCATTCATTTCACCAAGAAGGATAATCGGCTTTTTCGTCTGCTGCCCCGAACTAATTAGGGCTTAATTCCTGGAGCATTGAGTGTCTCGTGAGTAAGTGAGGTGTCGAGAATAGAGAAGGAGTGTAGTAAGAAGTAACTCAGGTCATTGGAAGTCCTTGGGCGAGTGAAAATCGTAAACTGTATATCGAGTTGTTGAGCAGAGAGCAAGAAACTCAGGGCCGCATTTGGAATTCCGACTGATCTTCAGGAAAAGAGGGTCACCGAGGTACTGCGACGTACAGCATCAGTGGACAAGTGTTCTTTGCTTCTATAACACGGAAACAACAGGTAATTTTTCGGCGCTGCAATAGGCGCAATTTTGTGAGGTGACTTCCTGCAAACTAAAATAACTTTTGTGAATCGTAGAAGAACGATGCAGCGTTGGTGGTACATTGATGATAGCAACAAGAGCGGCAAGAGTGATGTGGCAACTTTTAGTGCTCCTCGGTCGCGGATCAGCGCGCCACGTCAATTGGACGACCGGAAGTGGACCTTTAAAGTTCACACTCCGCAGCAGCTTGGCAACAACAACGAGATCGTGGCAATTGCCGGAGATTGCGAGCAGCTTGGCAATTGGAAGCCCAATGATGTGTTCCCTATGGAGAGGGTCGAAGGTGAGTGCAATGCCATGCGACACGGAAGACCTCAATTTGCCACTTTGTGCACTATAAATTGAATCACTCGCAAAGAAAGCCAACGATAAGAATAGTGACTTAATGAGAAAGTGTTGAAATTTCACACAGAAGCTAATGCAAACGTCTCCAGAGGAGCAAAGACCAGACAGATTATGTGTACGTTTGGTGGCAAGAAACTCTATCAAATGTGGCGATGTGTGGAGAAAAATCGCACGAGGAAAGTGCTAAAATTAAAAATCAGATGATCGCTCGCGACGCGTGTGAAAAGGCGAGAGAGAATAGCGATATTCATGCCAAAGTAGGTGTGACGCACATAATTTAATGAAGCGATACTATCTCTATTGGATAACATTGGTTACGATAAGACGTAGTTGACTTGGGTATTTTTTCCCCTACAGTAAATATTTATGGGTGTTCTTGAAACTTTTTTAATTTGCCAAAGTCATGAGACAACGGCATCAAGCACTAGAAGAGACACATCGTATCAAAGCAGTATCTAAGATCACAACTCTCTTTCCGTGAGCTTTCGTGAAGTACTTAAGTAACTGTTAAATCAGTAATCAGCTGATTGTCTGGCCCCCACGCTCGCCTGATCGGTGAGTCCGCCTGTTTGTGTACACACAATCGCATAGCGATTGTGCTCGTCACACACAAAGCACGAGGCGAGCATTCACTTCGTGGATTCGCAGCAAAAACAAGCAAATAAACAGCGACTTGGATGTCAAGAGGAGAAAAAGAATGCATGTGCATTTAATTCTCTTTATTGCTAAGATAATAAGTTTTCCAAGCATGAACACAGATATTAATTTTACATTTGTGCAAACATGAGAAAGCGACATTGCAATCTCTCAGAACGGAAACCTTGAAAAGTGCAAGTTTTCATAGTAAAATAATATGTATTTGGCGCAAATTGTAACGTGAGTAAGGCTGCAATGAGGTGCAGTTTGATAATTACTTAACGTGATAGTAGATTTTTCTAATAATTTCCTCTATGCGGAACCACTGAGAATGAAACTTGTGTAATGAAAATTCCTATAGAAGAACAACACATTTAGATTTTAGCTGACACGAGGCACGAGATCTCGTGCTCAAGATGCTATATTGAGAATAATAATCGTGTTTTGATGCGTGCAAAGCTGACCCAGTTTGTTGCCTTTCACTGCCATCATATCTCCTGTTTTGCCTGTTTTTCCCCTCGTAGTTACATATTATTTTATAATAATAAATTTATTGACATCACAATAATTTTTTAAAATATCCAAGCTAGCAAATATTGACGAAAATATGATTAGGCGTAAGATATGCAACACTGATGATAAATAATCGTCGATCGTCAATTTATTGTCATTGTTTTGCAAAAATTAGTTGCTCAGTTTAAAAACCATCACAAACTTTGCAGATCTTCCTCACTTTCCCCTACAAGTGCGTAATATTAATTAAATTTGAGAAATCTGTAAATAGAGTGTTATCCCATCTTATATAATTCGGTGCGTTATCTACACTTGTCTCAATTTTAATTACCAACTTGTCTTCTGCCAACAAGTGACACTCGATCGTCGCCCGTGGCGAAATCTCCCGATACTTGGCTTGCAAATATATTTTGATAGCATTATCGTTGAGTATTCTCTGTAAGCACTTCTGTAGTATTTCTACACTTTCTTCACGCGTCTTCACAAGTCAGGCGATGAGTAAAGTCCAATGTTTTTTGTAAACTTCGCAGAAAAACTGCGAAACGGAGAATTTACGTTATTCGATAGAAAACCACGTCTCTGTTTCTGGTAAACGTGGTAAAATTATAATTAGCGTGAATTCTACTTGGATAATTTGTTTGAGATGTAAAGAATGTAGTGTCTTCTATTACTTTTTGAAATGCTAATACCTTTTTTGGTTTTCTTTTACCGTATTTCAACGGCCTTCTGTTGGCGATATGATGCTGTGTGAACATCATTTTGGCGATGATCCAGGAAGTGATATCTGGGCCGCTGTTGTGGACATTCCTTCTCAACGTGTTATCAACTATCGCTATTTGATTTGCGCTGTCGATCCGGCCACTCAGAATGTACATGTGCGACAATGGGAGACTCACCTTACTGCCAGGAGCATTCCTGCCTTCACGGACACCTTGGAGTCGTTCGACACGTTTGGTGACATTGGCGGAACGTATAAAGTTGACAGAGGATGGCTGACCACAGAGACTATCTTCCAATTCTCCTTCTACAATAATCCATTCATGCTCACGGGAAAGGCAAAGAACAAATTGATATACGTAAAGGTGAGTATCGAAGATGGAAAACGCCTTTAAGATCAAAACTTAGACATAAAATTATTTGTAATTTAGTACAATTATCAGAGCATTACACTTGGTCAAGTGGTATCAAATCGTATAATATCGTTTTGAAAAATGCATAGCTTGCCAATATGATAATTCTAGTAATTAAATGATTGAGATGCTCAAGATGAAGATGACTTAGGAGACAGAGAGGAGAGAAAACATATGTTTTTCTTATATTATTTGCTTTTAGTTGACTCCAATGAATTTGCGTGTAAGCTCTGAGGCCCAAGATATTGCTGCCGTTCTTGAAGAATCGCTGTCGAATGATACCCGTGAAAATGGCACAGAACAGCCAGCATACGCCTTCACGGAATGCGTATCACTGCAAAGCGATGAGGCCAAACTAGAGCCGCTCTCGCAATTTGGCCGCGCCTATCATCCGGATGATATTTTAATGTTTCACGTTACAGTGACGGAGCCCGAGAATGTGGCCTATTTAATCGATTTGTATACATACAGTTCTAGGACATGCCAGGAAGAGCCGCCGCGACATGTTGGTTATCACTATATATTGCCTAATTTGTTGAAGAAATCCGAAGGGCAATTGGAGTTGTCAGTGACATGCGCCTCCAAGCATCGCCCGCTCGGCATGATGAGAGTGGAGTATGTGAAGGTGAGTGAATATGAGATGTCTCATGTGATAAGGCGCCTTTGGCTCTACTTAAGGCTTTTCCTTGTTTCACTCCACATGGTTACAGATAACGCCATTCGCGCCGCAAAAGCTGAATTTGAAGACGTCATACGTAAGACACTGGAATCCCAAGTGGAAGGGCTTGGAAATTGGACACCGCGGCTCAGGCACGAGTTTCAAGTCGAAGGACGGCAATCTCATAAGGGAGAATACAATCGCCTCGCTGAAAAAGGCTGTGGCGCATGGAGCCGATATGGTGGAATTTGACGTGCAATTGAGCAAAGATCTCGTGCCCGTGATTTATCATGATTTCTCTGTGTACGTGTGCCTCAAGAGGAAGAAGCAAATTGATACTAATGACATGCTGGAATTGCCAATGGGCGATCTGACACTGGAGCAATTGAACAATCTCAAGGTGTACCATGTTGAGGAAGGAAAATCACGTGAGCCGCGCTTCTTCGATGAGGATTTGGAGGAGCATCAGCCATTTCCAACGCTGGCCAAAGCCTTGGAGACAATCGATCCTCACGTGGGCTTCAATGTGGAGGTGAAATGGTCAATGCGCTTCTCAGATGGCACACGCGAGAGTGACTACATGACGGACAAGAATCTGTATGTGGACGCTATTTTGGACGTGGTTCTCAATCATGCAGCAACACGGCGGATTGTCTTCTCATGCTTTGATCCCGACATTTGCACGATGCTGCGCTTCAAGCAGAACTTGTATCCAGTGATGTTTCTCACGTGCGGCGACACAGCCAAGTATCCAAAGTATTACGATCCACGCTGCAATTCTCATGGTAACGCCATTAAGAATGCCTGTGCGATGGAGCTCCTGGGAATAGTGGGGAATTCTGAAGATTTACTGAAGAACCAACAATCGGTAATATGAAACTTTATACATTTTTCGTCAATCAGTGGTGGAATTTGATAATAATGTATTCTCATTTTTCACTTTCTTTCCTCTATCTTTGCTTGTGTACTGATAAAAACGCAGATTCAGCAGACCATCGACAACGGTTTGATAATTTTTTGCTGGGGCGAAGAGAATAATTGCTCCAATACGATTCGACACCTGAAGAATTTAGGACTTCATGCCATTATTTATGATAAGATGGATGTGTTTTCAACCAAAGAACGGAAGGTAATGAGATTAAAATTCAATGAACTGGTAATTAAAGAAAGAAACACAAAGATAGAGAACTTATGCGATATGTGCAATGATTATTGATAAATGAGCAATACTATTGTAGATGCGACCAGGCTCAGATCGTCTGGAGTGTGAATGTCTAACTTGTCAAGCAGAAGATATTTTGGTTCTCTGATATTATTGATGTCAGATTTTTAGGTGAAAGTATGTTTTGATTGCACTCTGCATTCCCCTTCTTTTTCCACTTTCACATACTGATATTATTTATCACTTAAAAATTTGTTTGCTGCTTGAATCACTGAAATTGTAGACAGTCTATTCTATTTGAATATTCGGAAGACATTCACATGAAGTGCATTTGATTTATCATTTACATTATGTATTGATTTAATTGCTTCTCTTTGCTCAACAATTCTGTATTCTCTGCAGACTTTGCTCGGGAGAAAAAAAAATCATTTCCTTATTGTAGAAACATATGAAATGCCATTATAATGAACAGAGTGTTGGACAAAATAGTTCTCTAATCGCATGTTTCAGTTTGCGGTTCATTATAGTTCATTTCATATGAATGACCATTTGATTTATACCTTATTTAATTTCCACATTCCATTTTATTGTATGTCAAATTGGTGAATATTTATTAACTTTGCGTCATTCCCACAGGAGAACATCTTTTTATTGGAGGCTCGCGAATCCCAGAATGAATTGCTGCAGAATATTCACGAGGAGAAGCGCAAAGACATATTGGATAAACTGGTTTCTGCCAAATAAATAAGATCTCTAACATTTTTAAAAATAATGTGCAAATCTTGTCTTGAGTAATATTTCATAAGATAGTGGAGGATTGAATAAAATTTGCATAAGGAGTTTTACCAATTACTAAAAATTGACCGCTGAAAATTACTTTTTATCTTTTCTCGTTGTTGTAAAATGGAATTATATAAGAGAAGCAAATGACGATATTTATTTCAAAATAAACAATATTTTACCTCATATTAGTGTTAAGGTAAAGTGGTAATTTGATATGGAGTTCTATGATGGTTTGCGGTAATGTTTCTGGAAAATAAATATAAGATAGAGATAATTGTGCTTTTGATTTTGTGTATCACTACATTCTTGAGCTATATGTTATATTTAAATGAATATATAATACACTATAATGATTCTAATACGTAGGAGATTCCACATTGAGATTGAGAATAAATGTTCGACATCTGACAAATCTGTATTAAGATGAGTTTAAATTGTTCCCTGCATTCAATAGAAGTGCAGACTTTGTGAATGTCGTGATTATTGAGTTGCTTCAGCTGTTATAATTTCATTTGTACAAATGTGAGTCAATTGGTTGAAGTAATTAGCGCTTATTTACTTGCGCGGAGATTAGTGTCGAGCTGTTGCAATGCGATTTATGTGATATAGAGAATGATATTTACCTTCTATGACTCCTTTGTTATCGCAATTTTAACTTAGTCTCACGTATTCTTATCTAATATTGCGCAAATGAACAATGCACTTGACGGATTTTAATGTCGTATTTGGAGTGGATTGCAAATAGAAACAGGATTGCACGCCTTTCTTGCGATGTGTTGGCTATTCGGGAACTGTATGAGTCTGCCGAAATAGAACTATGATTTTTAAGAGCATCACATTGTATTCCGTTTAACTGATTGTAATGTATTCCATCCGGTGTATTTGGACAGCCCAAAGTCACCCAGAGAGCAGCGTTGGCGCGAATGAACAATCACTGACCACATTGTCCAGCAATTGTTGGGAATCATGCCATTTGACTGGATAAGGTGTGCGGAATAAGGAGTGCTCTGACTCTGGAGGACTCTCTTTGTATTCGCGAGTGGCGCGCAATTATTTCCCTCACGAACACTTGTGAAAATTCTCACACACAGCGGAAGATTCTAACGACATCGATACTCTCTCTGCGTAGTGTTCAATGCGCTCTCAAATTTGACCAACATTATTCGCGGGAGATGCGATAGTGTCGTTTCTCTTCGTGGAGTGTTCAGAAGCACAGCCAGCATCCGAGAGTCTTCATCTCTGATCTGTTCTTTTTTCTACAATCCCAGTTCACTTTGGAATATTACCTAACATTCTTGCTGCCCTGAAAAGGACGCGAAGAGAAAAGGATACAAGAGGATTTTTCCTGCAAAATTCCCACCCAGTGATTTGTCTCAGTTCCACCTTTGAAACTCCCTTGCAAAGGACGAAAACCAGAGAATTATGGCGGCAATTCGGGAATTGTTCCTTATCACCTTCGTCACCCTGATGTGTTTTGCAAAATTAGGTGAGAATCATTGTGGAAAATCCCGTGAAAGGATTTGCAAAAAATATCGAGTGTTTATTCTCAAAGTGTTGTGTGACTCCTCCGGACCCTTATTGACCTTTTCCAGTGCTCTCTAAAAGGGAAATGATGAGTGGTCTACGCGGAATTAATTAACAAAATTGCTTTTAATGAATTGAAGTGGAGATTATTGTGTTATGAGTTCGTAAATATGGTAATTGCCATATGAATACATGTCGAGCTAATTTTTTCTTCAAGCCTATGCACAATTTTCACCATACAAGTGCCAATGTAGGAATTTTACACGTCCAAATGGGTCAAGAACTCCCAATTCGGAGTCACAATTACCTGCTGACTTGCTATGGAAAATTGTACCGGAATCATTAAAGGGGGCACACAACAATAAATATTTCATTGCAATTCTCCCCATCCGCCCTTCTTTGCTGTACAGTGTGCTGAGAAAATCATTCTTTTTATCGATTCTCGCCACAGTGCGCAAGTCAAACTCCCATTGTGATGGAGAAGAAATCTCTCCCAGTGAGACTCTCCCCTCGATGATGAGTAAATCACGCGACATCCCCATCGATTTCCTTTGGCGGGACACACACTCTCTCTCACTCTCACCCTCTCAATGGAACAAATTCTGTCTCTGCAGGATCCGCAATCCGTTGCTATGAGTGTAATAGTCACACGGATGTTCGCTGTGCCCAGGACATCCCTCCGGATGAGCTGTCAATCGAGTGCGGGGACCACAAGCACGGAGTGGCGTACACTTTTTGTAGGAAAATCACTCAAGTCATTGAATTCTCCGTGAACAATTGTAAGTCTTTCGCACACAGCAATCTGTGCCAAGAAAATACTGAGAATTGTATTCCTCCCCTCAGTGCCTCCCGATAGCCGTGTCATTCGTGGATGTGGCTGGGACTCCTCATCCTATAAGGTAAGGTCAATCATGAATTTCACGCCCCTACAAAATGGCCCTCGTGGAAAGTTACTTTGTTGTAAATTACATAATTCACTTGCCAATGTATATATTTGTTATCAATCTATTTTACTTTGATATTTTTTCAACTAGTTGCCCATTATTGTTTGTTTGTACTTGAGGCAAAGTTTATGAAATCATGAGCTCATTCATCATCACAAAAATCGTCTACTAAGTCTATACAACATTTCCTACAGCTCATAACGATAATAATGTATATAAATAACCGCAATTTTTGAGTAAAAAATTGTAAAATTATTCATATTAATTGGGAGACGACAATTTGCTGTCGAAAAATACTCTAATTTTAAAGCCTTTTTATCTCCGCATAAAATCTCCTCCAATTTTAGCAACTAAAATTTTTTTTTATTTTTGCATTCTCCAGGATAAATGCTACCAGAGATCTGGCTTCGGCGGTCGCTTGGAAGTCTGTGCTTGCTCATCGGACAACTGCAATGGTTCTGTCTCAATGAGGAACATCAGCGCAGCTTTTGGCCTTGTCATGGTCGCTCTCGCATCACTCTTCTCTCGATGGTAATTTAGTTATTGGAGGCAGAACCGAAAAGCTCTTTTTTTAGACATCCACACGAGATGCCAGTATGATTTCCTCCACGCCAGGCGACTAATTTTAGGAGTTATATTAGTGGAAAAACTTGCGACACTTCCCCTATCTGCAACTTGAATGTTTTGAAAATAAGATTTAGTGAAAAGACCAAAAGGCTATCAAGTTCGTCTCGTTTGACTACACCAGCATACATCAATGGAGGAAAATATTTATAATGAATAATCATTCTATAGAGCAGTACATAGAGATTATAGAGAAATCGTTCTCCCCCCTTATCTACGTACTAAATATAAATTAAAAATATAGATGCGTTGTATATATTGAAGAGTTTTACATTTAAATATTTGTGCCTGTTTTATTGTGAATTTATGGAGTCGTCCTATGCTTTAATAATTAGATGAGAAGTGTACAATTGTAAAGCTCGCTATCACAGTAATTCCTTCTTTAACCTCTCCTGAGTATCTTAATTGTATGAGAAAAATATCTTCAAATGAGATAAGATCGTTCGTAAACTGCCATTCTTTTGAGAGTTAGAAAGAGAGAGAGAAATTTAATTATACGAGAGTCATCAATAAAGAGAGTTTAATAAAAATTTTAAGAATCGAGAAAATCACGTCTTTCAGTGGAAAAGCGCGGTGCGCAGATTTTTCCCGCCAAAAAGCGCGGGAAGCGCGCAAAGTAGGCCGTGAAAATTCTGTCACTCGCTTTTCACACATTTTCTCCGCGTGGGTACGCTAAGCTGATTTTCACTTGTGCAGCGATATTCTGGCTTATTTTCCGAGGTAGGTGCAAATATGTCGATATTCCCAATGTGCAATCTTTGGTGAGGAGTCGTGCTGAGTGGCGGGATGAGAAATATAGCGACCACGTGCTACAATTTGTTCCATCCACCCACGCGCGTCATGGCGTCTATTTCCTGTCGGGGGCATGCACTCGCATGCTGAATCACCTCATTTGCATTTAATTGCAGCAAATACTGGAGATGGAGCACTACAAACTGACCTCTCAGTCGTCAGAGCGCCAGAAGTCGCCATCCAATGACTTCCCATCACTCATGGATTACTCTCAGTTTGCCGCTCAGAGTTTTCTTCCACTGTCTACACCTTTGGCCCCAATTACGCCGCTCGCGCTCACTCTGCCTCTCATCTACGGCCAAACCTCTAAGCCCAGAGCTTCCGCTGATGGCAGACCATTCAATATCAGCGGGGATTTCGGACCGAGGCGCAATCCCGAGATAACCAAGGCTCAATTCACCAGCGTGGCGCTGAAGGGATGCGAGATCGCAGAGAAGATCCTCAATAATCACAAGAATCGACCATGCTTCAAGAAGATTGATAGCCTTTGCGCGCGTCTCAAGCTGGACGTCTTGCGCACAGACAGCGTCCTGGCCAACATCAATTCCCAGGGAATCGCGTGGGCTGTGAAAGACATGATCTTCACCTTTACTCGCATCATCAATGCCTGGAACATTATGAAGGGCTACATGTATGATGTTCAGCCCGGCCTCAAGAAAGTCAAGGAGTCCTGCTCCGAGGACTTTGACGAGAGCTTCAACCGGTGGGAAGAAGCGAGCCTGGCTTTCCTCAAGGAACTCGTGGAATCCTACGAGAAGCTGGATCACATGGTTCAGACACAGAAGAGTCGCCACGGTTCGAACGGCAAGAGAGAGGAAGAGAAGCCGAAGCAAGGCAACTCCTCGCATCAATCCCAGGATGAGATTTCTGATGTCTTTTCACAGATGAGTCTCTTCCAAATGATGCAAACCAGTGCTGCCGATGGCGGAGGATATATGCGCACTGGAGTTTACAATTCTCTCCAGACAACCGCCTCAAGCCAGCAGATCAATCCAGATCAGCTGCTTCAGTGGGAGCAAAGCGTTTTCTCGCAGAGAAATCCCACTCCTGTCGCGGCAGAAGCGCCCGTAAAGCTTCTATCAAAGCCTCTTCACGAAGAACTGACTGATGACAAAGCGAAGTTCGCCGGGGACTCTGAGCAGATGCTGATCCTGATCTTGCTCTCCAAACTCTATGAGATGAAGGATGCTTCGCTGTTCTTCAACAAGCACTTTACGAAGAATTACGTGAGAGAGAATTTCATGCTTCTCTATTTGAATGACTTTCAAAGGATTTTCTTCGGTTCTCTTTTTAGGTCCCAGATTACGTGGCGTCGGCTTTCTCTTGCAATGATATAAAAACAATCATGATGAGTATCGAGAAGCACAGCTATTTGACTTTGATGACGATTGTCAAGGATCTCGCGGCAATCATCTATGATGCAAAGTCTTATGTGAAGGTAAATAGAATTTTACATTAATTAGTAATTTAGATAATTCCTCTTCGTAATCCTTCAAGGAGCATCCAGAGAATGATTTCTTGGCTTCTAACACCAGAGCTTTTGAGAACGAGTTGAAAACTATTCTGGGCGAGAGTGTTTTCTCCAATTTCAACTTTGATGAGTTTTTCATTGATCCCTGAAGAATATTGTGAATTGAAGAAAAAAAAACAATATTTCTTTCATTTCTCATTTTAAATAATAATCACAGAACTTGTTAAAATTCCTTGAATTTGTTTAAAGAAATTTGTATTATATTGAAATACTTCTGTAGATAAATAATTGTAAATTTGAATTTTAATAACGAATAGATCCTATAAAAAACACCCGCTTATCCAAGACACTAAATCACGCGCACCGACCTTCAAGTCCTTCTTGTGATCCCAGCGCCCCTAGTGATCTTCTCAGGTATCAATTTCGGTGTTTTGATAATTTCGCTTGTGATTTTGGCTTTTCTTTCAACGCACCAAAACTATGGGAGATCTGTTGAAAAGTGTTAAAGAACGCTCTGTAAAGCGAAAGCGTCTCTTGGCGCAAACGGTAAGTATCAAATATTGTGTGGATTTGTTGCGAAAGCTTTCTGAATGTCACAATAATCTGTTCTAACCTAACTTTGTGACCAGCTTGGGGTTTCTAGTGTGGAGGACTTGAAATATATCCTTGGAACGGCGGAAGTGGAAGAAACATCATCTCCAAGGAGTGTTCGAGATGACGACGACAAAGCGCCGTCATCGAAAAAATCCAACACGGAAAATCTCTTCTATAGAGATTCGTCGACATTTCTCAAGGTATAACTGATGCTTTCCGGATGTTTATGTTCGTCTGTGAAATGTAATTTGATGTTTCCAGGGAACGCAATCGTCGAATCCTCACAATGACTACTGTCAGCACTTCGTGGACACTGGCCAGAGGCCACAGAACTTTATTCGCGACGTCGGCCTGGCGGATAGATTTGAAGAGTACCCAAAGTTGAGGGAGTTGATCAGATTGAAGGATGAGCTAATAGCAGAAACAGCCACGCCTCCTATGTACTTGCAGGCTGATATGAAGTCGCTGGATCTGAAGAGTTTGGGCACGAAGTTCGACGTGATACTAATTGAGCCTCCGCTGGAAGAGTACGCGAAAGGCGGAGCGGCTGTGGCCGGCGGCGCAAGCCGCTCTTTCTGGTCATGGGAGGAGATTATAGACCTGGAGATTGGTGAACTGGCAGCGCATCGCAGCTTTGTGTTCCTCTGGTGCGGCAGCTCTGAGGGTTTGGACATGGGACGCAACTGCTTGCGCAAGTGGGGCTTCAGAAGGTGCGAGGACATCTCCTGGATACGCACGAACATCAACAATCCGGGCCACTCGAAGATCCTCGAGTCCAAGGCGGTGTTCCAGCGCACAAAGGAGCATTGCCTCATGGGAATCAAGGGCACCGTTCGCCGATCCACGGACGGTGACTTCATCCATGCAAATGTGGACATCGACTTGATAATATCGGAAGAGGAAGAGTTTGGCAGCTTTGAGAAGCCCATTGAGATATTTCACATCATCGAACACTTCTGTCTAGGACGCAGACGCCTCCATATCTTCGGTCGTGACTCCAGCATTCGCCCTGGATGGCTGACCATTGGCCCGGAGCTCACGAACTCCAACTTCAACAGCGAGCTCTACGCCAGCTACTATGCTGACAACACCACCACCGGCTGCACCGATCGCATCGAGGCGCTGCGCCCCAAGAGTCCGCCTGCCAATGGTGGAAAGGTGATCCGCGGTCGCGGCAGGGGAGGATTTTCACGTGCACGTGGACGCGCTAGATAGTTAACTGGGATAAATATTAAATTACTTTTTTACTCACACAAAACTACAGTTGTTTCTGGAGTGGCGTTTGGTGACTCAAATGAGCCATAAATACGTCCAATTCATCCTCACTGGAGGCTTCCTGAACATTATGATATCCAGCATTGCCCGATTCTGAGCTGTCCTCAGCATCGAAGTACTTTTCCTCCTCATCTCGACTGCAAATGGCATCGTTATCATAGTCAGGATTGTTGTCCACTGCTGAGTAATCGAAATCTTTATCTGTTCCTTGGAGGAAATTCGTGTACATGATTCCCATGAACTCCTGCCGTAACAGATCTCTTTCGGAGCTCGTCATAGCTTTCCGTTGACTCTGCCGACTTGTGGAGGAAGATGGCTGATCCTCTGCAAATTCACCCCAAAGACGACCTCGGGGATTGCAATCGGAGCGGTTTGAGGCATCTGAACTGGATGAAGAGTCCTCCTCTTGGTCATTCTTCTCCTGTTTCAACCGTTCACTGTATTCATCGTCCTCAATACCATTCATGAGGACATTTAGCAGAGACGAACTGTCTCTGTTGTCGCGAGATCTCTTCTCCTGCTCAGTCAGGAACTGTCCCACCAGCTGGTCATAGAGCAGAGGCTCCCTATTCATCATTTCTGTCTCTGTGAAGTATGATGAATTCTCAGCGATCATCTTTTGCATGGCAGCATATCTTCGATTCCTCACTTCAACCCCGCGATTCTTGTGCCACTTCCTGAGTCTCTCCAGCTGCTGTCTCACAATGTACTCCTCATCTCCAGTAAGTCCTTTTTCCTCAAAATACACCAAGTTTTCCTGGTCAATGAACTTCCCGAAGCGATCAAGGAAGAGAGAATCCTTCTTATTCCACAAACTCTTCACAATTTCCTCTTTCTCGTCTCTTGTGAGTTCCGGATCGTCAATTTGCTGGCTCTTGAAAAATACTTGATCATTGAGACAAATATTTTCTATTATTTTCCGACGCAATTCATCCTACAAAAAAATAAAATTGCTGCTGTGAAATTCGCAATCTCGCGCGCGAATCAAATAATTTTTATTACCTCTTCAGTGACAACAGCGCCTTCGTCGAGTATAGTTGGAAGCATTTCTGACAGCACGTGTGATTATTTTTATTCTCTTCTTTTTGAGGTGTTTTACACAAAAAATAGCTTTTACAATTCGTTAATCAATAGTTAAATGGGCCGAGTAACTCGCGGTCTTGTTATTTTACGTAAAATTATTTGTTTATTGTGTGGTGCACAACGAATATTGGAGTGAAACGCAAATAGAGAAATCGCACTGGAAGGCGGATGACGAAGTGCTGCTTCAGCGCCATGAGCGACATTCCGTGGCGGGGCGCAAAATAGAATTTTTGGCGGGACTAGTTTAAACAGAAGAACCGTTGGCAGAATCCTTCCAAAATCTTTTATTTTGTAATTATTTTGCACAAATGAGTGAACGCTCAACATTACATGTAATCGAGGTGGTTTCCTACACCACAAATTTCTGAAATTTCACGCATGTGAGTCATAGTTTTTCCCCTTGCATAGCAAGACTTAGTGATTTATATACTTTACTTTATCTCTCTTCAGTTTCTTGGAGTCGTCGGCAATCGAGTGTAAGAAAACAATGGACAGCACAGATATAGAGTTGAATATACCGTCTTGGGCGCAAATTTGGGCGGAAATCTGTCCAGTGGAGAAACGTGGAACCAACACTTTGGATGAGTGCCAGCAAATTTGCCTCCAAATTATCATTCTGGTCTTCATTTCGGCAGCCTCGGCTTATCACTTTGGCCGTCAGCTCTACACTGTGGTGCGTACGCGAAGGCAAATCTGGACAATACGCGCAAGAATCGCCATCGTAGGTTCTTTAGGCATTCTGCCAGTGGCCAGAACGTATTTCAAACTCACGAATGACGTGACCATTTGGCCTATAGACATCCTTCTGTCGTGTTTCGAGTGCATCACGTGGATTGTGCATCTCGGATTCCAGCTGTCCCTGCGGAGACGCGGCAGCGTCAATTCCCGCGGGCCACTCATTATCACAGTCTTGTGGGCTTTTGCCTTTGTGCTCAGCATCACATGGCTGCAGGAAGGTCTCAGCAAGCCCAACTGGGGTTGGCGTCTTCCGACTCTAGTCCTGCAATTCCTCTACGGTCTGACGTTGATACCGGCAGGCCAAGGCAGACTTGTCACGCGCTTGAATCGCGATGAGGAAGAGCGCCAGGCTCTGCTGAGCAATCGATATGTGCGCTTCCAACAAGGAGCTGAAGAGGCTTCTCTCGGCCCAGCTCAGGATGGTGTGGCGTGTCTCTCGAGATTACTATTCTACTGGGTGAATGATCTCATTGAGAAAGGCGTGGAGGGTGCGCTAAGGAAAGTAGAAGATCTTTTCGATCTGCCAGACTGTCTCTCAATTGTGAGTATAACTGAGAGATTCCAGAAGAGTATTGATCAGACAAAGACAATATTCTGGGCACTGCACAAGTCATTTGGCCGGGAATTCTACACTATTGGTCTTCTGAGATTTCTCGGAGACATTTCTGGATTTGCTGGTCCACTGCTCCTCGGTGGATTGATTGGAGAGGAGACTTCAGAAACCTCGCCATTTCTCTATGCTTTCGGTCTCTTTGGAAGTGCAATTGTCGGTGAGCTATTCAAATAGATATAATTCACTGTCTGTGATAAACTAATCACTGTAATCTTTCAGCTGCAATCAGTGGTGTGCACTTCAACTGGAGAATATCTCTTGTCACGATGAGGATGCGCGTGGCCATAGTCACGGCGATCTATCGGAAATCTCTGGAGGCGCGCGGCTTGAAGAATGCCCGACCAGACATTCTAAATCTCATGTCAACAGACACAGATCGCATAGTGAACTCCTGCGTGAGCTTCCACTCCTTCTGGAGCATCCCATTTCAACTCTTCACCACACTTTACCTGCTCTACACTCAAGTTGGTGTGGCATTTGTTGCTGGCGTGCTGTTCGCCGTGGCTCTGATCCCCATAAATCGCTGGCTCGCTCTGAGAATAGCCAAACTGTCCCAGGGACTGATGATGGCAAAGGATGCACGAGTATCTCTCTGTTCAGAGGCCTTGGCAGGGGCGAAGCAAATTAAGCTGTACGCTTGGGAAGATATCTTCGTGAAGAGAATCAAAGAGTTGCGAGGCACAGAATTGAAATTCCTCGCCAAGAGGAAATACTTGGATGCCGTTTGTGTGTACTTTTGGGCAACAACGCCCATTCTTATGTGCCTCCTCACATTCGGCATGTCCGTGCTCACGGGAAACATCCTCACGCCGGCCACAACTTACACAAGTGTGGCTCTGCTGAACATGCTCATTGGGCCACTGAACGCCTTTCCTTGGGTGCTGAACGGCCTCACCGAGGCGTGGGTGTCGCTGAAGAGAGTGCAAGAGCTCATGTCGCTGCCGAACATCGATCTGACGCAGTTCTACTCGCCAGTGGAGAACACAAAGAGCCAGAGGAAGGAGAGACCAGTGGTGCTGTCCATTGAGGATGCGACCTTCGATTTTGAATTCACACGACAACGCGATGGAAATGAGATCGTCGTTGACGACGTGGTGGACTTTCGGCTGGAAGAAGTGTCGCTTGTGGTGAAGAAGGGCGAATTGGTGTGCCTAGAAGGTCCTGTAGGTGGTGGAAAAAGTTCTCTCCTCTCCGCAATTGTTGCGGACTTGAGTTGTGCGAGTGGAACGGTGAGCATTCAGGATCTTCACTCGGGCTTCGGATACGTCGGGCAGTCTCCGTGGCTGCAGAGAGGCACGATCAGAGAGAATATCGTTTGGGGTGCTGTTTTCGATGAGCAACGCTACAAGAGCGTGGTGAATGCGTGCGCCCTGACAGAGGATCTCATGCAACTGGGTGGCGATCATGTGGGCGTCGGTGAAGGTGGACAGACATTGTCGGGCGGGCAGAGAGCGAGAGTCGCTCTGGCTCGAGCTGTGTACCAAAACAAAGCGATTTACCTCATGGACGACGTGTTGTCCGCACTGGATGCTCACGTGGCGTCTCACATTGTGAAGCACTGCCTCCTGGGACTTCTGGCCACGAAAACACGTATCATCATCTCGGAGAATCGCACACTGCTGCTTCATGCTAGTCAGATTCTTCACGTGAACGGCGGCAGAGTGACTCACAGTGAGCTCATGAACGACTTCTCAGACGACGAGACTGAAGAGATGGAAGAAACTGGCCCAGAGAGTGTCTTTACATCCGTCCAACTTGAGGCTAGCATTGACGAGGAGAAGAAGAGCGTGGACAGTATTATGCTGGAGGAGAGTCGCGAGTATGGGACCATTAAATCAGGAGTCATCTTTAGCTATTGGAAAGCGATGTCCAATGCCGTGGCCTTCACGGTTTTCCTCGCCATAATCCTCATGCAGGCGTCCAGAAACATCTCGGACGTGTGGCTAGCTCATTGGGTATCTCAGTATGGCCAAAACACCACTGGAGATCCATCCGTGGGGTATTTTCTGGGCATCTATGCCGGCCTGGCGACATCAAACTCTGCCTTCACGCTCATTCGTGCCTTCCTATTTGCCTATGCTGGCATTCGAGCAGCTCAGCATGTTCATCAGAAACTCCTGAAGCGCGTTTTTGCAGCAAAATTCCAATTCTTCGACGTGACGCCTTTGGGCAGGATCCTCAATCGTTTCTCTTCGGACACTTACACTATCGACGACTCGCTGCCATTTATCTTCAACATTCTGCTGGCACAGATATTTGGGTTGGCCGGGGCCATCATCATCACACTGATCGCCCTGCCGTGGCTAATTCTCCTCATCGTGCCCATGTGTCCAGTGTACGTTAATCTGCAGTCACGCTATCGGCACGCCTCGCGGGACATTAAACGCTTGAGCAGCAACGCTCTGTCGCCTCTCTATGCCCACTTTACGGAGACACTGCGAGGCATGACCACGATACGAGCGATGCGCGCCTCTGGACGCTTTCGGCGAGACTTCCTGGTGAAGGTGGAGGAGAGCACTCGAGCGCAATTGGCGGCATCGGCTGCCCAACAGTGGCTCGCATTGCGTCTGCAATTTCTGGGCGCTACTCTAGTCGGCGGAGCAGGCATTCTGGCGGCTCTCACGTCCACTCATGAGACTGACCCGAGCTTCGTGGGACTCGCTATTTCCTACGCTCTATCCATAACGAGCCTCCTGGGCGGTGTGTTGAACGCTCTGGCGGAGACTGAACAGGAACTGATCGCCGTGGAGCGAGTGAGTCAATACTGCGATCTTGAGGGCGAAGTCAATGCCTCTGGCGGCGTCGATCCACCTTTTGGATGGCCTTGCCAGGGAGTTGTGAGTTTCGACAATGTCGTGATGAAGTATCGCGATCACTTGCCACCCTCCCTCAATCGCGTCTCCTTCGAGACGAGCGCATTCGAGAGGTTGGGCATCGTGGGACGCACAGGAGCCGGCAAGACGTCGATTGTTGCCGGTATCATGAGAGTCGCGCCGCTTGCGCTCGGCAAAATTGTGATTGATTGTGTCGATGTGGCGACGCTGCCGGTGAAAGAGCTGCGAAGGCGGATCGCTCTGGTGCCTCAGGAGCCCTTCCTCTTCGGCGGCACTGTACGGGACAATCTCGATCCGAGGCGAGAGCACTTCGAGTCGGAGATTTGGAGTGCCATTTCGGCGTGTTTGGCGGCACCTTTGGTGCACGGCCTCGGCGGCTTGGGTGGCTTCATCTCACCGGGAGGGGCAAATGTGTCCGCCGGCGAGCGACAGTTGCTCAGCTTGGCCAGAGCCATGCTTAAGAAGTCCAAGGTAGTGTGCATCGATGAGGGCACGGCCAATCTCAATGCGGCTAGTGAAATCGCAATACGTTCAGTGCTCCGGACGGCGTTCAGGAGCAGCACTGTGATCTTCATAGCTCACCGTTTGAGCGGCCTGCAGAACACTGAAAGGATCTTCGTGATGGACGGCGGAGAAATCGTTGAGAGTGGACCACCGAGCAGTCTTCAGGCTGACCGGAATTCCCTCTTTCACGGCATGCTGCAAGAACAAGCGCTGAGCGATCCTACTTATAAGATGAAAGACTAGGAAATTTCCGAACTGTGTGAATGATACGAACGGTATTTTGTTACTACAAGCAAATATTCTCTGTAATTTATGTTTATAGTACAATACAAGCATTGAATGTATTTTAAATATTCATATTTTATTACCACTTTTGGAGACTTTGCTTACACGCTCGGAAAGGCTTCCGAGTCTTTCAACATGAATGAGTATGAGTCACCTCTCAGACGTGTTTCACGCGGGACAGAGCAACGTAGGATTTTCGGCTGGGAATGTCGTGATAGCCAACAGGCCCCATTTCGCAGTCGGCGCAGACCAGAAATTTGGTGTTGTTCACAGTATGCGAGACGCCAATGTTTTCAAATGTAAACATATCATCTACCATCCAGAACTCCTTGATCTCTTCCGTCTCAGCTTCCGCAGCTGAGGACACGTTCTTCTGCCTCATCAGTGGTAATGAAAACTGAAAGAAGAGACAGAGCTATAATGGATTTTTTGTGGAAGAGGAGCGAAAAGAGGGCAGAACAAACCTGTTGATTGGCAAATTGTGCGTTTTGTGGTCTCAAAATTGACGAATTGCAGAAAGTGCATTCAATTTTCCTCTTATTTTTGCCTTCTTCAACCTCATCACTGTATTTACTTCCATCTAAACTTATCTCCATTGCGTCACAACTTATGGAAATTGAGGAAAATAAGGAAATGCACAAATCAGGAAAAATAATCCAACCGGCCGAGAGTCCACCAAAATTTGGTTATGTGTCAAAATTGAGATGTCAAAACTGAACGAAGTGTTTTGCTTTTTTTGTGTGAAGTCGAAGAGTGTGCGTCTTTTCATTTTTCACTTATTTCTGACTATTTTCCTGAACAAATTCTTATATTAACGTGAAAGGCTCGCAGATAGGTAAGAGATTATTAAATTTGGCGCGTTATTATTTGCGAGGCTGGATCATTTAGTGATAAAACCAGCGGATTTGTGTGCTTTAAAGTTTTTGTTATGTTTCTCGGAAATTTTAAGAAACCTGTGATTGCCTTTATTTTCACAGGTGCGCAAACCATGGAAAAGCCCGCTGAGCCACAGAAGAAGCCCGTGCGGGACTTGAAATCTCTCCCTACTCGTCAATACATAGATCAAACTGTGGCGCCTATTTTGCTGAAAGGCTTGCAGACATTGGCGAAAGAACGCCCTCCGGATCCTGTTACTTTCCTGGCCAACTACTTGCTGCAGAACAAAACGCGCACTGAAGAGAATGCCTCTGCGCCTCAAGTGGAGAATCCATAAGTAAATCCTTGCTTTTTTATCTGGACTTTTGTTGGAAAATTTAAATAAATTCATCGTGTGTGTATATTTCGTCAAGTTTTCAATCATGCCGGCAATTCGTGACACACCCTGTGGTGCCCGGTTGTACAGTTGTTCCCAGAGTTCTCAGGTCTACTCAGAACAGGGCTAAGAAGAAGCTAAGTTAAATAAGAATTGCGTTTTGTGATCATTTTTATTCAATTACATTTTAACGTATAAACATACTGATAATAAATGTAATTGTGTAGTCTCATGCTGGTAAACTACATTTTATGCTACATTGAACTCTGTTGAAACGATATTTCGGAAATTATTGAACATTGACGATCTTTTTCGCATCCCCAATAACAACATTGCACCACACAGCTTCTAAATTTTATTTCTTGATAAATTTGCAAATCCACAGATACGCGGTATTCTTGTTAATATCGTACACTAATTATTTGCTTAATAAATATTTACACTTAAGTATTGGTATATGTTTGGGCTAACAAACATAATGTACCTATATTATTTAGGCATATTTTAATGATATTTCACTGGATTTTGTGTTGATTAACTAAAGTCACACAAAGGTTTTTTGCGCTACTTTTATGCTCGATATCAAACAGTTTCTGGATTCTTATTAAAAATCTTTTCCTCTTGTTATTCTCTAAATGTATGAAAATTATTTTAATTTTTCTTAAAAATAACTTCCATCACTCTGATTTTGCGATGCAGCTGTTAATAGTAAACAATTCTACGTGAGTAACGTAATAAAACATTGAATAGGCATTTGGATGATCTCTTCTAATGATGATGCAGATTATTATGAAAATCTTATAAATCTTATGTGTGTTATGTCATTATCCATCACGTATTCTTCAAATGTTTATAATTTTTAAGCTTTATTCGCTATGAAAATTTTACATAATTTGATAAAATCGTATATTTTATCTTTTACTATTGCATACAAAAAACATCTAGATTTCTTACATTGATTGTTGCTTCCAGGAGTTCATTTGTCTATCTATTACGAAGAAGTGTTGCGATTTATGTCATTTAGGGTATTGATTCGTTGCATAACTCTGAAGCTGTTTGAAGTCTCGTATTTTTTCGGTATGGACTTATCGCAGTATATTTTTTTTATTGAAAATTATGTGTTATATAGGCCAGCAACGGGGTGAGCAATATTTTTCAGTGGGGCAGTGATGAGCCTTCACTATACTTTCATATCTAAAACCATCTTCACTAAAGCGAACTCCTTATCCTCATTTTGCAAACTAAAAGCCTAGATTCCTAACCTAGAGAGATTTTTCTGTAACTAAATTATCGTAGAACCACTGTTTGTCTCTTACAAAATGCCTCGTTACACTAAAGTGTCTATTTTTTAATTTGATACTCTCGCCGTCCATTCTTCCAGACATGCCCATTGCAGACGCTGTTGATACAAAAGTGGAGGGTGATGGTGGGTTTTACGTAATTATAAAATTATTGAGCTAGTCTCCTATGTAGTTCAATTAAATGATTACCGATGGACTATGATGGTAGCGCGATTCTATGCTTACATAATTCGTATGTCTACAATACAGAAATGAAAGTAAGCAAGTGATACTTCTCAACCACAAATTTCCATTTTATAGCGCAAAATGAATTGTTCAAAGTGTTTTGGCACGATCTAGTAAATCACTTATGAATTTCTGTAAATAGAAAGAAAAATAAAGTGTTGAGTGGAATTCTGTTTGGATTGCATTTTAAAATTTCACTTCATATGAATAAACATAAAAGATATTCACCGATATGTCTGACTGAGGCCTTTTGCAGTCTGATAGTAGTGTCTGAAAGAATAGGAGAAAAAACAACATTACTACAGGAGCGGGTATGGAATTTGGAATAGGAAGACGATTACTGAATCCATAGCGCAAATGAAATTAAAATATTTCACGATTTTCACGTTTCGCTTAACGTCCACTTGCTTCTGCTTATAAAATTGATTTCAGTATTCTAATGCTTTCCCACTAATTCACTTTTAAAGTCACATGTGGCAATGTAAAATTAATCTATAAAGACCTTTCATTAATATTAATTAATTGATACAAATCTAGAGGCTCTGTTATGGAAATTTTATGTGCCACTAATGATTGTTGATGTGCAATAATGTTTTCGATATGACGCCAAAAGTGGTAAAATATGACAATCGGCAGTTTCGTCTCTCTAAAGAGGAAAAGAAACTCCCACGAGAGATTCAAATGACGGGAACTTGAGAAATTTTTCCTAATATACTCACGAGAAGATGAGATCTCCGAATGTCATCGGTGTCCAAGTCCAAGATTTCATCAATGTCGACATCAATTACTTCTTCCTACAATCAGAAGAGATTAAATAAACGACTTTATTTATTTAAACATAATAAAAATGATTTGAGAGAGGGAGAGAGTGGGAAAATCAAATACTGGGAAGTTTTGTGAATTGATTTTTCGTGAAATTACTTGCGTAAAACTCCATAAAAATATAGTTTGATCAACACACAATAAACAATAGAATTTGGTCTAATGGACTTCTGACATGAGGATTTTTAATCATCTCAATTCTTTATCAAAGGCCTAATCAATGATTTTTCCACATGCGGCCTGTTGTCTTTCCATTAATAAGGGATTCTTGCGAAAGCGATTTAGCAAAATTAATATATTATCCCTTTCGTGACAGAGAAGAATAAAAGGGAGCAAAAGACAGACTTACCGATGGATCGAACAGCTTTTGCAATTCATCAAAGAGCCACATTTCTACAGCTAGCCGTTTTCTAATCAAGCTCATTTGATGTGACCCATATTTGGCTGTTAGGAACTTTTCACGTCTCTCTTTTACTTCGCCCTTGTCGCTGAAATTCACCCTCAGCCCTGCTCGATTCGGCGAGCGTTCGCAGTCATTATTCATTGATTCCACAACACCGCACTGCATTTTGTATGATAGCTTTCCTTGCGTCGATTCTCCTACTCAATGCTGCTTATTGTATCACAGAAGATTTTCTGTAAAGACGCAAAACAAACCAAGAAGCGTGAGTGAGAAAGATCAATAGACCCATGACATTTTACAAGTCTTCTTTGATGGCGTTGACTTGAAAATGTGTTTTTTTTTTTAATAGAGAGCAATTTGTGTTTAATTAATCAATTGAATTGTTGACTGCAACGGACTGGAGTTAATGTACATAGCACAACATTATACGCATCTGTGAGTGTTTATGCTCATTTAGCAAATGATAGTTATTATTATTATTGTCTGAATAAATATTGAAAAACATTTGAGATTCTTAATTAAAACTCAGAAAGAAAACACATACAAACATCAAAGTTGATATTCTATTGATCGAAAATTTAAGATGCTAACAAATCCTTGTCTTTTGTATTGAAAAGTTTAATACACTGGAAAATAAACATTTATTCAATATCGTTAATTTTGCATAAATATTAGTATATTCCAAATTATTTAAATTTAGCTTACAATTAACGTATTTGAATATCTCTAAACAAATACAGATAAATTATGTCAATATCAAACACTCACTTGACGTTAATTCTTCATTAGTCAATACAATTATCCGCACTCTACACATTTGCCAAGTTATCACAGACTAATTTTATCTGTTGTTTATATTATATGAAGTAATAAAATTGAATAAATTGCAAATAAGCAAATTGCTAGGTATTATTCTTTTCTCGTAATATAATTATTCTATTTTTCATTTTCACGCAATATATGATAAAGTGAAACTGTATTTTATGTACTAAAGGGGCATTTTCCTGGAATAAATCTTTATAAAGTTTGATAATAAATTATACACTGTCATGACTAATTCTTGGTGTTAAAGATATTAAAAACTGCTTTAAATTATTTGTAAATCACTGAAGCTTAGCGATATAAATTCACTTCCTCATGATTCATGCAGATGAAAACTGAATTCTAAAAGTTTCACTATATGTACATCAAGAAAATTGAAGTTTTTGTATTAATCGTGCCAAAATTATGTCAGTACATTTTCATGTTTGATTTAATTATTCAATTAATTCTAATAGGAAGTTTGTAGGCCTAAGACAAAGGCTTTGGTAATGATGAACTCGGTAGCGACAGGGCTTGTAAATTAGAGTAAAAGAATCATTGATATGAGACAGTGAGAGGTCATCTACCGTATATCCGCTTATAAACCATTATGCCTTTGTGGCAGAATGGGTGGAAAGAAATAAACCAACTCAACACAAACAATACACAGAAGGAGCATTTAACATTTTTTTGAAGTGCGTGGGAATGCAATAACAAATAGTGTCTCAGTGAATCTTCCACACACTGATTTGCATATAATTACAGCAAATGAAAGCAGCTCAAGACATCAGGGAAAATTAATTTAAATTGCATTTTCCAATGAAAGTAAAGGAAAAGAGCAGAATTTATCTGTTCAGGCGAATTGTTTACTACAATCTTGGTTTCGTGTCTCACCCACATATAAGGCAGTAATGATAGTTTACTTAATGATACCGAGAAGAATAATTAATAATGCTAACGAAACCTTCCATTGATCTTCAAATATAAGGTGTATCCTTGCGTGGAGGTCACATCAGTGTTTTATGAGAAGGTACTATACATACACAATTAATATGCTTTTGTGAAATTCAGTGGTAAATAACGAATCAGCGAAAGGAGTAAAACGTTGCTATATGAACCATTTTCACACAGCAAGAAATCAATGGAATTAACACATTTCACTCGACGTCATCTGTGGCGTTTTTTCGCACTAAGACTTGTATTAATTAGATGTGGACAAATTTAACACCAAATATTTTTTCGCTCAATATTTCTTTGTTGATTCTCTCTGACATATCTTAAGACTCGTGTATTATATAATGCCAAAATATACTCATTTATTTTATATAATCGTAAGTGCGTAAGTGCGATTAAGTACACATTGAATATGAAATAAAATTCATCACGAGTGCATGTTACATACTAAAAACACCTCTTTCTAAGGATATGGAAAAACAATATGTCAACCAATCATACGCAATGTAAACTTATAAAAAACAAAGCTTTTTCATTGCAATATATATGTGCACTAGCAAGAGAGATTATTATACAATATACTAGTCTAAAAGTTTTATAACTTCACAAAATAAACTGTAGCAAAAAGATGATTGCAACACAATTACGGTCTGATGTCCATTTCTGTTGAAGCCCTCCAAAAATACAATTAAAGCCATTGTGAGAAAAACAGACAAGAATGATTAAAGCAAACCGACTCAGTGCAAATTTAATGAATGAATGAAGAAATGCTGTTGGATGCATGTTAATGTAATTAAGCCACACATTTAAGGGAATTTTGCAAGACAGAAATACGTATAAATAAATGAACTAATGTCTTTTCTCTTCAAGTTCTTGCGTATGTTTCTGTTTTTGAGTGTGATGGCATAATTGTGGATGGAAAAGGCGAAAAATTCAGAAGTTGTACAGAGCAGTTGGAAAACAACTCCGAATCAGGCCATCGACAGAAGGAACTAAATAGGTTTATGGGGGGTAATAATTTGAGATCAATTACTCAGAATCAATATCAAAGAGACCTCAATTCTGACCCATTGTTTTAGTTTAGATGGACTTTAGCTTAATTTGCGTCCATTTTGGTAGAATTGAGGGTTATAAAGTTTTAATCTTGGTTCTAATTGAACATATAATAACATTAAACACGAGGAAGTTCGGGGAATTGCTCTTATGCGGTATCGTGCACATACACACAGCTTGCGCTCTCAATCGATTCACTATGTGCTGGAGAAAGATTATAAAATTTATAACAACGAATTCCGCACAGTAAATGAGGAAAAGTCTGTTATTTTTTCATTCAATTGTTTAATCATCAGTTTCTTATCATGTTTTCGAACGTGCTCACACGTAAAGCTCGAAGATATGATGGCAATGATTGCTTGTTGCTTAGTGAATGACTCAACTGAAAGTATGAATGTCTGTGCGGAAGAATGAGGTAAAGGTAAGTATAAATTGATGTAATGCACAAGATTGAGTGGTGATGAAAACCAAGGGAAAATAACTCGTTGTCAAATTGTTTGTAAATTGCAAATAGGGAAAAATTTATTAAAGCCATCACCATTGAGCAATCATAAGGAAAAAAAAGTCTGCTATGCTTTGTTCTTTTTTGCGATAGGTGCACAATTTTAATGGTAATCTTTGTATCATCAACACACACACGAGAAAATTTCATATATAGTCGATTCATGGTGGCATCATTTCTTTTCATCGGCAATTTCAGATGAATCTTCACACACAAACTCGTTTTCCGCTTACACCATTTGCCTTCTTAGCATAAGAACTTATGTATGTACAGACATATTGTTCTTATATACTACATATATTGTGTTGAACTTCTTGTGTAATTATTTGGCATTTTCTTGACTCTGACTTTTGTGAATTACATACAAAAAGTCTATTTGCTGTAAACTGTCACTGAAAAATCAAACTGAGCACACACAGAATAGGTAGAATTTACATTTTTAGCTTCCGTTATTATCTTAGAGTTGGCATAAACACAAGCACTAACTTTGTGGCTTTCACTTCTAAATATACATATTTTTCTTGAAAATCACTAAAACATATTTCATTTCTTTTCCCCACCGTAACAGTGTCAATGAATTCAAAATGTGAGTTATGTTATAGGTATGTTTATAATGAAATTGTAAGAAAAAAAAACTAGATTATGGGTATATTTTAAAACAGATATTTACCACATCCCTCACGTAAGTTTCTGTGTAAAATCGAGAAACTTTGAACTCTGCGTGAAGGGCAAAAAAATCTTCAATCACTATAGGTTAATCCTATGCCTTCTGGATGTCTTGAATTCAATTTTCACATGAGTCGGAGAATAAAATGGGACACGTCTTCAACTTCAAATTTCACAACAATATTTTAAAGCTGGCAATAACACGATTTTTTTTCAGCACGTTTGCGCGTTTCTGCCTCGAATTTCTCTTTCTCTCCTGTGCAATAATATCAATTATTCTTATACATCGATTCAAAAATCACTCACTTTTCACTGGGTGTATATATACCGTTTGTAAAAGAATGTTTTTTTTTGTAATTCAAGAAAAAAAAATCTCTCTCAGATGCTTTCTCTCTCTCGCGCTTCTGATCTGTGTGGCTTTTGTACCGATTTTCGCGCTATGCGGACGAGAAGAAGTTTCCACGAGCAACCAGCAGCGACTGAACTTCAGTTGAACGGTCGGTGTTTATCGAACTTATGTTGCTGGCTAAAGGGGAGCCACGTACACATGCACACACGGACTGACGCGTGGAAAGATGGGCACAATGATGGGGAATCACGAACCATCATTGGCGAAAGAGTCACTATCCGAGATGTAATAAAAGTATCAGCTTGAGAGACAATTCTCTTGGAGTCTCGAGGACCCCCTTGACTGAATGCATTGTGGATGAGGTGAGACACTTGTGAAACCACTTCAGGGCTTTGTCTCATCTCGGAATTTACGTACAGATAGCTCTCTTGGTGGGAGTTCGTCTCTGGCATTGTACATATGTGTTTTCTCCTCAATGATTTCATTTGCAAATTATCGCTTTTGCTGGGGTCTTATAAAAATTATAAATTCTACAGTCATCACTGACGGATGTAGAATGGGCTGCTCTTGTACTTGTACGCACCGGTGAGACCACTTTGCTGGAATGTCATCATCATTGGATATCATCAATGAGAGACCAGCACATCAGCAGCAACAAATATGTGAATTCAGCGGGGAAAATAAGAATATGAGGAATAGTGATATACAAAAAGTATGAGGTATATTTTGTGCGCTTGCTCTCAGTTCACATTTAATGCTTTTCGGCTGACTTTCTGTACAGCATACAAACACCTCATTTCGAGAATTGTGGGAAGGAGAAAAATTCAGTAAAGTCACATACACATGCGACACCAGCAGACTCATTGGGGGGATGGAATAAAAGTAATTATGTATCTTCTGCTCGTAGCATTGTACATAAACTTGTACATAAACTGTGAATCTCATGAGATGAGACGCATCAAATTGAAATTAATTCCCATCACACTGGCTACCAATGAGTGGAAATTTCCTTTCCTTGCGCTATTTTCTTGTTCACAATTTCACAATAGTTTTGCAATACGAGAACATATTGGGTTCGAAATTCTCATGAGAATTTTCTGCTTATTTTCTTAATTAACATAGAACAACCAGCAACTATGTAGAATTCCTTTGCATACTATAATTATAGTGTTAATAGATGAGTTGAATGACTAATAAGCTTTTCCTAGAATTAAAATCTTCAAAAATACTTTTCTCGGCATATCAAACGAATCTATTTCACATTTCCCTGACAAATTTGAGGAATTTTGGCAGAAATCCAAAATAAATTGTCACGGAATGAGATCACGGGAGAAATTGAGATTTCTTTTTAATCTTCAACTTGCTTGACTGAAATACATAATTGAACACTGAGCAAATAATTGTGATGAGTATAAGATTCATGGTGATTTTTTTTAGTGAATTATCAAGTTTAGTTTTGGCAAAATTCCTCAACACATGTTTCTGGTTGTGAACTCATCAAGACGAGTGATATATGCAAGAATAATGCTTCCTGCTGAAGAAGCACTTCACTTGCAATTATTGTCGCTTGGTTACAAATTAATTCTCTCATGCATAACATAATACGATAACAGCACTGTTATAACAACTCGTATTATTCTTTGTGGAAGGAAATATTTTTTTTTTATGTCGTGATCATTTCCACTGTGTGAGTGTCGATAAGCTTCTTCTGTGCTGAAAGTAAAACATTTCTGCTGTTCTTTTTTCGTTAAATTTTGTCCAAAAATGTACCCGCATCCTTCATAATAAAATTCATGCTTTTATTGAAATATTGTATAAGGTTAAAACACCTTTATAGTCAATATTTTTGCCATGATGTTACACATTATATCTTACACATATTCTGGCCTTTTTCGACTTTGCAAAACCCTGACAGATGCCATCGAAAAATGTTGCAGTCAATTAAAGTAAATTGGTATCTTTCTGTGGTGTTCTTTCCCCTTTTATTCCGTTTGCCCACCGTTTCACATGAATACTTTTCAATGAGCAAAAAATACGCGACTTGTCTTTCATTTAGACTTGGCTCTCATTTAATTTTCATCAAAACGGATTATAAAACTTTTTGGTTAATTGATCATACACATTTGTCTCTATTACCATCATTTCGTCATTATATTCACCCTCCCAACTTCTGATTTAATGATCATTTAATGAAAGAAAAACGAGCAAAGAAACAAATAAACAAAGACGAGAGTAGATTTTCAAACTCCAAAGCAAAAGTATAAATGGAATACAAGAGAATTTCAGTAAACTTTTACGAACTTTTAATTATCATTTGAGAATACATTACAAGCAAAAATTCTTGAAATTTAAAATTACTTGTGAGTCTTACCTGGTTTTTATGCACCTTAGTTGACTTTTTATGTATGATGCTTGGGAGAACTTTTCTTTGTTAGATGACTAGTCGGATGTTTCTGTATCAAAACTTAGAGAAATTTTTGGAATATTTGCAAATTTTTAATGCACAAATGCAAAAAATCCGTCTGCTTCTTACTTTCTTAGCTTAAAATGAAGATTTCATGAATTTTCTTATGACTCAAACTCAGATCCGCCCGATGAGTTGACTTTTTTTTTACACTTTATCGATGTACCAAACCGACAAATTGCTAGCCAAATAACTTCCTGAATCAATTATCTGCAATCTAGCGAGATTTTCTAATAATAATTGTTCACGAAGACAAGAAATTTTTATTGTCTTGAAGTTTGGCAACTGTATTGGAGTTTCACTAGAACTTTTTCAATTTATATAACAAATAGAAGTATTTGTTATCAGACAGATGAAGAGTCTCGCTTGGACCGACTGTGCAAAAGGCATAAAAGATACTATGGAGATTCAAGTGACAGCATTGGCGCGTGCTCATATCGCAAAGTTTTTCCATATGCAGGATTTTGCGCAATGCCACTTTTCAGGGATGTTGCCGTCTCATTTCCACCCCAAAGCTGTATTAACAAATGTGGTGCTCCTGCTTTTATCGATCTCTGGTACATTCCTTGTTATCAGTTTGACTTTAGGTGAGACCTGAACCCTCTGTTCATTTTTATTTCACTTTATCAACACTTCTGTGCGGTTACTCCATCATTGAATAACAAGAGTATTTTTTGGAGGATTGCAGCGTCTGTGTAATAAATGACGAAGTCAAATTGTGAGAGTTTTCTCTTCACTGTGATCCAATATACGGAGAAGGACAGAAAAAGAGACTGAAGCTGACATTCGGGTGGAAAAAAGAGCTGAAATTAATTGCATTGAAATTGGTTTTCGTTGTGTTTTTGTGGCATATTGTTTGCACTGAAAGTGCGGTGAGAGATCGTGTGGCGCAAAAGACAAAGAAATGTCTTCAAAAAATAGTTATATAATTAAAGTAGTGGTCAGAGCCACAGCGATTCTTTTATTACTGCAAAATAACAATATTTCAATTTGTGCCTATCATGTGGATACGCACAATGTAGCAAAACGAATGGTGGACCCGGACTTATGTATAGGTTGGTATACGGCTATTTTTAATAGAGTTGTTGGAAAATATTGCAAGCATTTTAGTTTAGTCGTGCATACAAGCATATTTATGTTTCATCATAAGATTTTCCACTGAAGACAACACAATTATTGACTGTTCTTTATGAGGTTGTGGGTGGGAAGACGTACAAATTAATAAGCATGTGTGCAGTTCAAAGTGTGATGGAAATTGTTCTGTCGCATTTTATTCGTCACATATGCGATCTTGATTTTAATTGAGAACACATCTTGCAGGTCGTTATGACGTTCATGTGGACACAATAATCCGGACCAAGGAGTCACTGAAGCTGAAGGCAGTCTTTCTGGACGAGACGGAAGTGTTGAATAATCAGGATTGCGCAAATCTCTGTTGTGAAACTGAGAATTGTGATGTCTTCATATACGAAGAGAAGGTAATTATTGTGCTTATTAATCTGTTTTGTTTGACAAATTTAAGGGATGGGTGGGGCACACATTGGCGGTGAAATTTCCGGATGCGGAGGCTTGACTTTTTGTTCTCTCGCCAAACATAACTTCAAGATTGGCACTTTAGAAATTGGAGATAATTTCATTGGAAAATGCTTTGTTGTTTCCCTCACTATACCATTCAAATGGAACGTGCATTTGACTCACCAAGTGATTTTAAATGCCTATTTGGGAGTGTACAAATCTTCCGTGGGAATGGAAAAAAAGTTGTCTTTGTCCATCCGGAAATACTGTGCCCGGGACTGAGACTGACTCACCTCAGTGGTATAGACACCACACGATGAAAAGAGGGCAATTCGCCCCGCATTCACCAGCCATAAGGTGCCAATGAAGAATTCTTTAACTCTCCTTTTGTGTTCTCTAACTTGTTTTCATGGTGCAGGAATTAGTCATTTTATCATGAGCTTCAGTTCAAACATGATCGTGGTTGGCGTGATTATTAAATCCCATTCTCAAACCTTTTTCCCTATTTTTCATTGAATCACCTGCGATATTAGGATGGAATATTGAACTGAGATTGTTTTATCTCTGGTCGACAGGTGAAGGGCACATGTTTCTTGTTCCAATGCGGACCACCTGAGGACTTTCGATGTAAATTCACACGCCATGCCAACTACACAAGTGCAGTGATGAGTCCAATGCGTCAGCCCGAGCAGCAGACTCCACCTCCCGTCCTTCGTCCCGCAATTCCGCAAGCAGCCCCTCATGCGGGGCTCACGGTGCATGAGATGGAACTCGTGAGCCTCAAGAGTGGCAAGGGCTTGCGCGGTGACGAGACGATGCCTGGTAATTTCACCCAAAGCAAAAATGCGACCCCGGTGGAAACGACAACAGTCAAGAACGGCGGCTGCAGTCGCTTCCAATTCGCTTGCCACTCTGGGGAGTGTTTGGCCGTGTACAATGCTTGCGATGGTATTCCCCAGTGCGAAGATGGCAGTGATGAAGGACCCGAATGTCCAGCAGGACAGAAACAATTGCCTGGCGTCCAGCAGGCTGGACAGAATGGCCAGCAGATGCAAGATTTGTCCAATGCCATGAGACTATTGCCGTCGGATGGTGCAAATGCGGGAAATGCGGCTCCACAGGTTGATTAGTGATAACGAAATCCCATCAATTGCATCTCAAAAATGCCCTCTTCCTCATTGCAGACGACAATGCAAAGGCAGTATCAGATTCACAACCGGGAAGATCCAATGACGGCACCCAAACAATGGCCTCAAATAAATCCCATGTTCTTAGGTGAGTGTTTTATTTTATAACATTGCATCGCCAGAGAGTAAGGAACCATGAAGACAATGTATTTTACTGAATTCACTGTTTAATGGGATGTTGAAGGTTGATAATGCTGGATGAAATTATATGTGAAATGTCGTCTTCACCCTCACATGAAAAAACGGTACTATTGTGACTATTCACTTTTCCATTCGGAAAAGTTGAGGTACTATTTATTCAATAATATAATATTCTTCTCGTCACAATAATACTTTTTATACAAACAGTGATAGTTCAAAAACTCGCTTAAGCTATTTGCAAGTTAAATAAATAAAACATTTTGTGAAGTTTTGTCATTTTTGGCTTGTCTTTTTTTACGTGAAATTTTCCACAATTGTTATAAAGTGGACGCTATCTTAAATATGTTGAATGGGAATGCTTTTGTAATTAGTTAATTGGATTGCCACTGAGATAATTTCTCTTTGAGAGAAGCAGTTATTGCAGAATTTTTTAAGAAAATCGCAGCATCATATTAAGTCACTTGGAAAGGAAAAGTTACAATTTAATGTAGTTCCGTTTATCTTCACGTTTCATTGTCAACGTTAAATGAAATGTAGTTTTTCATGAGAAAAATGTTTCATTATAAAATAAAGTGAAAGATGCGACAATATAAATATTTTAATAAAATACAATGTCTTGTGCCCTCATTTGTAGATGGTGACAGTAGAATTTTCAACCACAAAGGAAGACTTCAAGCTCCAGGAAGTGGATTGTCAGCGGGGGGTTATCAAATGGTGGGTCCTCAGGACGCTTTTATGAGGCCCCAAATTGATCCGTACTCACGCGGACAAGGGCAACAGCAGCAGCAGCAATCCTGGCTCCCGGATCACTATGGGGTGAAAATGCAAGGGAATCCGATGGATTGGCCACAATCGCCTGGCGACCAGCCTCTTGTTGTGCAGCAATCGCCAGCCATCCTGGCCCCACCGGCTCCGCAGATGCCACAGCCGCCTCAAATAACGTCCGGTCAAGTGGAGCTCCAGCAGCAACGTCCAGATTGGCCAATCATGCCTCTCATGCCAATGCAATCGGCGAAGGCTCATTCTGACGAGAATGCAAAAAAGCCACAAAGAGCGGAATCTAAGATCAAAACGACCAACGATAGTGAGGAAATATCTGGCAATGAGTATCAAGATGAGTCAGATGATGAATTGGAGGCGAGAACAACAACAGCAGCGCCGAGGAAGAAGAACAGAAAACACAAGAAGCCGAAAGAGAGCGCCAAAGACAAAGCAGCCAAGGTTAAAGAAGGTGACAAACCACTCCACGAGCAACTGAAGATGATTCATAATGATCTGGAAATGGAGTTCGTGGATCACGACGGCGAGGCTGAGCGTCCAGGCGGGGCAGTTTTATCTCTCACGCTGGGCATAATCGTCATGGCTGCTCTCGCCATTCTAGTGGGATGTCGGATGAGAGTTGTGGGGCGCAGAATTCGACGCGGTGGAAAGAGTCAATATGCTCATGATGCGGATTTCCTTGTAAATGGCATGTATCTCTAAATATTCCCAGTTTCCAGCCACATTGCTTGTGGCTCTCAGCGGAAAGAGAATTCTCCAGCTTCACTCCACCCTCTGAATATGACGGTGAGTGCAGACAGAAGAGTGATGAGGATTGTTACATGAAAGAAAGCGAACAGCGATGTTCTTTCCCTTACAATTTTATTTTCTAAATAAACTTATTTGTGTAACAATAGAAACACGTGACTTTGCTTTCTTGTCTCCCACATTAAAATCGTACGTTACATTTCGTCTTTCGATACACCTTAACATTGTACGCAGGAGCTTAAAAGTTTACGTCAGTTTCATTTAAACACTTAAAGCCAAGCGACAGACCCTGGAAGACGCACTAGGGGTTGGCAAAGAGTGTAACATGGCTATATCGAATGAATAGTTGAATGTTAAAATATTTCGTGACACTGATAGAGTATAGTGATGACTCACCTACAATGTACAGTTGTACTTTTTTTTCATTGTAGAGAAACAAAGAAGAAATACAAAGAGACACACTTATTCAAAAGACCAGAAGAATTCACAAAAGGAAGAAGAAACCATTTGAGACTCAAAGCTGTGTGTTAAAAGTGCGACTCTAGAGGCTGTCGTCCTTTGGCTAAATGAATAACGATTAATGATAAACATAATTAGGAGGTTGCAAAAAAATTCTTTCTTTTATATCAATGTTATCCTCAAGATTCAGAAACATAATAATATCTTTAATGTCTTTTTAAAGAATTCTTGGAAGGTGATAGTTTACCGCAAACCCAAGTCTAAATGAGCCTACTATTTTACTTTTAGGAGAAAATGAGGCAACGATCACATGAAATTCAAGTTTCAGCCTGCAAACTTCTTCCCAATTGAGACTAAAATATTTTCCCAATAAAACGACTTGCTTTGTTACTTCAAAAGTCTTTGCACATTTCACAAACCCTCAATAACCAATGCAAGATAATTAATGCTCAATTTATAAGAAGTTTTAGACACGGAAAAAGCTGATTTCCTTTCTTTTTCATTATATTAAACAACTTTGTGTATTCAAATTTACACGAAAAATTGCACTATGAGAGCTACCCCACTTTCCTCTATGTTTTAAGGAATACTGATCTACAGATATTTAGAGATAAACCTTCTGTACTCAATGAGGATAACTTGTCAAGATATTATTTCTCAAATAAAAAAGATAAGAAATGCATGTAGTATCTATGTGAAATAAAATATTTTTTAAAAGGTGCTTCAAAACAATATGCATACATAAACTCAAAGAAACGGTCAAATAGCGATCAGTACTGTGAGTTTAGGAACTAAACTACGTTGGAAGGCGAACATACAAAAGAATATCATAAAACGGAAGCAAAAAATAAGCATTCGAATAGACAGAAATACCGTATTTACACAGGATTCAGCGCATAAGTTGTCTAATCTACAGATCAATAAGTGGAGGTGGGTCTGTCTTGATAATGACCTCTTCAGTTTTTCGGCGATTCTTTTCCTGCACAAAAGTCTTTCCCAGTTCCTCATGGAAGGATTTAAAGAATCCATCATTTTCTGTTGATTGCGTACTATTCTGGTGATATCCAGAGGATGCTTCCGCCGAGGAAGACTCTGCTGCATTGCATGGTAACAAAATGTTTTAAGACAACGGAAAAAAAGAGTGAAAAATCATATCAAAAGACAAACATGAAGAAAGAAGCACACAAAAAAGTGATAGAACTTCATTAATGTGATTAGCACATCGAGGAAACATGAATCATGAGAGCAGTTAATGTGCTGCTTACCTGGGGAAGCGTGGCAGGCTCGGGACTGCGTTGTGGGACTTGGCACAGGAGGGGCTACGCGATTGAAGGGATTCTGCCGGCGAGGCGGAGGCTTGGGTGTGACTGACGTCGCTTGTGCTTCGGATTCTGTGTTCTTCTCATCCAACTCTCCAAGTTGCCGCTGCAGTTCAGCCACCTGTTATCGAGAGTGAAGGAAATCACAATTCTGAGCCTCTATTCGCTCCCTGAATAATTACCATCAGCTTCATGTACTCATAACCGGCACAGGTGAGAGCCTTCATCCACTTCTCCATCACTTCCTGGTTTTCCGCGCAGAGATAATACGTCCGGTTGTTTATGCCATGGAAAACGATCTGGAAGCAGTAATTTTCGCCATCCTCCGCCAATTCTATCGTGCATCCCTCTAACACTATCACGCCGATGGGCTCCTTGTCTCCTTTCTTCTCAAAGTAGAACAGCAGATTGCCTTTCAAGACAAACCATCTTCTCTGCCAAGACTTATTTACTTCGCCCCTCTTGTTGAGGTAGCCTTCGAGATCGGACGGAGGCGTTGTCGCGAATAAACACAGATTCTTCTCGTTTATCTTCATCTTTCCACCTGAAGTACAATTGTGTATGGATTCTTTGAGAATTTTCTTCACAATTTATGCAAATTTAAGTGGTATTACCATTGAAAATGCAAAAGAAAATTTCGTCTCTCACTCACTCATCAAAACTCAAAACATCACTGACAACCCAACAGTCCACTTCCTAACTGATCGCGTTTGCAGTACTATAAGTGATTAATTCTCTTTCACCCACCCTAACTTTCATTTCCTTATTCTAAATTGATTATTCCATTTCGCTAAGAGAAATGAACCTTACATAAAGTTCCAAGTTGAAGAAATCTTATTGGAACTGGAATGAGATGATTTTCACATAACATATAAATTGAGGAGAGCTGCGACTCAACCGGGTAAAGCGCCACCATTCGCTAGTGGCGAACATTGTCACTTGTGACGTCATATCGTATGTTTACAGCCGGCTTTGCTGCCGCTTTCTCAGCATAAATATCGCATTTATCGTGAAGTGTGTGGTCAAAGTGGTTTAATTTGTAAATTTTGCAAATCTGGATGAATTATGTGAGATTATGATCACCGCTTCTGAGCCTCTGGTGAGTAAAAATCCTCCGTTTTGGAGGCCAATGCGAAAAGTTTGGTTATGTAATTGGGGACTTTTGGTAATCCCGTCCAGGAATTTATTCCCCGGGGACGTCAGGCGGTGGAGACACATCCTGGTCCCTCTACGCAGCGGCAGGACAACAATGTGCCGCCCGGTGACAATTTGCTGCTCTACCGGCTGCAAAATTTCAGCATATCGTCGGATGAATCTTCGACGGAGTTTTGGCATTTGGAGGAAGTCTTTGAAGAGCCCCAGAATGAGGCAGAAGAAGAGTTTGGGGAATCCGGTAACATATCAAATCTCAACTTTCTACACACGTACAGCGCGAACTCTGAGGATGAGCTGTACGTGAAGGGGAACACGGCTGTTTGGAGTCAAGGATTGCAGGGCGACGACGATCACGTGGCGCCTCGCGTCTGTTTCACTTGCGAGACTCCCATAAAGTTTGCTTTCTTCTGCACTCCGTCATTCATGGAGTCAGACAATAGTGGCGACTCCGATGGCCCGGAGAACAACAAGCGAGTGAAACATCGCGGAATTTGCCTGATTGACTCAACAAGTCTTCATGTTTATCGCGATGACGGGGAGGATTTTCACTGCGCCTTGGAGTTTCAGGTGTCCAATGTATGGAGTACAGATCTTGGGATATTGTTGGAGAAAGAGGCGTCTGGAATGATGGTGCAATCCGACACAATCCTGCCGATGCCTCGGGTGTTCTCTCTGACACATCCGTTGGACGAAATGTCCCCGGTGCTCGTGAAGAGCTTCACCGGATGCGTCAATTATCTCACAGAAGTGGACTACAAGGTAATAAGCACGGATCAGTCAAACAATATTGTCCTGATGTTTGACAATAAGATGGGCAGGCACTTTGTGTGCAACTTGCGGAAGACAACGACGGAAGAAGTGAACGCTGTTGCTGGTCCCACGTTCGATAGCACTATCAACAGCACCTCTATGTTCTCTGGGACAGCTTATCACACTGGCCAGCAGACTTCCCTGTACAAATCAGCAGCTCTCTACACCACAAAAATGCAGCACACTCACCATCACCCCAATCTAAACACGACCTTCTGGTCATTTCCCAACCGACCTTCCGCTTCTCACTCCCCAGCCAGTTTGGCTTCCTCCAACCAAACAAGCCACACACGTTTATCACAGTCTCCTTTGGCGCGTCTCCAGAGTTCTCTCGGGAAGTCATCTTGCACGTCAGTGAGTGTGAGAAAATTGGGTCAAGCGCAACCCTCGAAGCCAATAATTCCAGAGTATTGTCTCGTACATCTCTGGAGTGAACCCACGAACGTGAAAACTGAGTTCATTGAGTGTTCCTCGAAGGGATTCCTTCACACTGATCTAGTGGGACAACTCTATCTCTGCTACCTCTTGCCACGTAATGCCAAATTGATTCTCGTGCCGATTGTGAGAACAAAAGAGTCAGAATTCCACTTTTTCGGCAAAACTTCGGTGGTGAATGCAAAAGACGCAGTGGTGCTCAATAGGATGAATATGATTACGGTTTTGTCGCCATGTGGCACAATAATGCTGTATTCTGGATCAGTGAATGTGGGTAAAGTCCACGTGGGTGGAGTGCTCTCGAGCTTCGCCCTAATAGATCGATTGGGAACACTCAACTTTCCACGAAGGAGCAGTCTTCTCCCAACTGCACCACCTGAATCGCAAATTGAGCACGATCTCAATATGTTCTCGCCCGTTCATCCACTCACGGCAGCCAACACGAGCAAGTAAGTTATGATTTAAGCATTTTTTACTAGATTTCTGATCTTGGGATTCTATTTGCAGAAATAATGGTGGAAACATTTGCATGGGCTTACGTGATCCGACTGGAAATCGATTGAATCTGGTGTATTCAGGCGGTAAATTGTTTCGTATAACACTACCATTGATTTGCGAAAACACCCTCGTCGCACGATGTTTACTGACGCTGAGGCAAGTGTTGCACACTGATTTGGCCATTCAGGTCATGGTGAGGTGGTATGGCATCAAGAATGCCCCTGGAACAACAAACATTACTCCCAACAAGGAGTGGGCAATGTTTAAGAACCTCTTGCTGGAAATGCTGGGACGTTCTTCGAGCAGTCCAGATGCATCGTCCAGTTCGCAGTCGAACATGTCATCGGAGGAGCCGAAGAAGCGTAGGAAGAATGATAATTCCAATGGTTCAGACTCTGATTGGGAGTATTTGCTGCAAATGCGCAGGGAGAACACTATTATGGCAAGATCAGCAAATAGTTCTGTGGATAATGCGGAGGCCACACCGATGAAAAATGATACTTCAGCACTTCTGTTTGCCCACTTGCCGCTGATTCTTTTCTCACTGCATTTGCTGTATGAGGATCTCAAACTGAGCCTAAGTACGCAACAATATTTGCAACCGATGGCGGAATTTCTCTACCAACTCGCGATGGATCTGAATTTGGATCAGTACTGTCTGCATTATTACTGTGACTTTCCGCATTTGGCGCAGAAGATCTCAACGAGTTATCTTACAGAAACAGACTTGACCAGTCTGCAGAACCTCAATTTGATTATATCAACAAGCATCCCGAGAATCTATCGCCAGGTGTATGATACTGTGAAATTGGACAGAGAGAGTGACTTGGACAGCAGTGAGGCGTATCCATATGTATCAAAAGTCAATGGGATGTCGAGAAAAGTCATCAAAGCTATCACGTATTTCCACCTTGGTGAAGCGGCAGTGAAAAAGTGCATCAAGGAATATGTTCCAGTGACTGGTAAAGTAGTGGCGGATGAAGAAGTTGTGTCTCTGCAGAAGAACATTGGGATAACTAGAGAGGAAATCTCGCAATTCCCACCAGCCATAAATTTCGTCATTACACAGCTCTTGGAGAAGTTCAAAGCCAATCCGCCACTCGAGTGTGATACCGATACTTATGGACTTCTCCTGCGATCGGATCTTGTGTCTCACACATCACACGGGAAGGATAGCAAGAAGATAGTTGACACGAAGAAGTATCTCAATGAACACTCACTGACTCCTCGAATGGCGCCAAATCCATCGCTCAGTGGGAAGAGCGACAATGCAACCGAAGAGGATGGCATGGAGGAGATTGATTCGAAGCTCTTCTGTCTCCGCTTTCCAGATGATCTCCGCATACATGAAGTGCGTCGATTGCTTAATAGCGCGAATCCCGTGACTATTGATATTGTTCAGGGACCAAATGTGACTGACCATGATTTCATAGAGGAAAAGGAGAAGCAGCTCTTCGCCTTATGTACACGAACTATGGCTCTTCCCTTGGGCCGTGGTATGTTCACACTGCGCACGACGAATCCCACACCGACAGAGTCATTGCCCATCCCGAAGCTCTGTCTCACTGGCAAAGAAGTGCTGAAGGGAGCGACAATTGAGCTGCAGCAAATTGAGGTGCCGCCAAATATGAATTGCTGGCCGCTTTTTCACAATGGTGTGGCAGCTGGTCTGCGGATCACGCCTCAGGCGAAGGATATCGACTCGACGTGGATTGTATATAATAAGCCCAAGGGCTCGTCGGATGTCTCAATTGAGCACGCTGGTCTTCTTATGGCTCTGGGTCTCAACGGTCATCTCAAGAGTTTGTCAGACATGAGTATTTTCGACTATCTTCTCAAGTGTGATGAAATGACGAGCATTGGTCTGCTGCTCGGCATTTCTGCAGCTCACAGAAAATCCATGAACATGGCCATCACGAAGCTCCTCAGCGTTCATATTGAGGCTCTCCTGCCGCCAACTGCTCTCGAGCTGGACATCCAGCAGAATATCCAAGTGGCCACGCTAATGGGCGTGGGACTCGTGTATGAGGGCACAGCGAAGCGACACATGGCCGAAGTTCTTCTGCAGGAAATTGGAAGACCTCCTGGCCCAGAGATGGAGAATTGCGTTGAGCGGGAGTCTTACGCACTCACAGCTGGTCTGGCTCTTGGACTAGTAACGCTGGGCCAAGGTGAGACACCAACAGGACTTCGGGATCTTGAGTTGCCGGACACGCTGCACTACTACATGACTGGCGGCAACAAGAGACCCTTGACTGGTGCGCAACGAGAGAAATACAAGTTGCCATCATTCCAAATCCGCGAAGGTGACACTGTGAATATTGACATGACGGCACCTGGAGCGACCCTGGCTCTTGGACTGATGTTCCTGCAGACGGGTAATCAGGCTGTCGCTAATTGGATGATGCCTCCGGATACGAGATATTTGCTAGACTTTGTGCGGCCGGATTTGCTGATGCTGCGCATGATTTCCCGGGGTTTAATCATGTGGCACAGCGTGGAGCCGACACAGGAGTGGCTGGAAGAGCAATTTCCGGCGGCTCTTCGATTCGATCTGAAGCGTGGTCCGCAACTGGAGGATGTGAATGATATCGATCATGAGGCGCACTGTCAAGCGTATTGTAACATTATCACAGGAGCGGCGTTTTGCATGGGATTGAGATTTGCGGGCACTGAGAATCCCATTGCGTACAAAACGTTGAAGGATCTGGTGAAACTCTTTCTGTCTATGGGTGGTCAGTATGTTGGAGAATACGCTGGAAAAGCCACTGTGGAGTCATGCCTCATCATGATTATCTTGTCCCTTTCCCTGATCTTCGCCGGATCGGGTGATCTCAACATTCTGCGGATGATCAGACTGCTGAGGACGCGAATTGGAGTGACGAATGCCCATGTGACTTATGGATCACACATGGCACTGCATATGGCGCTGGGATTTCTCTTCCTCGGAGCCGGAAGATACACGCTATCGACATCCCAGAGCGCTATAGCGGCACTAGTGTGCTCGTTGTTCCCCAAATTTCCCACCCACAGCAACGATAATCGCTATCATCTGCAGGCATTTCGACATCTCTACGTATTGGCCATTGAAGCGCGACTGTTTCTGCCACGAGATGTGGACACAGGGAAGCTGAGCCTTTGCAATTTGGCGTAAGTGCATTTCTTTTACATTTGCATAGGGAAAATACTTACATTAATTTTGTAGGTGCATCAAATTGGGGTCGACGGAAGTCATTCAATTGCCAATAGCACCTTGTATTCTGCCCGAGCTGAACACACTCCAAACAGTGATCGTCAATGATCGATACTATTGGCCCATTCGATTTGATAGAGACAGCAATTGGCATCAATTGGAGTGAGTATAGAAGCAATTTAATTGATCTCTTGAGCTTTTTCTCATGATTCATTTGTTTGTGCTCTTATGTCAAATAGAAAAATACTCCAAAAGTGTGGATGTGTGGATATAAAGAAGAGAGCTGGGTGCTTATCGCTTCTTGAGGATCCGAATAGACTCAAGAGTTTGTTGGCAAAGTCACTCACCTCTGAGCAGTTCAGCACTTGGCGGATTAAGGTGGGATAACTCTTTTTTGTGTTGTATCGTTGAGAGGCTCTAACTCGTTTGTTGTCTTTGATTTATATCTTTACAGCCGAAAAATCTGTTGTCCTTCTCGAGTGATGCATTTGTGGAGATCTTCGTGGACAAGCTCCTCCTTGGGCACGAAGATGTCCCAGTGTGTGATCAGGAACAGGAGCTAACAGAACTGCTAATGACACAATTCTACAATTGTCTCATTCAGGATCGACTTGAAGCGCTTCCTATTTTCATTGGACTGATCATAATGATTCGCAGAATCAATGTGAGACCGTCAACACAGGATATTTGGCAGTTTAAGATCATAAGTGCCTTACTGAAGAAGTCACAGAGGACCTCTGAGTCTGAGAGCCTCCTCACGACGGGAATCCTACAATCACTAGAGCTGAAGTTGATGTCATGCATTGAGACGTGGGGCAATGACTGTTTCAACCTCATGAAGCAGTTTCTCTTCTCGTCCAACATCAATTTCCTGCAGGATGGCAACTTGTCCACTGTGACACTCACAAAATTGGCCATTTTGGTTGTCTTTTACGATCTCCCGATTAATGTGCTCAATTTCGTGGATCTCAGAGGACAGCTCAACTACCTGGGAATGCTCGTGGAGCTGAAGCGATTGAAACTCGACACAAACTCCATTCACTGTATCTCAAAGATTCTCTTAAATTCCGTTTGAATAATGTAATTGATATGCAAAATAATTTCCTCAATTTGACTCTCTTCGTTTTGTTTTCATCGACACTTTTTACTTGTAATCAAGGAGAAACGAGAAAAAAGAATCGAGACGGGGAATTTACGGTGGTCGAATTAATGAGAAGACATTTAGATTATGTTGTACGGTCGTTCTTAAAAGAGACACTTACGACAATACACGCAAAGATTTTCACTGTATTTCAGCTGTGTGTGTCTGAAATCAGGGTTCTGAGGCATATATAAGAATTGGAGTGAAGCGATGGGCCTTTAAAGTGGCCTGATAGGGGACAAATGCTTATTTCACTCTCGACAGTCGAGCAGTTTAGTGGTCAAGTTGCAATGAAGCTGGCATTGATTGCATTAGTGCTCCTTCTCACATGTGCTTCCAGTGCATGGAGTTACATTGTTGATCCTGGACCTGTCGTGAAAGCAACACGTGGACTCGTGTGGCCTCAGCCCACAAAACTCACAATTCAGAACACTTTCTCTGTTATCCGGCCGCAAAAGTTTGAGTTCAATGTGAGCTGTGAATTTCCCAAAAACAGCGTGATAAGAATAACTACTGAATTAATATCTTTCTAGGCTGTGAAAAATACGTGCGACATTCTGAATGATAGCTTCATACGATACAAGGAACTAATAGTTGCAGAGGCGCAACGACTGAGGAAGATAGAGATGAAAAGTGCTCGCCGGAGTCGAGAGAGAATTAATAGAATCAACTATGATCAATTTTACGAAGATGACAAATTTACGGTGAGTATCAAGTGGAAATATTTTGTGCGAAAATATGGAAAAAGATCACGGAGAGGCCACCAGGCCGTGACCTTATTGTGTTTGATGTTTATGTATGATTTGCTCTGGCTCGTCCGAAAAATCCCCCTCGAATAGTCATTCTGTTGAGCAGAGCAATTAGTACGATGCTCTTTCACTTGGAATTTGTATTTTTTTGTCAAGTAAAAACATTGTTTTTTGTGTGATAAATACAGGTGTGGATTTTGGTTTCGCAGTTTATATTCTGAGCAATTTTCAATTTGAACTTGATTTTCTTATATTGTTCTCTGTTCTCTCATCTTCTCTAGGGTTTCTTGGAAGCTGTGACAGTGAACCTTGAGAAACCGTGCGAAGACAGCCCTTATCTGGGCATGGATGAATCATGTGAGACTGTGATCCTCACTCTTTACTTACCGCATCTAATACTTCTCATGATTTGCAGATAAATTCACACTGAATAATTCAGAGGCGATTCTTGAGAGCGAAAGTGTTTGGGGAATTCTTCGTGGATTGGAGTCCTTCTCTCAAATGATCACAACTGCTGATGACGGCCGATCACTGAGGATCAACAATTCATACATTGAAGATTCACCTCGCTTCTCGCATCGCGGACTTTTGCTGGACACTTCTCGACACTTTATCCCTCTGGACACGATCAAGCTGATCCTCAACGGCATGGCGTACAACAAGCTGAATGTTTTCCACTGGCACATTGTGGATGACCACAGCTTTCCCTATGAGAGCACTAAGTTTCCCGAATTGAGCGCAAGTGGAGCCTTTCATCCCACACTTGTGTATACCCAGAACGACGTGGCGGCAGTGATTGAGTACGCCAGAATGCGCGGAATTCGTGTGCTGCCGGAATTCGATACTCCTGGCCACACAAGATCGTGGGGCGTGTCACATCCTGAGCTCCTGACGCAGTGCTATCCGCCCTACAGCGGAAAACTAGGGCCCATGGATCCCACCAAGAGCGAAGTGTACACATTCCTCAGAGAGCTCTTTGGCGAAGTGTCCGATGTCTTCCCTGAGCAGTATTTTCACCTCGGCGGCGATGAAGTAGGCTTCGAGTGTTGGAGCACAAATCCCGATATCGTCAAGTACATGAAGGAGAAGAATTACACAAAGTATGAACAATTGGAGGAGGAATTTATTCAGAAGGTCGTGGATATAATTGATGACTTGAAATCAAAGTCAATTGTGTGGCAAGAGGTCTACCAGAATCAAGTGCGACTGCCTCAGGGAACTGTGGTTCACGTGTGGACGGGCGACAGGAAGCGGCTCATGTCGCAGATTACGCGCGATGGGCTTCCCGTGTTGTTGTCCGCGTGTTGGTATCTGGATCATCTGGCCACTGGTGGAGACTGGACAAAGTTCTACAACTGCGATCCGCTGGACTTCCAAGGAACGCCCGAGCAGAAGGCACTCGTGATGGGCGGAGAGGCGTGCATGTGGGCAGAAGTGGTGGACGACACGAATGTAGTCCAGAGGTAAAATATGATGATGGAAATTTGTCGCTGCCACTTATTGTCTGTATTTTGCAGGATCTTTCCACGAGCTTCTGCGGCGGCAGAGAAATTGTGGACTCAAGGCCCAGGAGTTTCGGTGAAGGAGCGATTGGAGGAGCACTCATGCCGACTCCGGAAGAGGAACATTCCCTCTCAGCCGCCAAATGGACCTGGTTTCTGTCTCTAGGCACATTCGTTACTAATTATATTGTATAAGGTAAGCTTTCTGGCAATATTTGGGTGTAAATTATTGCTTGGTAACAATATTAAGTTCTGGCAAATCACTAATTGATTCATAGCCCTCGGGAATTAAAATGATTATGAGGAAGAAGTATGTCACAAGCACGCAAATGAGAACGAGTCGATCAATGAGAGTGGCTATAAATTGCCACTTGTCCTTATTCTTGTGGTCTTCTGCTTTCGGTTCAACGAGTATTGTAGTGTCATCGTCGGCCACTTCTTCGATCCTCTCCATTTTCCCCAAATTTACGTGCACAATGAACTTTCCTGCTGCGGATTCTTTCACAACATCCACAGGCGAAGACAACCATCCTGGCACGTCGCATTGCAACGACAATAGGTATCTAACGAGAAAAGTGTTGATTAACAACACGGCCAAAATCGCTGTGGAATCTCTGTAGAAGACAACTGCGCAGGATGATATATTTTAATAATTGATTGTATTGACAGTTTAAAGAAATTTTGTGATACTCACGAACACTGGGTATCGTGGCGCCATTCCTAGGCACAGTCCAATGCATTTGTTGTATAAAGAGTTGATGTCCCAAAAAGCTCACACTGATTAAGATCCATCGCTCATTTCCATACGGAGAAATCAGCAGGGAAATAATGTTCATGAGACACAAAACTAGAGAAAAAGTTTTAGTCCATTTAAAATTAGCTTCGATGAAAAAAATCAATTAAAAGAGTAGACAATGAATTGTTCTGATTTGAATGGGGATTTCCCGTTCCCCTATGATCAAATAGTTAATAAGTGAGAATTTGATATGTCACTTTAGTCCCTGCCAAGGTGGCGAGATATTGTCGAGATTGATAAAAGGCGATGAGAAGATGAACTTACCAATTGTTGGCACGAGCAGAAAGACTGCAAAAACTGATTCGTGTCTTTCCAGCATAAACTCATACATGAGTGTCGGGAAGGTTTGATTAGGACAGCACGCATAATTGCCACTGTTCCTCTTCACGGCCACAGATAAGAGTTTCCAGTCATGATTGAGGAGACTCTCCGAATGATCCACGGAGGATTTAGTTGCGACAAAGTTCACTTCTTCGCCCGATTGCACCCAGGTGCCGAAAGTAAATGTGCAATTCTGACGATCGAAAGGCCAATGCTTAAAGGAACCTCTGCACAATCCTTGAAATTGACACGGGGGTATGCAGATTACGAGACCATTGGAGTGAATAATGCAATTTGTCGTTTCACAGCTGTCGGACTCCTTCGCATTGTTGTACAGCGAAAAATCTGGCATCCAAATTTCCGTGCTCATTTCATAGAAAGTCTTCAAGCCGCCGTACTCGCGTGAATCCCATTTGAAGTGTTCATCTGTCCAGGAAAGTACCATCCAAACCGACACAGTGATACTGTTAGCATAATCCAACTTTCAAAAAAGAAGAGCAAAAATTAGTCTTCCTTCTCAAGGGATTATTATGGAAGGCAGATTGGACATCTTACATAATCGTAGGATTTTAGAATCATTTTCACTTTAACAGTAGTGGCATTTTTGCTGCCACCCATAGGACGAACACTTTTGTCGTAATTGCACATCATATCCTTCTTCAGGCGGAGTTCATCATTCTTAGGCACTTTATCACATTCAATGGCCGAGCAAAATTCACAAAGAACATACAGAAGAAGGATCACTAATAAGGATTTCATTTTGAGATTTTATTGAGAGTTCTTTTCGTCTTGCTTAGTCAGAAGTTGAAATGAGACTGAAAACGCCACTTGACGATCCAATAAACGCCTACAATTCATGTGATGTTGCTGTTTGATAAGGAAGTAATTTGATATTCACTATTTCTGAAGGGATTGTGCGTACTGGTTTATATAAACAATCAGTTTATTTTTCTTCATATATCATTCAATATTTATTAAAAATAATAATTACAACATTTTTTTCTAATGTGAAAGCACAGCCGAGAATAGAGATAAATGCTATGAAATCTTCAGTGAAGTGTTGAATGAGAATTTCCCTGAGATGTGCACAGACACGCGTGACTAGGACACAATTTTCCTGGAGTCGATTCGGTTGGACACTTTTTTCTCTTAACGCGGCGATTCTGGAACCAGATCTTCACCTGCTTCTCCGACAGTTTCAGTGAGTTGGCGATTTGAATCCTGCGCAGGCGAGTGAGGTAGATATCCGTCGCGAACTCTCGCTCGAGTTCCAGCAACTGAGCGCTGCTGAAGGCTGTTCGGGCCCTCTTTACGGAGCTCTCCTCATTGGGAGACTTCTCTGGGGGCGTCGGCGGCGATCTGGGCATGTAAGTGGGCGTATAAGGAGCCGGCGGCGCCCAGGTATCTCGAGGTAGTGAGTGGGTCAGCGTGCCGAGACTCAGGAGATAATTCTCGATGGTGTAATCCGTGTATGTGGGCAATCTCGTGTACAATCCTTGAGAGATATTTGCACATTCCTCCGACCGAATTGGCGAACTGTCGTCGGTGCGCAAGAGTGATTCCACAAAAAAGGAGCGCGACATGCTTAACAAACTTCCTCCACTTCGTTTGAGGTCCAAAAGTGCACTAAGAGGATTATGGATGTGACTCTTGATTTTATAACACACCCCGAGAGTTCCTCAACTTTACCTGGATCCCAGCTAGGAAAAAAACACCACTTTTGCCAATAATAGAATTTCAAGCTACAGGAGAGCTTCTGTTGCCAATTGGCCGACAGTATCACACACTCAAGAGGGTATTTTGTGTACGCAAAATACACTTTTTCAGAGAGCTATTATGTCACCTTTTCTCCTACTGAATGCCATGCCCAAAGTGCACCCCGAGACAGAGAGATTGAGAAGGTACACTGGCAAAAAAAAACACACACAGAAGAGTCATTATTGAATTTATGTCTTTTCAATTGACAAATATAACTTTAACTGAATGGCAAGGGAAAAATCATATTATCGTTAAATTGTGAGGCCAATTTTACGCTAAATAAATTCTCTCCCTCTTTTCTCTTCGCCACCAATTGTGTTGTGCAGTCCCATTCAGACACGAGAGTTTCATTCACCGACCTCACCATTGAGCAGAGAAATTCTGTTTGATGTGATCCTCTTTTCACAATTATTAACAATTATTTACATGAGTGGCGGCTTGTCTCATGTGTACCATTTCTCATCCCTTTGCCCTGACAAATTGCCCTCCAATGCCATTCAGTCTGGTGAGGTATGCCCGAGGACAACGGCTTCAGTGCTCCTCGAGTGGCTGTCGAAGGTAAATTTGTCAAAGAGCGTGATGTAGAGGACGAAAGAATCCATTGAAACACATTGGTATCAATAGCAAAATCATTGTGACGGTCCTTCATGCGAAAAATGCTGAAAAGACACTGCGCTAAGTTTGAATATTTCTTGATATACATAGTTCAAGGGGAGATATTGTGGCTAGAATATGTACAGTAATTTTACAATTTATGTACAGAACTCACCTAGTCTATCGAATTCTTTAGACATTCGATCAAAAAGACTTCATCACTAACTACAATCTATCTATTCCTTACCATAATATTTCCCCCTGAGACATTTTTTTTTATTAAGTTCTTCATTGCTTAATTCAATAATAACAAATAGATGCAGAGAGATATTAGTGAAGTAGGAATTTGCCAATTCCAAGCGCCACCATTATGAATCGCATTTCCAGATATCTGTTGATTAATATGCATCATGAATTGCTGAAATGTTTGCTGCGGTATTACTTTTTCGATACAATCATAGATTGGAACGATAATGCCGCAGCGATTTGTGGAATCCTGAAGGAACCTCAGACAAAGTTCAAGATAAGACACATTCACTTCCAAAGGGTGTCCGACATAACCGTTTTCAGTGAGATATTCTGCTATTTCGTTGGCCTTAAAGAAAAGGGTTGTGAATTATTACAAAATGCTTGTGAAGAGATAACATTCTTACAGTCTGTCGTTCATTGCCGTGATGATAGTAGACGTCGAAGAAGCAGTAGAGAAGGCAAGTTCCCTTCAAATCAGGCAAATTTTTGCATATTTCACTGTATGGCGGTTGACTTCTCGTGAATTTGCTACAATTCGCCCAAAGCAGTACAAGACTTGATAGTATGAAATTCATTGCGAAAGTGGAAATATCCGTGGTTGTGAAGCTTATCTCGCAACAATGCTTCATAAATTCAGCTGAGTAAATAAGGGAATACATATTTTAAACTTGTGAATTTAACACAATTGTAAATTGATTCGTGATCATGATCTTTTCACACTTTTCAAGGGTAAGAAGAGAGTGAAGAATAATATTGTAGGTACAATTAATGCGCGTAATCTATAGAATAATTGCACATTTCCCAACTACAGCCTCTTCCTTGTGTCTATGTCAGAGAGTATAAAAGTGAATGTATCGAAATTTGAGTGATTTATCATCATTTGGGAGAAATCCGCCCCTTTTAAGCTGTGTCGCTGGCTTGTGCTGTTGCACATGAAGAAGTCAAATAATAGGAGCAGATGATTCGAGAAACTTCTCAGAAATCACTCTTGAATGCGTGCCTTCAGGACATTTTTCTTGTGGCGCAAATTTGTCTACTGTGAAAAGTTCAATTCAAAAGACATAAATTCCAATACCAAACATCAATTCCACTCATTGTGTAAAACTCCCCTGAACAAGATCTCTCCTGATGTTGGCTTTTTACTGTTTGAAGTGCATTTGAATCAAGAAGAAGTGGTTGCTAATACGGCTAATGAATGACCTTTTGTATGGTGGAAAAAATTCTTTTCAAGAATTCGTTTTTTCGTACTTTTGTCCCTTCTCGTCTAGTAAAAAATCCAATGCGTTGCTCAGGCCTGATTTTTTTAGGCAAAGTCAAATAACTAACAAAAGCAGCATTGCATAACTGAAAAAAAATGCAAGCTGTATTTTTGGAACAAGTGCGTCAATGGACTCATTCAAGAATTGGCGAAATCCAGAGATCTTTCAAGGGCGTATGGAATTATTAAAAGGAGAGAATTTGTCTCTAAAGTGCTGTGATGGAAATTTATGGACTTACAATTCTGTAGGTTTTATTATTCTCCATTTTCTTCCATTATTATAAGATCTCGTGACTACCAGAGCCAAAATGCAAACACTTCACTTCTTAAATGACGACGGATTGATGCCGCACTTCTTCATCTTCACTGCAATGTTGAAGAGATAGTCGTAACATTCGGTCCTTGAATAGAATAAGAAAATCAATAAATATTATGGTAGCATTTAGAAATATTTTAATAGTCTGACTTTGACAATGAAAGTCATTCTTGACTTACATCGTCTTCGCCTTCTGCCACGTGTCGCCCCACACGTAAATGCCATGGCGACGAACGAGGACAGCGTGCGTTCCCGGATATTCCTTCATGGCCTCGAGGAGAGACTCCTCGAGATCCCTCTCGAAGCAAGTGTTTTCGATAATTGGCACCACGAGCTCCTCGTCATAGCGAAGGTAGCGTTTCAGTGTGTCATCATACACACCCTTTATCATCTCCAAGTGGCTGCAGCGGAACTCCGAGCCTTCCCAAAGGAGGGTGGCCATCACGGCGTTTGGAGAGTGAGTGTGAATCACTGCTCCTGCGTTGCGATGCTTGTACGCCAGCATGAAAAGCGGAGTGCACTGGCTCTTGGACAATCTGCAAGTGAAGCAAGTTTTATTTTAACCGTCGTGTAAACCATGTGAAGCATTTTGCGCTACTTCTTGTAATCAGGAGGAAGCTGCAGATCTTCACCGTCGATGTTCTGAATGAATAAATCTTCAGGCTGAATTCGTTCCTTCTGAACACCTGAAGGCGCGATGTAGATTTCGTCACTGAAGAGATAAGAAACGAAGAATTAATAATAGTTACTTATTTGCGGGTGGATGTAAGAAATACTCGAGCTTGATGCTTATTCCTCCTCCGGTTCCAGTGACCCATCCCAAATTGTAGAACTGCCTGCAGAGCTCGGGAATGAGTTTTCGAGGGTGTTCCTGTAAAGTACAGATAATTTATGTGAATGGAATCCCCAATCCATGTTGTGTAATTAAATTATCTCACCTCAGACAAATCCTGGTACATCATTATCCAGACGAGCACAAAAGAAAAAAAGATTTAAGAATATTTTGGATTATTTCCTCTTATTGTTTTACTCTGATAGCGCGGAAACAAGGACAGTCGGAAACCACAACACCACAGTGTGCTTGGAGATAAGGAGAGCGACTGAGTGAGCTTTGGATAAGAGCAATCTATCGAGTCGAGAATCTCCAGAAACTAATGATATACTATTTTTAGACATCCTTTTACAGAAAATTGATTTTTATACACAGACAAAGATTCACTTCAAAACTAGGTCGATGAATATCCGTAATTAAAATATATTTCAATGCGCTTCTCTATTAGAGTGATTCTGAGAAAAATAAATTTAGCAGTGATAAGAAGAGACACAAAAAACACTGACGGCACAATTTTTCTTGTGATTATTCTTATTAACTGTTAAAATAATAGATGGTTGAATATCCTGTATACCTCGTAAATACTTCGCATTTCTTTTGCGTTTAAAAGATTTCACTGGAAACAAGAAAAATCAGGAAAACGAGGATATCACAAAAAGTAAACAATCGCGTTATCACCCAAGCAAAAAACATATGGCATGATGACATATCATGACAGCGAAATTTGAGAACAGTGTACTTGCATGCACATTGTGCGCATTCATGCAAGTTTTCAGTTTTTGGCGGAATGTCACCAATGCAGATCCCATTAACCTCATAAATTTTACATATTTTGCATAAATTCTCATTGCAATATTAAAGTTATTTGAATGATTTTAATCCATTGTGAGTAGGAAAATGAGTGAAAGTCCTGGAGAAAGTGAAAGTCATCAGGAAGAGCTTGTAGATCGCGAGAACTTGGTGTTTGCGGAGGCTTCTTCTCATGGACACCTTGAAAATGGGGCGCTAGCAGCAATACCAGAAGAGACTCCTCAAGAATCCAGCCGCATTTGCGATGCAGACAGTGATGATGAGGTTGGAATCATTAGGACGAAGAAAAGAGTTCAAATTTTGAGCGATAATTCCGATGACGACGATTTCCCGGCGGCGAACAATTCCCGGACAACTGAATTGGCAGTGGACAGAGAAGACGATCAGGCAGATAAGGAGGCCTCTGATGAAGCCTTGGATGCAGTGAACACTAACACGGAAAGCGTTGGGAAATACAACGGATTGAGATTTCTCTGTGACGATGATTCAAGTGAGGAAGAGCAAATTGCAGAAGTTGAGATTGCTGATCCAAAGAAGGTAAAAGTTAAGAAGCCGAAAACAAGCAGACAAAAGGATTTAAAAAAGAGTAAACCGGAAATCGAAAGCGAAGGATCTCACGACAGCGAAGAGGAAGACAAGAAGAAAGAGAAGAATCGTAGGAAAAAGACTGAGAAACCCAAGAAAATCTCTAAACGAGAGCGAGAAGAGGAAGAAGCTAAGAAAACTGAGATTTACAGCATGATTCAGAAGAATGCTCGCGAAGAAGTTATTGAGTTAGTAGATAAATCGAACATATATTTTGATAGAAATTAATTTTACCTTTCTTTTTCCAGTGTGCCTTACAACAAACCTGAGCAATATGAACTGAAGGAGTTTCTCAGTCGCCTACAGGAGAGCAAAGTCACTCTTCCTATCGATAAGAAACTCGCCAAGAAGACCGGAAAATTGAGAGCTCTGAAGAGTGAAAAGCCGATAATCGTACAAGAAGATGATGTGAAAGAGAACGAATCGAATATAGAGATTGTTGAAGAATCTCCAAAGCAAAACATGGATGAAATAGATTTGCTGGTTGCTGGAACATCCAAACAAACGGAAAAGAGAGTTGAGAGTAAAACGAAAGTTAAGGTTACTCTTCAGGGCGATCCAAACTCCGTGATTGACTTAGATTCTGGCCTTGTGGCTCCAAAAGCGAAACCGAAGGGCGTCGCTTTAATCGAGAAATGCATTTTGCAGAATGTTAAGCCATCTGCAGCCGTTGTCACAGACGCGCCCAAAGTAGAGCATATTCCTGGAGTGGCATACAAGATTCTCATGGAGAGTCTTGGGCAAGAATTGTTGCGGAAGAAGAAGCAGCAAATGCAGAAGTATATTGAGGATCAGGAGAAAGGAAAAATGCAGCAATTGGCAAATGAAATTGATGATGAAGCTGAATTTGTGGATAGCGGTGAAGATGATGACGAGATGGAGGAAGACAAACTGAACGATGTCGTAGAACAGGAAAGTAAAGACCAAGAGCTAGAGCAAGAAACTGAAGTGAAGGAAGATTGCCAACTAGAAGGTGATGAAAATGAGATCCCAAAGGACGGTGAAGTTTCGCATGAGGAAGAAAATGACGCTAGCGATGAAGATTCCGATGCCGAAGATCAATTGACTGAGAAGAATAAGAAGTTGAGGAAGAGAATTGTCAATGTCGATGATGAAGATTCAGACGATGAGATTTTAGCACCGCCTGAGAATATTAATCTATTTCCTGGATTTGAGCAAAACACTTGTGTGACTGAGAGTCAGGTGGAAAAAGATGAAATGGAGTTGTTTGAACTGTGCACAGGGAAATTTGAGACGCAAGCTCCTGCTCAGGAAATGGTGACTGGCCAGTTGGAAGGAAATATTTCTCAGGAAGACACCGAAGTTATGAAATATGATGATGAAGTCCACGTGGAGCCCAATTTTGAGTCGTCAGATGAGGACAATCCAGCTGCAGACACACAGGCTAAAAAGAAGAGTCGGAAAGCTCGAATTTATCTAACTGACGAGGAAGACAACGCTCCAACCACTCAGAAGGACGAAGATTGCGCATCTGAAGGTGAAGACAGTATTTCAAACCCACCTGAAGGATTGTCAGACCAGGAAGAATGCCAGAATGATGCGCAGAATGTTGAGTATGATTCGGAAGAAAATGAGATTGATTCCAGTGCTTTGCCGCCTCCAAAACCCAAGATGAAAGTTACAGATTTTATGGAACAGGAAGCTGAGTTGTCAGAATCCGACTGGGGAAGTGCTGATGAAGACGAAAAGGATCTCGACAAGCTGGATATTGAGCTCGGCGATGAAGATCAATTTGATCAGAATCAGTTGCAGTCGGAATTGGAGCGGATTCACATGAAAAAGCTGCTGGATCAAGATGCTCGGGAGGTGAAAATGGTGAAAAATCTCGTGTTGCACGAGGAGGAACGCGAAGGAATGACACGCGAGAGAACTTTCCGGTGGCTGCACGTGGATAATGATGTCAACTTGCACGGAGAGATTCGGCCGGGAAACCAGGATGATGATCTGCGGGAAAGTGATGAGGAGAACGAGGAACTGTGGCGGAAGATCAGGCACGAAAGAGATGTTGTGCTGAAGGAACAGCTTGGAAGCGAGCTTTCGAGCATATTTGAGACAAAAAATGTCACCATTCTTAAGCCCAGCATCCCGGAAGATCCGATGGAGGTGAAGGCACCTACATTCCTGGTTCCCGAACAGGACAAACTCAGCAGGAAGTCTCTTCTACTGCAAGATGAGGAATATCTTGCACGATTGGCGGGAATGGCATCCAAGACGACAGACGTCCTTATAAATGGAGCCACTGAGAAGGGAAGCTTCGTCTTCCGGCAAATGGCAAAACAAGATGGGGATCAGGAATCAACGGTGTGTAGTTAGATATTTATTCTACCAATTTGGAATTCATTTCCATTTTCAATTTCAGGTGGGAAAACGCAAGTCGGAAAGTGTCCTCGCTCCGATTAAGGGAAAGAAGCGCAAGAAGACTTCTATCTACGGATGAGATCACTTCCTCTTCGATGCCGCTACAAATTCTCCCAGGAGGTCACTGAAATATTTTGATGCTTTTAGGATTGAGACATAAAAACTGAAATTTTGATACGACATACTTCATTTCTGTGAGTTCCTCAATAACTTTGCGCAGCTTTTCGCGTTCCTGCCTGAACCTGATAAGATCTTCCGGCTCTTGTGCTTCGTCGTCTTCTATTTCAATCACACCTGGATCTTTTGCGTCTTTTACCTTCTCCACAATCATGTCTTCGTTGGCTTTCTTTTTCTTCGCACTCACATCCGGACTGTGCTGATGACGCTTGATCACATACGTGTTCGAGAATGCAACCTTGTGATCTTGTGTAGATGCTTCTAGGTCAGGATCCTTCAGTAAATCAACAATTTTCTGGCTGTGGCAAGCGCTTTGGGAGTCTTCAAAAAGCGGCGGAGTTTCCGACATTTTTTCCTAGTCAATCTTGTGCTGCCCTCTGATGATGAACGCCCACAACAGAAATGGGATTAAAATCATGATCCTTGATTAATCTTTTATTTCTCTTTATAAAAAGCCAAAAAGAGATTTCTTACTGCACTATGTCTGCTTATCCTTTTGATTTTGTTCCTTCATAAATTCAGTGACTTGTTCTTGAGAGCTTCGTGAAATTGTCGAAGAGTTGGGAATACCTTTGTAGCATCAATCTTCGCAGAGAATTCCCGCCAATTGTCTGAGTTATTGGTGATGAGGACGCTCGACCATCCGGCTTCGTGGGCTCCTAAGTAGTCCAGATGTGGCGTATTACCAATGTGAAGACACTCCTCGGCCACTATACTCTGGTCTGCCAGTTTGAGGGCAGCCTGGAAAATGTCCCGATGAGGCTTCTGCACACCAATGTCATAAGAACACAAGACGAAGTCGAACTCTGGCAGCTCTAGGCTCTTCACGACATCCCGGATCCTGGGGTCAGAGTTGGTGATCACACCCACAACCTTATTCAGCTGTTTGATGTCACCCACGAGATGCTCTGCCGATGAGCAGCGACGCCAGCACTCGCTCGTGCCATAGGAAACGACGAGATAGTTGGCAATTTTCTTAAGATCGCTGCTTGGGATGTTAGCATTGGACGCTTCGAAGACACGGATGACCAACTGTTGCCACCAATCCTTCCATCCGCCAATCTCTCCGGGATGATGATAGCCGAAGATGGGGAACTTCTCCACCATCTGCCTGAAGTGTCTGGGAAAGTTAGCTGCTATATTCGTCTGATCGACATTCGGATAGCCAAACTCCGAGGCCACCTTGGCGTACTGCACGGCGGGGGCGGTCCGGAAGCGCAGCAGAGTGTCCGTGATGTCAAATGTTATGAGACGAAATCGACTGAGATTCTCTGCGAGTTTGTTCATCTTTCACCAAACTGACACACCAGAAGGATTGACCAGGACGATTGTGAACACAACAACGACTTAGTTGGGACTGCTAACATTCCCAGGAACTAAACTATTCTGGAGATTTCGGTGTGATTAGAACGTGCTTATCTGCCAGTCTTGTTGCCACTGGCTTGAGATTCTCGCAACAGTTCACAGATATTGCATTGATCAGAATGCATCAGAAGTACGAAAGTATGAGATTTTGCATAAAGAATATGGTATAAAATCTATTATTAGATTGCATTTTGAAGTTATATTAAATGCCCTTACTAGAAAACCCTTATTTTACCAAATTGTAGAGTTAAAATCATTAAATTTCAATTTCAAGAAAAGATTTTATTTTGTCGTACGACATGTCTGATGTATAGTAGTGTGAGTGAGAAGGTTTCGGTATCGAAAATGGGTGCGTGAGTGTTGGTGTTGCATGAAACCATAAAAAATTCATTCCCAACGTGCGGCTTGTAAACAAACAATTTTTTGTATACTTTCCTCGTTTTTGTTCACTTTTCATTCAAGCCTACATTTCTCAGCTGTTTCTACAACTAGGCTTAAGCAAGGAAGTTTGAAAAGAGATGTAACTAGCAATAAACAGCGTGACAATTGGCAGTGTTGCATTGCGCATCCTTGAAATTTTCCACGAGCATCCTTCAGAAGATCAGTATTGTCACTTTTGCAACAATGCTTCTGCGGGCGAGTTTGACAAATTATGACCCCATGAGCCCATGGAGCATCGGACCACCGCCCAGATCCTGTGGCCCATCTGGGCAGTCAGTGGCTCAGTTCGCCAAGTCAATTGTGTTCAGTTCGATTCGCGGAAAGTGCGACAATAGCATCTTCAGCGACCTCAATGAGGGTTGGCAAGAGCCCCCAACGCGAACAGATAATGTCAATGCAACCTACTTTTCCCCGGTAAGTATCCTTGCACTTGTGTCTCATGAATTGTGATTAAAACTACGTTCTGACGCCTTCTAGAGAAAATTTGGCACGCTTTGGGAACGACTGCCTTCGGCATTTTGCGAATTACCATCAAAGGACGAGAGTTTTATTCCTGTGCAGGACTTTTTCGTGGCCGAACTGAGGGACTATGTTGTCCCCACACAAATCACCATCGATCAGGTGGTCAATCCTGGGGCTGTGACTAAAATATGGCTGTATAATGTGGGAAAACTCTGCTGGCATTTAGTGTGGTGCAAACCGCCCACGAGTGATACCAAGAAATCACGAGTCCTCTGCATAAGCTTCAAGAATCAAATCACCTTCGGCACCAGGTTTCTTCGGGTGGAGATGAACCAGTCCAAATTGAGAAATCACACGCAAATCGGCTTGATTGAGGTGTTTGGCGAGAAATTCGTCTTAGGATGCAGTCTTCAAGTGCTGAATATGAAGCTCGAGCGAAGAAAGAACTGCACTTTGAGGACTCTGAGGAAGGAATACGAGAAGTGCAGTAAGAAAACCAACATTACGGAAGAGAGTGATGGTCTGGAGGCGGCAGTGAAATTGAGGAATCCTCAGAGATTCCTATTCCAGAACATTATTCATCACAAGAATGGTGAAAATGCACTCACTTTACTCGATTTGCCGGTATGTTTATGAGAATCTCTACAATTTTGCAAGTATTTAAAGGTAACTTCTTCTTTTCAGTACGAACTTCAGACAAAGATTTGCACATATCTGGATTTGAAGACGCTTTTCACCTTATCCAGCGTGAGCAAGAAAATGTACAATTTAGTCACTGATCCCATGATTTACAGGGAGGTGAACTTGAGAATGTACTGGCACATTGTGAATGATGAGTTTCTCTTGAAACTCGCCAACAGAGCAACGAAGATACGCAAGTTGGACATCTCCTGGTGCGGATGGCACAGTTCGATTTCACCCTCAGTTTTCATATACTTTGTGCGAAAATGCTGCCAAAGAGTCTCACATCTCTGGGTGAATTCTTGCATATTCCTCACAGTTGAGTGCCTCCACGTTGTGGCTAGCGTGTGCGAGGAGTTGCGCGAGTTCTCTCTGCACGGCTATGGGAAGGTGTTCAGCAAGGTGGATGACATTGTGTTCTCATCAGCGAAGCACATGCGGAAGCTGGATTTCTACCGTACTCAGATTCACGAAAGCGTTCTGGAGAGAATCCTTGCGTCCAGTGGAAATTCTCTTCGCCATCTCGGCCTCGCCGGTGGCTTCAAGTACGATCTCGATCGCATATCGCGTCAAATTGCCAAGTACAACCGTGATATTGTCTCTCTGGACTTCTATCAATCGCGTTTTCTCACTCACATCGGCCTGATCGCCCTTTCGCATTGCCATAAACTCGAGGAGATCGACTTTGGCTGGTGCTTTGACCACGTCAGCTATGAGAAATATCTGTCCAAGATACATTACCATGAAGTGTGGGAGTCGTTCTTCAAGAGTCATCGCAACTTGAGAAAAGTCTTTCTCGTTGGAACACCAAAATTCGACGAATTCGATGTGGAGAGCATGAGATCTTGCGAGAATATGGAGCAAATCGATCTCAAGAACATTCGTGGCTTCTCATCTGAACTGCTCCCGAAATTTCGTGCCTATTTTGCCAATTTGCAGTATTTCTCAATAAGTATTCGCGATCCGACACTTTGCACGCCAGCCGTGGAGGAACCCATCGAGATCAATTCCAGACACAACGTGAGTGTTAAAGCATCATAAAATGCTATCGTTTAAAGCAGGATTTTTTTTTTAAAATATTTTCAGGTCCTCCCGAGCAACTACATCACCGTCGCGCGACACTTCAAGCCAAAGACGTCCTAAATGAAGTACAAAATAAAATGTTAACGAAGAAAACTCATCGTGAGACGATTGTTGAATGCTTTTACTACACCATTCATGTATACCAACTCGTATTAACAATTTACATGTTCCAGAGAAATTTATTGTTGGCTTTTTTTAGCAATACAAGAGTTAAAATTGATGTTATTCTATAAATATTGTGTGAAATATATACTAACTCTTACATGACAACCACTGTAGTTGAATAAGATGCAAAAATTCTGGCCATTAGATTACAGGTTCTATTGAAAGAAAAAAAAATGCTGAAATATATTGTATTTTGGAAATATTACTGAATTTGAAAACATTAATACACTTGGTCTTTAATCGACTGCTTTTCACATCGAGAAATCCTTGCATTTGATTTTTTTTTTCAATTTCATGTTAAATTAAAGACTAATAGAAGTACATTAACCCTATCACTTATCGTAGAAGCATAGCATCGGATAACTTCTCTAGTCGCTTTCTTCAATTGCTTCGATGGCTGCTTCTATTTCATGTACTTCGTCTCCGCCTTCCTCAATATTCCCCGTGCTGGATTGGGGATCGTCTTCAGACTTTACTCCTTTCTTTCGCTTCTCTCCCTTCTCTAGTCCGGCTTTCCTCAAATATCGTTGATTCACAATTGTGCCGTCCGGCGGAAGCAGGTGTGTTTGATCCGGATGCGAGCGCTTAACGTGCTTCTTCATGGTGAAGTTGCAAGTGTAGCGCTTATCGCAGACAGGACAGATGTAATTGCGTTCTCCAGTGTGCGTCTCCAGGTGCCTGAAGTACGTCTTCCTCGTTTTTAACACCTTTCCGCAAATTTTGCATGGCACGTCGCCCTTGTGATTGTTCTGGTGATCGGCGAAGGCGCCCTTCGTCTGGAAGTTCTTGCCGCACTTCTCGCACTGGTAGCCATTGAAGTTCGAGTGCTGTTCCAGGATATGCTGCTTCATGTACTTGATCTGGTAGAATGACTTTCCGCACTGCGGACACGAGCAGAAGGGCTTCTTCAGGTGAACCCGGTAAATGTGGGTGCGCCGCGATTGCCAATGCCGGAACTTCTTGTCGCACTGATCGCAATCGTAGCGCGCTGTGTCGTTGTGCTTGTCCATGTGCAGCAAGAATCCCTGTCGACTCTGGCACATTTTCCCGCACTGTTCGCACGTGTACTCCTTCTTGTTGCGACTGCGCTTCTTCTTGGCCTCCGTCGAGAAGTGTGGAACCTTCTTGGGCGGAGGCTCCTTCTTCTTCTCCGTGTAAATCGCCCGCATATCCTTGATGATCTTCGGCTCGCACGACATGCACTTGTGCACACGGAAGTCATCGTATTCATCAAAGATCACCCGGCAAACCTTGCACCGGTATTTTTTCGCCTTGGGCAAATTGTTCCCTCCCGGCTTCACGTCCACATTGTTCTCCCGATTGGCAGCTTCAGTGCGTGAATGCACTCGAGAGGCTTCCTCCCAGCGCTCCTGTTTGATGGGCGTCGGTTGAGGCTCCATAGGTTTCGCATGCTCCAGCATTTTGGCAATCTTGTCATCTGTCAGCAAACACTTCTTGCGGAATTTGTAGGCTTCCAGCATTTCAATCTCACATGTGGCACATATTCGCGGTGAGAAGTTCCCAAAGGGCTTCACTTGCTTGCCCACAGTCTCCAAATAGATGGTAAAATACGGAATTGTGTCGAAGACTGCTCTTGTCATGTTCTTGAAGTTCCTCTCTGCGGTCACCAGGCAAATCCGGCACAATTGTGTATACTGCACGGCATTTTCTTCCACCGCCTTCTTCAGCGCCTGTTCAGCCTCCGTTAAAGGGACTTGTGAGTAAGTCTCTGGATCCATTGCTATGTAATTTGGAAAATAGCTTTATCAAAATCACCAAAACAACACCGCCATTACCCAATCGCGAAGCTTCACGCTGTCAAATTCGCCGATCTTCGAAAATCTGAATCGTGCTATAAAATGGCGAAAACTGCCGATATTTCTCTATCGGGGTTCCGTGCGTTCCGTGTGTGTGCGATTTCCAAAACAACGCGCTGTTGATGAGAATTTACTCGCATTTTGCTATTTATTGCTGAAAATACTGCTTATTATTGTGTAGAAAGTATCATTTAGTGTGTGGGAATGGCTGAAATTGTGGAATACAGAAAGGAGAAGATCCTTCCTGAATATGAACAGATGAAAAGGATCGAATTGTTTGACGATGCTGAAATAAGGTTAGTTTTTCACAGTCAAGCAAGATCTTTGAAGAAATGATCCTCACAGAGTCTTCTCTTCCAGAGACATCATAAAGAGGAGAGACGCATTGAATGCGAAAATTGTGCGACAGAATAAGGACATCCGTGATTACCTTGAGTTCATAAAGTATGAGCGGAATCTGATAGGCAGGATCCAGAAGTTGCGGAAGGACAAGAACATCCAGGAGAAGAAGGGCAACATTGAGTATGCCATTGCATTGCGAATCAAGCAACTGTACATTCAGGCCACTGATAGATTCCCGCAAAATGTGCGCATTTGGGAGGAGTTTCTTAAGTTCGCCAAAGTGTTCAAAGTCAAGGATATTTCCACAATTCTCGACCGGATGATTCAGCTGCACGGCGATAAGCCCGAAATGTGGCTCCGGGCGGTTGTGTGGGAATATGAGCAGACACAGAATATGGAGAGGGTGAAGCACTTCATGCTGGGAGGTCTGCAGAGGCATCCGGACAACAACAGGCTCTACTACAAGTTCCTCAAGATAAAGCTCATGGAAGCGGAGAAGATCAAGGTTCTGACGGAGAGTGGATTGATTGAGCGGAATCACATTCTGGAAGGGGCAAAGATCATCTATGACAATTCTAGGAAGAAGATTCACAACATCGAGTATCTGGTGAATATTCTGGAGATTGTGCAGGAATACAGTTTCGCACAGGATCTGCACAGCGCCGTGCTTCGGGACATGCAGAGTGACTTCCCGCTGGAGGAGCTGATGTGGCACACTCTGGCACGTCGCGAGCTGATGGGTTTGCACATGGTGACTGACCACGAGTTAGAGGCTGACAATCAATTCGGCGGAAACACCGACGAGGCGTCGACGAAGAGTAAAAGCACGCCCAAGAAACGGATAGAATGTTGCGTGGCGGTTTATGAGCAAGCGGCGAGAATTCTCAAGACGGAGAAAATGTGGTCGTACTACATCAACACCATGCTAGAGCTGAATCAGGACACATCTGCCCAGGCGTCACTGAAGAAAAAGGTTCTCCAAATGGCCCTAAAAGGTGGCTACGAGGCGGGTTTTCTCTCCGAGTCACACTACATTTACTACATTGAGCAAATCTTCAAGGCGCAAGACACTCGCTTGGACTTCATTCTCGAGGTGTTCGATAAAGCCACGAAATCTCACGGGATGTCTGTGCGCTTGTGGGAAATGTGGATGCGCTTTCACATTCAGAATGAATCCGAGCAGAGCTTGTATGAGGTCTTCCGGCAGGCTGTCCGAAAACTCGGTGATAAATCCTCTCCGCTGTGGCAGCTCATCATTCAGTACTATCAAGTGCGTCCCGATCTGCCGAAGCGAGTGGAAGAGATATTCAATGAGGCAATTCTGCAGCCGCCAAGCGTGAGCGCACCTCTGAAGGCGCAATACATTGAGTACGTCGCCATCACGAAAGACATCAATGCTGCGAGACACAAGTACGACGATCTGGTCCTGAACACTACGCCCTGCCTCGAGATTCACGAGAAGATGTCCTTCCTGGAGTCCATTCAGGTAATTTAATACCCCTCTTCTCTTTGAATTCTGATCTAAAACATTTCGTCTTCCTTTCAGTGCATCCCAAATGTGGACAGTTGGCGAAAATGTCATGAAAATGCTGTTCGATTCTTTGGAGAGCAGCAAGTCGATGTGTGGATAGAGTACATAAAATTCGAGAAGACCCAAGACACCCCAAAGAACATCAACCTGATATACGAGCGCGCTCTTAAGACTCTCAACGTGGATCTCGTGAACACGTTCGAAGTGAAGCACGATTTGTTGAATATCGTATAAATTCTCGCAAATGTTATATTTGGAACATCAATGTGAAATAAACACGAATTACTTTAACATCCCTGCAGTTCATATTGAATCTTGCTCATGGAGACACTGTCGACCGCTGTAAGATAGTCCTCGACGCCTCGAGTGAGTTTTTTGTGCGCCTCCTCGTATTCCGTGTCATACTCAAAGTTCAGCTTGAGGGCGTGCAGAAGAAGATCAATGTCGTGAACGGGGAAGCAAAGAGCCGCCTCATTAGATCGCAGGGAATTCCTCAGTCCAAAGGCTTCATAGTTACTCCCCAGCATAGATGAAATGAACGCCACCGCGAAGTCTGTTGCCTCCAAAAGATGCCCATGAATGACAAACAGATGCAATAGTTCACTAGGATTCTCTCTCTTGTACGACAGAAAGAGCCAGTAGGGCAGAAATGCGCCCAAGTGCAGGATTCTCTTTGCCACAACTCTTCGCAAGACTGTCGTTCCCTTCTCTTCATTCTCCACGACAATCTTCTCCAGGAGATTCCATGCCATGGCAACTGGAGAGTTCTTCAGCGGCAAATCCGCCAGGTCATTCTCCTGCAGCCACATCCAGATCTCGTTGCTCTGCTCAGCCGATGCATGTACGCATGCCGACGCCAGGTTCTCCACAACCACGGTGGGTGACAGTTTGTACGCTCTGGCAAGCTTTATGGCAGCCGTGAAGAGTCTGGAAGTCGCCAAAAGGCCCACCAACTCGCCTGCACCAACCTTCAGGATAGTACTCAACTCCCGACGATGCCTGGATAGTGTTATGGTCGCTTCGATGTAGTGCAACTCCCGTCGAATGTCCTCAATTTCCAAAACAACCACTTTGTCCAACTGGGAAGAATCCTCCTTGTTACTCACTGGCTTCGCAATCCACGCATACTCCTTGTCCACCAGATTAAGCGCATTCACGCACGCCAAGAGACAATCATAGCGATACTGCATTGCCTCCAGAGAGTTGCTTTCATAGCCAAATCTCATGGCCTGCTCATACATCACGGCAGCAGCCTTCCTCATGTTGTCCTTAGTAATGAAGAAAGCATAGAGGAAGTTGTAGTGAATGTTGTCCTCAATTGGCATCGATCGCGCGCGTGTCTCGATAATGTTCTCCAGTTCGTCCTGAAGTCCAATGTAGGGAAATCTCATGAGCAGATCCAGACGCTTCTTGTGGAACAAACACATCACGAGTTCCCGCAGATAGTCCTTTCGGCGTGATGCCTCCACGTTGGAAATGAGTGAGTGATAAGCCTCTTCGTAGTGGCTGAGCGCCAGGTGATTCGTGAACATGATGGACTGGAACATTGCCATCTGAGGATGCTTCGGCTCGAGAAGTTCAATGGCACTCTGAGCAACGCGGATGACACAGTGAAGGGCGTTGTACTGCTCAAACAGTCGAATCACCTTCAAGTAGTACATGACGATTGCTTCTCCCGTCGTCACATCTCCATCAATGTCCTGACCAATTATCTTCTCCATGAGGAATGGCTCAGTGTAGACGCCACGCGATGCCTGAATAAAGAGATCGTACGCTTTGTCGACCTCTCCGCTGTCCAGCATCGAGACGCCCAGCATGAATTGGCGAGAGCATTTGTTCCATTCGCACCAGCCGTTCAAGAGGCGCACGTAAGTTTGAATGTGATTGTGCTGGCAACTTCCAATCAGCCACGCTCCGAAGGCAAAGTTGCCTGAAACTGGCCACACCAGCTGCCCGACGATTGTCGCCAATGGAAGAAGAGTAGTCTGCAAAGCAAGGAAAATGTATCAGTGAGTAATCAACCATATCTTCCATGAATTTGCACATACCTGTCCTTGATGCTCGGTCAGCATTCGATAGTTTCCGCACGTGTAGTGCGACAGCGCCATTTGCCATCCCTTGCTCTTCAGGAAGAGCTCCAGAAGAGTGCACGGCTGGTTCGTCTTCAATAGATACTGTCGAGCATCGGACAACTGAAGAGCGTTCAAGCGATTAATGCTGCTGTCCAGTGAATTCGTCATTAGTCCTGGATCTGCTGAAGTCTTGGCTATCCACACGATGACAAAGTAAGCTTGCACAAAAACCTCCGTTTCTGGCATTTGGTGTGATCGAATATTCTCCAGCACATCACTCGCCAGAGCGGTTATATCAATGAGAATATGCTGCAAGATTAGCAGATTGCGACACAAGACGTATCGAACATCTGAAATCTGTTGCAATGACTCAGACACGAGTGAGATGCCAAATTGGCTGGCGAAGAGATTCCTCGCGTGGTTCTGCATCGACTGATCCAGCGATGGATAGTTTCGAATCTCCTCCTGAGATCCAAAATCCAAGCGCAGTGTCTCGAGCAGTGAGTGCATCGCCTCTGGCACGTCTTTGATATTAAGTGTCTTCTGGCGAATTTGCGTGAGAAAGGCGCGAGTCAGGGGAGTTTTGTCATTCTCTCCGGCCAGCATGTCCTTCACGAGGTTGTAGACAATATTGATGGGCATCTGGAGTTGATACAGTTGTCTGTCAATGTCCAATTTATCCTCATCAGGTATCTGCTGTTCGATGTCATTTAGAATGGCCACCAATTTCACCAAATTCTCCATTTGCTGTGCATTGTCACCCAATTCCATTGGGATTTGGGTCACTTCGTGGGCCTCCATTTGATTGCCAGACAGTATGCAGTGCTCCAGGAACTCACAGCGTCGAAGCAAGGAGAACATGTTCTTCTTCACGATGCAAACCGTATCCAGAGACTCCATCTGAAGTGGAATCAGTCCAATTGGCTGACAGGACTTCAAGTGATATTGCTCGCAACACGAGTAGAATCTCTCCCAAACTTGCAGGCATATCTCAATGTACTCCTCATCGGGCATATCCAGGCCACGGACTTCATTCTCAATCTCAGTCGCCACTGCTGTGCACACGCGATCTTTCAGTAGATTTATGGGATAATTGTTGTCTGGCAGGATGTTCGATCGGCGGAACATCACGAGAGCTTTCCCAATTACGTTCCTCTGGAAGCGTCCGGGCTGGAAGATGTATGAGCAATACGCCTGCCGCGGATCGGTGGTCATCTCCATTTGCACACTGAATCGATCTGGCAGTGGATCTAGAGCAGCACACGTCCAATCCACTCCCATTCCGGGCACAAAACACACACTGGACACCTTGTACTCCCCTTCGGAGTTGCAAAATAGTCCCCAGATGCGATTCTCCGTCAACTGATACTCCACAAGATCGTAATTTGGAGCCAAGATTATGTTCATAATGCTGAGTGTGTGATTAGACCCGCCCAGAGGATCTGGTTGGATGCTCACAAAGACGAATTCACATCCCGATGCGTAGCACATGAAGGCACATATTGTGTTGGACTTTCCACAGCGCAGAGTGCTGTTCTGAGGACTCTGGAACTTTGTCTCGGCATTCTCCTCGTGGCAATTCAACGTGGCCACGCACTGACCGCTGCTCAGCGACCACATGCGCAGGAAGTTGTCCCGATACAGTGTGAAAAGGAACGTCTCGTCGCCCAGCATGTAGAAGAGGGCGGAATTCACGCACTGATTGTTGGAGGTTGTCTTCCCGCGAAGAACTCCCGTGAAGCTGGACAGAATGCGGGGCACCATGTTGCTTTGGCGCAGTTCTGTGGCAATTGTGTGTCCATTTGAGCAGTTCATCGTGTAGAGCGTCAGAGTGTTCTGCCAGGCCAAAGCAAAGTATGCCTCGGAGCCCTGAGGATCCATTCCGCAAGCGGCGGTGTAGGTGATGGGCTGATTGGTTGATGTCGGCAAGCCAATCATGTGGAAAGTCAGTGGATCTCGTGCGTGAGTCACTGAGGCATCCTTGAAGATAGACATACACTTCGTGTCTGGCCTGAAGGTCTTGTGGAGCTGATTCGGATGCGGATAGTATAGGCGATGGACACTGCTTACAGTCGCCACCAGGATCACGACAAACTCTCTCAGCTCATGAATGGACACCGCCAGGATGCGGGACTCTGAGAACTTGTATCGAACATTGTTGTCCATCAAGTTGAGGTCGAGGCTCATTTCTGACAGTTCCAGAATATCATGGGAAGTTCGCCTGCAAGGAATTTCCCCATCTTACTTTTCCGGATACACGCACATTTTATTTTAGGTTAGGTCAACTCACCAGTAAATGAATCTGTTGCGGCTCTGCAAATTGGATCCATCCGCATAGCAGAATCCTCCAGCTTTCTCCGCAATGCGTATATCTTGAAGAGTGCTCTGTGTTCCGCCTGCGGAAAGTGAGAAAATTCATGGGGATTCAAAGAGAAGCCATGCAAAATAAACATACCGATTGTGAGTGTAATCTCCTTCCATTTCTCCTCAATAGACTGATTTGGGATCACTTCCCGATAGCGTAGATTGGTGTCTTCCATCTTCAGACGAATAATATATCAGAAACAACTCGGTCTAGTCAGTATTTTCAGAGAAAAACGCGAAAAAACCAACGCCGCAAGATGCTCAACAAAGCACAGGGTGTCTCTACCGGCGCTGTCAAAAAATGGCGGTGAAGTTTCAGAGCAGAGCTGAATAAAACAAGATAAATTTTTGAAGAATTCTCATAAAAGATTTTATTTACGTAATATAGTTCATTATGTTATAGAAACTTAAAATAATTCATTTAACATAATTCATTAAAATATTGACTTCATTGAAATTTTTCGAGAATGAGGAATGAACTTCATAAATAATACTTTGGTAGTGTAGTTCAGATGTTCTTAAGTTAATATTTCACTTAATATTAAGATTATGGCTATGAATTTCAGTCGGGTATTCTAAATTATTTTTACAACTGAATAACTGCGTCTTTAGCTTTCGCTTCAATGTCGATCACGCACGAAGGATCAGCTTCTCTATTGTTGTCCTTCTGGATTTGCATGGAGGCATCTTTGGAAATCCTACTGGCGGGCACGCTCTTGCTGGGCATCGGACTCACATAGTCGCTCCAGAAGAAGAGCTTCCTGAACAACTTCTTGTATGCAACGCGATAGTTGCGATTGCTTGCGGCGTAGATGAAGGGATTTATAACGCCTGATGCCCAGCACATGACAGAGGCCAGGACGTGAATGGCCGGATAGTCGACTTCGTTGTCGAACACGTTGACGAGCATGAGCGGCAGGAAGCAAAGCAGGAAGCAGCAGAAGATGGTCAGCATCATCGTGGTGAGTCTAGAGTCTTCTCGTTCGCGATTACCATTAGAACCGCCACTCTGGAGGCCAGCGTGATTCCTCAGTCGCATCCGCTGCCGTCGCACAGTCCAATAAATGCAGGTGTAGGAAATGATGATGACTATGCATGGAATGAGAAATCCCACGAGGAAGAGCACCTTCTTCGGCGATCGCCCTGACTCATCAGGCAGAATTGTGCAGGAGAAAGTCATCTCATCGAGTCCCATTTGACCCCAAACGCCCAGCACTGGTGGAATGAGCAGCGAGAATGATACGACCCAGACCAGGAAGAGCTGCAGCCAGATGTACATTGGCCGGTACACCGATGAATAAACTGAATTGTAGGCGATCAAGATGTACCTGAAGAACAAGAATGACTATAGAAGGTCGGAAAAGATTTTTTAAAAAGGGCTATCAGGGCACCTGTTCATGGTGATTCCCACCATGCTGAGCAGAGAAACTGCCACATTCCCGTACAGCAGCACCGGGAAAACGTGGCAGAGTGTCTCGCCAAGAGTCCACTTTTGCCACGTGTAGCGAATTGCCTGGAGCGGAAGGCTCATGGAGCACAGCAACAGATCCGAGATGCAGAGCGACAGCACGAAAGCCGTGGTGGCGTGACTTCTGAGCTTTGGGCATCGCAGCAGAGCCAGGATTGTGATTAAGTTGCCCAGAACGCCGACAACAGCGAAAATACTGGCGCAAACTGCAGCGAATATCGTTGCATAATCAGGATAAATAGTGGCGCTTGCCATTTTGGCCGGTTCACGAAAATCTGCAATATAATTCATAGTGCAAATCATTTCCTATGCCATATATTCTTATGTGGAATAAAATTTCACATAACATCATATGGAAACGCACATGTATCTTCTATTCTTAGCGCTAAGATTTCCTGATATAAAAAGTCATATCAAGAGAGGCAACACTCAGCGCAGCACAAGAGTCCGACTGTGTACTCTTGCATGGGTAATTTCTTAAGCAAAAACAGACGATTCAGATTTGAGATATTACGCATGAGGAGAAGCAGTGCGTTCGATGAGAATCTCACAAATCCCACCCGCTTCTAAGCTGCTGATCTGTTCTCCAGTAACATCACATGAGAAATTTTCAATAGGACACATTCAATGAGCATGGCAGTGACAATTAAATTGATGAACTGAATGCTTATCCGCTTACTACCGAATATTAAATTGCGTATATAAGTTGCATGGATGCGAAAACATCTCAATTTTATGATGCTCTGTTTAGTTTTTTGTATGTCTCATAATGATAAACAACATGCCGATTTTTTCAGCATGTTTTCACATATTTATAGCGAACACTCGGTTGGGTTTTGAGCAGCATCACTTTTCCATATTAACTCGATTTTATGCTGCATCAAAAGTGGAATGAATAGTGAAAAACGGCCAGTCTCACATATTTTTTGTGCATGCACTTCTCTTTTTGATATGCCATGAGTCATTTAATTTCGAGGGCCCTTGCAGTGCGTCTGATTTTGTGGAGCATACGCAATGTGAGACATAATGGACAACAGTTGTAATCAACCCAAAAAGACTAAGAGAATTTCATTATCAGGAAAAGCAAAATTTGCAGCATTAATATTAAAGCATTGTGAGAAGAAAAATGATTCTGCAAATCAACAGGAATTCAAATGAATTATTAAATAAAAAAAACCCAAAAGTCTGAAATATGATATCTTTCGCAGATTTTTGACACTCACGCAATTTCTAGTCCAAAATACCCAAAATATTCTTATCGATGACTCAAAAATTTCGGACTCATTAACAAATCAAGACTATTTCATTTTACTTTGAACATAAAATGATAAATCGTCGTCTAGGGAACTTAATGTATTCAAAGATTCGTATGCATTTAAATAAATTAAAAACAACCAGGAATTGTATGGTAATTATTCCTTGATTACTTGAGTCTCTTTTTCTGGATGGCTTGTGTCACTTTTTCGTCAATATTCAATAATAAACAATTGAGCGGTGTGAATCGGAGGGAAGATTGCAATTTGTGCCGTTTGCTGTCGAATAACAATAGAAACACCTGGATTCACGGGGATTTTGAGCAACACACTCACATTATCACACAAGAGCAAAGAAGCGGAGGGTCAAAATCATCTCTGCTTCGCTCAAAATTCTGCTCATATCGCACAGCAAGTGATAATATGTGAGAGTAAGTAACACAGCGTCATTAATATGACTTGACGAAATTGGATAAATTCATCCAGAGGATCATATTTCTTGATGTTACTCTTCGATTAATGATAATGATACTTTCCCATACATATGTACATTGTACATAATCAATTTGGCACTCTTTCATGCATTATATTTCCATTTCTACCATAATCATGAGCAAACACTACAACAGTGGGGAGTCCGCGGCTCCTCAGCCCCAAATTGTCATCAATTCACGTATGTCCTAATCAAACACAATATTTCCTTCTAAATATGTACAATACGCCAAATGCGCAGATGACGAAAGAAGAAATGCGACAGAGAGACTTCTCTTTTCTCCCTCTGGTTCACGTACAAAGGGACGACATCGTCAGATAAGGCGAGAAATACAAAATATCATGCACAAAATGCATTGCTTGTTTGTGGTGAAGAAGAGAGATTTTTTGTGGCATGATTGAGATTGAGACGTTGACAAAGTGATCTTCAGGGGAAGATTGAATTTAAATTTTTATTCAAATTATGATTTAATTGACAAACAAGGGGAAAATACATTCATGATTCGTCTGTCGATAAAATGATTTTCTTATTTTACAGATTATTCATTTTTTATTGTTTCTCATAAGGAAAAGTGCTTCATGAAAGGCACTGAAAGCGTCATATTTTCAAATGAAAAAAATATAACGCATAAAGAAAGGCGAAACAAAGCATTTTTAATAGCTTTTCAATAAATGAACGAATCAGTGGAAAAAATGATAATTAATATCACATTAAATTTGGTGAAGCACACTTACGAGAATGTTAGAGATTATAATTCCGTCTTTTGTGGTGTCTTTGAAGAGACCCAGAGTTCTTTTGCATTCTAATCACGTCGAGAGTATCCGGAATTTATTCATCTCCACTTCACAGTAATTTCAATTTTATTTCAATTAATTGGCGCTCATTCACTTGGTCGCACTTGGTCACACTTATTGTCATCAATTTTCCCGAATATTTCCAATTAATTTTACTGCAGCAGTTACAAAACCTCCGCTTGCTTCAGAGTTTGCTCGGCGAATGAATAGAAATCTCGCCTACATTCATCAATCGAAACCAGTTCTGCAGATTCGTCCTTTGTGTGTGAATGAGCGCCAATTGTCTCGGACGTTTTTGTTGCTGGGTAGATTTGCCGGCTGGGAACAGTCAACAATTGAGTACCGTTTTCTCAAATTTCTGTGGAATTTTAACCCAAACTGTAAATCCATTGTAGAAATTGATAATTTCTCTTATCAAAAATGCTGAATTAGAGCCAAAATGAATAATTTTCTAAATTGAATTATAATTCTCATGCCAGCGCGAACACAAAACTGTTCATATGAAATGTACGAGAATTCCACTCTTTTTTGACAATTGCAAATGTCAATATTATTGTTTACATGTTTTCATACACGCGTTGTCTGAAAAGTTTAGTGATATTTTAAGGATTTTCCGGGATTTTCTCGATAATTTGATCCATGGACATCTCAAGAGGGTAACCAAAGTCTTGTCTCATGTCGTACTTTATAAGAAAATGTTGTAACATTCTCATAAACCATCTGAATTATAGTGGAACGAGAGCCTCGAATGGAAAAGTTTATCCAAATCAGGCACAGCGACGCCTCTTGCGAAAATTAGTGGCGGAGAAGAAGGAAAAATCTAAGGATGCCGGAGTTACAAATCGAAATAGATTAGTGGACTTCAGGAAATGGGCGCCAGAACTCAACAAATTGGGGCCTCCAATGCGTTCAGCGCTCAAATGGAAAAATGTAATTGAGTTCCCAGCTAATGAATTCATATGATCATAGTGACTAAAAAATCGCCTTTTTGCAGTGCTGGTTTCATCACAAGCGGCAGAGAAATTTCTTTGAGTTCTACTACAAAACAGTCAGAGTGGCTTCTCAAAAGGAGAAGGACGTTTGTCAGGCGAAGCTCCCTAAGAAGTATATAAATGCTTTTTGCAATCTTTTTTACCGCTTTTAAAATTATACTCCCTTTCTTAAGGAGAAAAGTTTGCAAGAAAATGCAGATACGCAAATTTCTGGAGCTGCTTAAGAATAAAAAGGACGAGAGTGAATCTCGTGGTGAGCCTTTTACGACAATTACGACAGCAGATTTCAGAAATTGGACAAAAGTTCTCAACAAATTGGGTCCAATTTATCCAGTGGACAAATGGAAAATGGTTTGTTGAGCATTTGGGTTCCATATTTATTATTCTCTTTCAATTTCATCCTTTCCGTGTTCTAGACTTGGAAGACAATGAAGAAACAGAAGAAGGACAACGTGTATTTTAAGTCAGAAGATTTCAGCAAGTATAAGGAAATTGGCTGTGGATCTTCGGAAGAATTCTACTTGAGTGACGATGATTCTGCTGAAGATATGGAAGTTCAAGGCACAAAGCCGAGTGAAATGTGCGAAAAGGAAGCTTCTAAAAGAAGTGCAAGGGAAACGGATAATGAAATCTGTGATTCATTTACGGAAAGCGATGTTGATCAGAACTTTTCGAGTCTCTGTCGCATTTGCTTGAAAAAGCGAAAGACAATGAATACTTTCGTTGATGGATCGTACAGGAACATCTCATATTTGGATATTTATCACGAATGCATAGGAGAGGCATTCAAAATATATCCCTTTTGCTCCACTGACATTTGTGAACTCTGCGAAAAGAATTTTCTCAACATGTACATTTTTCGGGGAATATGTTTGCAGACAGAAACAAAGTTATCTTACATTGAAAGTCAGAAGGACGAAACTTTCGACTCTGTCGAGGAGGAGTTCAGTGCTGAAGATAACATGCCACTGCTTCAGGTTAACATTCCGGATGAGTACGATGAAGACAGTGAAATGGAGGGTCTTGAGGAAAAATCTATACCTGAGGAAATTGGAGAATCTCTTGATCAGAAGGACGTATTTCTGAGTGTTGAGCCCTTTGATCAATGCGATGAAAAAATGATATTTTCAGAGAGACCTAAATTATTCGATAAAAATGAAGAAAACACGCCGGAAAATACGGGAGAAACAAAATCAATTTCGCAAGATCCAATGCAATGCAAGGCCGAATCCAAAGATGCGTGTCACGTGAATGAGGATAGCAATTCTGATCCTGAGAACAATAATATGGATTCTGAAAAAGATTCTGAAGTCTGTGATGAGGAGAATGTTGAAAGTGGAAGAATATCAAGATTTCATAAACGATCCGTACAGGAGAATGAAACAAAGACCGGAGAAAAGGCTACGAAAGAACGACCCAACAAAGCACAAATTGCACTTTTGCGTAAGTTGGTGGCCGAAAAGAAGGGTGCAAATGAAAAGTTTGGAGTTCGTGAGTTTCGATTGAAGAATTTTGATTTCAAACGCTGGGCGCCTGAATTGAATGCTCTCGGACCACCTTTTAGATCAGGACTCAAGTGGAAAGATGTAAGTTCTGGTAATTTAATTTATTTTTTGGCAAAATCTCAAAGATCGTACTGATTTTTCTCTCTAGTGTTGGTTTATTCACAACAAAAAGAAGACTGGATTTTATGACTTCATGTACAGGAATAAAAGGAAAAACTATGGCACTGATAAGCCCTTGAGCAAGAACAGACAGAGATTGAAGTATGATTAATTTTAAGTTTAGTCATTTACATTTACTACAGCTTTTCTTTTAATTTCAGTCCTAATCCGACGATGCGTCAAAGAATGAATAAGAAACAATTGAGAGTCTTTGAAAACTTCTTCAAGGAGCGCAGAGAAAAGTCTGAGTCTTCGGAAAGTAGGATATCCCTCTTCACGAGAGACTTTGTAGATTTGAAACGAAGACTGAATCTACTTGGTCCACCATATAGGACTGTAAACGAGTGGAAATTGGTAAGTAAATATTCAAAAGATGATCGTGATACAATGAAGTCATAAAGAATTTAATTTAATAATAATTTCAACTCTTATTTTGAAGACTTGGCGCCACACAAAGAAGAATTCCCTCAAAGCATTTGCTAATGACGTTCAGGAAATTGGATATGAGTCTTCCGATGCATATTACTTCTCAAATGAATCATCAGATTACAGTAGTGATCAGGGAGAGGAAAACGGTGATGCGCTTAAGAAAAATACCAGACAGGCAGAGACGGGTGAGTCTTCGGATTCTTGTGCAGAGTAAATCACACATTGTGATGCATGTGAATTTGTAATAAAAAAAAATGAATTCGCCGATTAACGAGAAAACTTAAAAATAAATTTGTTATCAACTGAGTTGGAGTGCATGAGCACCCTGTGGGACTTTCACTTCCGCGGAATTGTTAGAGGTAATTTCATTTGCGATTCTCTACTTCCATCACCAATCAGACCCGAGTTTCCACTGAATGGAGCTGCTAATGCCCGCCCAGAAAGAAATTCTCATCATACACAATAACATTATTCTGTCATAATCGGTTCAGCAGCGCAGTGCATTTTCATTCACAGCCAAAGTAATTTGAAAAATCGCTTATCACCTTTCAGCCATCGATAAGAATTGAGAAGACTGCGCTGTTTTTCGCACACTCTTCCTTGTGCCTTTCTGATCTACATTGGGATTATGTAATATTCCGCCCATTGTGGTTTACAAATGGACAAGAGAGCAGCATAGAGAAAATCTGCTGTTGATGAGTTGGATATTTTTGGAAGGGTTCAATGCATTAGTTTGAATTCGCAATTCGGGAAGTCTTTCGTTTTATTTCAATTATTTATCTGCGGATTACTCAAACTGTATTTATAGCCAATCAGGCGACTGTCCATCTATTCCAATCCAAAAATTTATTACTTTAATCGAAATAAATGTGCCAACAATTTTTATTGTGCAGCAATTTACTTCTTAGAATCGCTGAAAAACTATGTATATAAGGGAAATAAATCTACTTTATGTGCACAATTTCATTCATATCGATATAATCTAATTTAATTTCCATTCTAATGAAAATTCAGCTGCATTTTCTATGTTTAACCATTCGAATGAGGAGCATATAGAGCGGTAATGAGATTCAATATCATCAGAAATGCATTTAAATAAAACGAGCCTCACGCATTTCGTGCAAATCTACGAGGATAATCTGTGAATTTTCTCCTCTGTAATGATCTTCTAATTAAGTTTTAAATAGTGGTGGCATGAAAATTGACTCTACTACAATCGACGCAATTCTTCCGTTGAAATTCATGTACAACAGTCGAATAAGTGCCAATTTCCTCTCACGGCCCATTGAAGTCTCTTCCTAGTAGATTTGTTTTTTTTTCACGTTCGTATGTTTTGTTCAACTGATGTATTTTAGTGAGACATTATGCATGCGCTTAAATCAGTGAGTTATTTCCGAATACCGCTGATGTGGATGAAGATTTGAGGATAGCAATTGCGCACTGAATTAAAGTTTGATTTTTATTATGATTTTTTTGGAAATATCTAATCGCACTACAGAGTTGAAAGCTGTGTGAATTTGTGCAGGCCAAATTGGCATATAAATCCCATTTTCCCTTGAATGAATTCCTCGACAGAGATTAGAGTGAATTTATGCGATTGGCTACATGCAAGTTTTGGAGTTATCAGTTCAATTAGAAACGGCGCAGAATAATTGATCACCATTGTTTTGTCTGTGACAGTTCTGTCCGCAACTGCATGAGAAATATTTCGTAGCTTAAACGAACTATTGTTGATCTTCTCCCCATTTAATTGTCCACATGTCGGAGCTAACAAGAGACATACAAGAGAGATTTCTCCTTGAAGGAAACATTTTCAGAATGAAGAGAAAAATGCCTCAATGCCGCGTCTTGGAATGGATTCAACAAACCGTATAGAACATGTGAGAATCGTGCAAAATGTGCTATAATTATTTTTGAGAAAGAAATATGTATATGAAATCGTTAGAATTTGTCCTATTTATCATCTGAATGGGCAAAATATAGCTTCTAATAAATTCTGCAATGTGGGTCAAAATAGATTCTTAATCGCGCAATCGGACAATCAATTAATTTAATTAAATACGTGCAATTCGACAAGAAGCCACAAATCCATGAGCACATGAATGTGTGCATGTCTTCACGAGAGATTTCTGTTGACGGGAAAATTGAAGATTGGACTATTCGACTGAGAACGAGGACGAACAAGTGGACAGACTGTGACCTTTCATTTACAGTACCTGTAGAATTGCTAATTATCATCGCCATGATAATTATCTCGGGAAATTTGACTACGTAAATGCATAGATTTATTGCTTCAAAGCAAATCTCTACATCTCAATACGTTTCAGATTGACTTGGAATTGTTCTGAGTAAATAATTCGTGATTTATTCCACTTATCGTGTTGTATATTTTCAAGAGCAATTATGCAATAGCAAATTAGGGAAAAGATAGGAGCTTTCATAGGAATTTTTATGTGAAATAATCAGTCAAGTTTAGTGATTGGGCGACAAAGATAGAGAAGACATTGAGGTCACATTTAATGCTTCATATATTTTTGTTATTTTGTCTGAATGTTAGGAAATAGTAGATTACTCAAAGTAAATATTAAAGTGATTAACGCAGTCCATTGAGAGTGAAATTAAGTCTTTATGATTCAGCGCCAAAGGTGGCTTCCTCTCTTGTTGGGGTCGCATGGCGTATTCTTCGCGGCGGCTTTGGCGCTCGCGCGCAGAATGCGAACGTTGACTTTGCTGTAGTCTAGGCCGGTGTAGAGGAATAGAGGCAGATTGTTGGCCAGCACCCAAACTCCCTGATCGGCAGCCTTGTCGACTTTGATGTCATTCGGGAAGGAGAGGAAGACTTGATTCTGGTCCACGTGATGGATATTGCTGGGAACCAGAACCTTGTTCGTGTCCCAACAGCCGATAGCGTCCTGATTCACGAGTGTGTAGAACAAGACGCCGTCTCGATCAATGCCGGACGTGGAGGACTGACTGTTACGTCCTCTGTCGCCAACTTCCTGTAAAGTGCCACATTATTGATTGGATAAATATTTTTGTGACGCTCGTTAACAGTGGCGATACAGACCTTGAATTGTGTATTGACATTGATGCCTTGCGTCCAGATTGTCTCGTTTTGCAGCACCGAAGTCAGAACTGAGAATTCCTATAGAAGGGGCAGAAGATAAATTTCAGGTTTGTGGCAAATAAATAATGCTTAATATGTTGTGTCAACAAACCGAAAAACTAGACATGGGATGGAAATACATGAGACGATCACCACGTGCATCAACGAGTCCCAAAGCTGTGCCGAAAATACCGTCAGTCCATTGATAATTCAGTTGATTGTGGAAGCTGTAATCGCATGCATGAGGATTTGGCAGCATGAAGTAGTTGTTGGTGCGCCAGCTTCGCCTTTTGCCCAGACTGAACACCCACAATCCGTTGCGCCACACATCCGTCACGTACGCATGGGCATCTTCGCAGCGCCCATCGCGAATGTCCACCAGGATGCTGGTGTAGAGCGAGTCCTCCTTGATTTGGTTGTCTGGAATTTGGAAGGTGAGCAGGTGGCGATCGGTGGCCAGGTCGAAGATCATAATTTTCGGAGGGCACACGAGATTAGGAGTGCTCGTTGTGTTCACCATGCCCGCGTCAATGGCCCACAGGCGACCGCACTCGTCTATGTGTATGCGGAAGACTGACATGAGCTTCGTGCAGTCGGGATTTGTGGGTGTCGTGTGGTATTGCCAATTGGGATAAGGACGAAGCAGCGGAGTCCTGGTCTTGGGCGGCAGATCGAGCGACACGAGAGTCGCCGGGGTGCCAATTTTCCAACGTGGAATGGAGATGAAGAAGCGATTCTGGTAAGCATCAATGCCCAGAGGCATGGTATTTTCTGGAATATATTCCCTGTAAACCATAAAAGTAGGCATCAAGAGTTGAAACGAGTTTGATATCATTGAAAATTGTCATTCACTCTATTTCTTTTGTCGTCTCATCCGCAAGAACGATGAAACCACAAGAACCACAAGAACACAGAAGTGGCCGCTAATGGAGGAAACCGGATTAACTCACCCAGAAGTGATTGCGGCTCTTCTCTCAGTGGTACTGGGATATTCATAGTCGAAAATATTCCACTCATAGACGATCTCAAAGGGACTCGTTGATGACACGTACGGCCCTCCGTAAGGACCAGTTCGTCGACCAGGCGTTTGATTCGTTACATCAACGCGAGAGTCCAAGTCCACTTGTCCTCTGTTACTTGTGCTATTGTAGTAAGGATTCCTGTTGTGATACGGCGAATATCCATATCCGTGGGCAGAGGCGATAACGCCAATGAGCAGGACACTAAACAAAAACATCTCCACTACCAACTCTTATCACCGCTCTTTCCGACCACTCTTATTCCAAACCACAAAAGCGCGTCTCTCGGAATTTCTCGGACCGGCTAGGAAGGTTGTACTGATGAGACTGACTCTGGAGACAAATACAGTGTGTGTTATATAGACAGAGCTGACAAGGCTACTTTGGGGCCGTTCTTGTTGAAGTATTACGTAGTATTATCGCGGTTGTTTAATTTGTCATTCACATACAACATAAGTAAAGTTTAATGAGCTCGAAATATAAGAAAAGTATCTAATTCACACTAATTCAACAAATAATCTTTCCTCTTTTATGTACTTTTACGGCCCCAGAGTGTAGCTTTATGTTCTTTTCGAAGTCACTGCGTTTTATGTATTGGCGGTTTTTTCCCAATTTGCTATATATTGCGACGATGAGACATTATCTTTATATAAAATTTGACAATGATTTTAATGTGAGATATTGACCAATGGAATTTTTGCTGATTGCGCTTAAACATTTAAAACAGTTTTTTTTCTCTTAAAATTCGAGTGTGAGCACATAAAAGAAAAGTAGTGCAATTCTTAGAAACACCGAATGGTGGAGATAAATAATTAGCGATGGTTTGGCTTAAGTCATTGGAATATTTCATGCTACCAAAAACATGATTTGACCACATGTTGAACAAGTCATCAGAATTTTGTCAAACACGTGCCACACGAGTTAGGTGTCTAAAAAACTGAGATTATTTACATATTATATATTATATAATATTAGTGAATCGCACGCCTTACGGGTGCATAACTATTTCCAGACATTCCGCATGTTAGTATGAAGTTTTGAGATAGTTTCGCTGGACTATGGAGAAGAGAACAATATGTGTATGGCGATAAAATTATCTCTCCTCAGTTGGGCATGAAATATCACGAAATTATTGACTTGTTCGTTATTGTTGTCTTCTTTCTAAATCTCTCATTCTGGCTTATATATGCAAAAAGGAAGATATCAAACAATTTCACTTAAGATCCGCCTTTTCATTGTGATTTCTTTCATACAAACTTTTACAAGCAATCGTATTTCAATTTCATAGTCATTTTACAAATTATGAAAATTTGAAAAGTCATTTTTTCAGTTAAAGTATTTCATTTCGATGATGAAATATGATTTTCCCATATTTCTTAACATTTTCTTAGACAGTGGCTAAAGAGGATCTGAAGAGATTACTTTCCTGTTTTCTGTTATTATTGTTTGTTGCGCCTAAGAGGTGTTGTAAAATAGGTTTTATATTTATAATATGCACTCTACACAGCAGAGTATATGCAAAATATTACTATTTTTATATGTATTTACATAGCTTATTGAATTATATTATTTTCAATTGTTGCAAAGCACTCCTTTTAGGTCTTTCACATCAAACAATTTGAATATTATTGTTCATTCTTCGTGAAGTACACGTACATTACTATTCACATGGCCGTATGTATTGTATTTATATGAAGTGCCTGTGCGGAATTGTTTAAAGTGACGTAACGAATCAGGTGAAATTGAGAGAGTGCATCTTTTGATGTGTATACGGTGCTTGTTTATTTGTAATACGTTCTAGTACAGATCCTATCAAGAGGTGGATTGCCATTATTCTTATTACATGGAAGGAGAAATTTTTGAGTTGTGCCTTGCCTATTAAAGCTTGTCTGTGCCGGAGTGCAAAATTTATCTTGGGAATATCGGGTTAAGATTTCCATTCATTGCTGTCAGTGAGATATTAGAAAATTAACTGTAGATTCATAAATAAATGCAAAACATTTATTCGGCACGTTGACTGCAAAGCGCCTATAAAGCACACTGTTAATTGTATCTCAATATGAGGTTCTGCGATATAGGCCATTATTGTATGACCTGAGCATACAATGTGTACGATTACACTGGGATTCAAAGTGATGAGAAGGTGGTTTTCACACAATTCATGTTGAATTATTAGGAAAGTGATTTGGATGAAATTGCCAACCTCAGTAATTATTAAAGATATACACATAATGTATGTATGCATGTATCGGACAAGCGCACAGAATTATATGTAAGTACATATAATACGCGAAAAACGTGAAGATTTTGACCTCGCTGTGTGAGAACCAAATCGTGGTTAATTTTATTTTGAAGAAAACTCAGTTATTTAGTGTGTGCGACTTTATTATAGGTTCTCCGGCTATTCATTCTCCTCACTTTTCTTCTAAACTTTATAATATTCGCCGTAATAATTTAGCTACACACGTAATAATAATAAAAGGTGCTGACAAGTTGTGTAATTCAAAAGTTAGTACAACAAAAAAGTACGCTATCCATTCACTAGTCTCCATTGGATGATCATCGATTATAGTAATTTTGCGATCCGATTTAATGCATTAAAGTGTGTTCTTATGCACGACTGTTGGCGGATGAAGTGATGAGACATTTCGACATTGTAATGTTTCAAAATACAAGAGAGTTCACGAGAGGGCCTCCGTGGTGAATAATCACAAACAATAATTAATTACAGACATGAGCAATCGTTTCCGCGCATTGTCAATAATATATATGTCTATTCACTTATTTAATTCATAAGAAATTGTCAAAAGTCAAGATTGGAACTCAACAAGTAGAGAGTCTACAATGAATTACTTTTCTCTGCGCATTCTTGCAGCAACATCACCGTCCAGACAACCGCTCCTTATCACGACTCAATTCCCATAATGTTCCTCACGCTAAATCGCGCGATGAAAATCGCTTAAGAAGCATGTGCGCGTCACTCGTGAGTCTATAGTCATGTACAGTGCGCTATTTGCTATAGTAAATAGCACACACCTTACAGTGAAATCAGTCCCGTGCAATAACCTGAGAACAGCGTCGCTAAAAAATATTCAAATTAATTACATATTGAGATCATCAAATTTATCGAGCGTCGTAATAGAGTGGTTGAAATGTGTATTAGCGATGGTATTTACTCTCAGTGTTTTATTAAGTAATAATTATTATAATCAATCATTAGATGAAGATTAATATCAGTTTTATTGCTGTCTCGCTACGATTTAAATGTGATCTCACACATACACATAAGCATATTTATAAACAGTAGCAAGATAAATTATTCAAATACATAATCTTAGAGGAATTGATCTTTGTGAATTACACTCATTTGCATATAGTTATTTATGTAGTAGGCACATGAGTCTACTTATTTGACATTCATGGTAGAATGTTTGCAGTGTCGAACATTACTTTTTTACTAGTCCGATAAAGATACTGGCTATTTTAGAAGAAATTTGTTAATCAAACATTTCACTTCAAGCATTTCTCTGTCGTTTATTTCGATTGTGATTCTAATTACACGTAAAATCAGGAGATGATCAGCGAAAATGTCCTCACGAGTTGTACGAGTGTCACTATGTCTCATTATTTAAGTGAAATGCTTCACGCTTTTGACACTTGATGTCAAGCAATGCTGAATCGAAGAAGCACAAAATGCGGAATTTCCTTTTACATAATTTTGCATATGGCAGTCTGAAGATTTCATCAAATTCGATTTACTTTCTCACATGCATTTCCTCAAGTTGTTGCATATGCAAGATGAAAAATTCTAAAGATTTCAGATGAAAATGCATTTTCATATTAAAAAAAAATGTGTGGTAGAATAATGATTAGAAATACGAGATTTTTTGAAATTGTGAAATTGCGGTCACATTGACCAATATTCATGTTCTATGGAAATGGTTGTGGAAATATATAATTTCTTAGCAATTTTGATTAAAGTCTATCTGAATTTTACATAATTTACCCTGAAGAAGGCTATCAAGCCTCTTTTACCTGATCAATAATGTTAAAGCGGCAGCAATCTGCAAAAATTACGAAAATTGGTTATTGAAACTGAAAATTCACACATTCCATGACAATAATTCCTCAGCGGTGTCGATTTATACATATGATTGTTAGTTGAAGTCGTGATTTACTTATGAAAATTGTTCGCTTTAAATTTTATTCATCACTTTTCACGGAATTAACGATATTTTCCTGCACACATGAGCAAAAACTGCATTCATTGCTTTGTGTTGTCAGGAATATTGTGTATAATTGAGTAGTTTTATGTCTATCAGTATTTTATGCTTCTCTGGTCCTCTTTATGCTCTCCTTAAGCGCAGCCTGATAATTCATAAATGTTCGTTTTTTTCAGTGTGAATGGTATATGTAATTACATGAAGAAGATATTTAAGGGAAAAGGGCGAAATCATCACTTCGTGGCTGTTTACATCTTCCGCGGACTAATAATTTCACCCGATTTCACCTCTTGGCTTACCGTTTCCTAAGCCTGGATATACATAATAAATTGCATTTTATCTTAGCCACATTAAATCTTCCAATTTAACTGAATCGTGTGAACAATTTCTAATGCAATATAAATAGTTTTGCGGAGATATCTTTTTCTTTTACTCACGTTGCTCACACCTTCTTTCTCAGTGATGCTTCTCTTTCTCCCTTGTCTCGCTCTGATCTTCTCTTTTGCACATTCAATGGACAGGATTGTTAAATAATGGGTAAGGGATTTTTGTACGGTAATCATCACCATGCTAAGGCTTCTCTTTGCTCTAAGAAACATGCTTTTTCGTAAGCGAGAAGACAGAGACGTTTTCATCGATATATCTATACATAAGTATGCCCACTCAATGTGTATACATATAGAATTATTCTGCTATGAAGAGTACCAACATGTACATTGTATTAAGGTGTTCCGTGCCATACCATCTTTCGACCATTACATTAATTGCAAAAATTTATTTAAGTGCGATGTTTGGTCACGCTCTTCAGTCGGAATCAATAGTTGGTACAGTGGCGCTGAAATATCTCCAGCACATGAAAGTGATAAATTCGTGATTGTGGCACAATAAAATTATTTTGGACTTTTTCTCAATTCACGCTCATTCATTATCATAATAGGAAGTTTCATTAAATGAATATTTTTATTCAATCTATGAGTTGAAATCTCTAAATCGAC